ACCAAGAATGACAGTCGGAAATAGGAAGGAAATGAAACGCAAGATGGATAGATTGACACGTGACTCTTTTATACAATAGTTATTATAATATTAATTCTTAATGTTGTTGTTGAGATAGTGAGAGAAGATGATTTAAATACTTTTATCTGTGTAGGAAACGATCTTCGTTATAAAGATTTGCTTTTATATATAATTTAATTAGCTTGGAACAAAGGGAGAAAATTTTCCGATTTTGCATGCGTAGGATGGATTAATTTAAATATACGAATTCTAAAAATGACATAATATTTATAAAGAATCGAAAGTTGAGATATTTCATGTGAGTCGAGGTCACGAGTATATAACCAACCGGTTTTTGTTGAGCTCAATCACGTCATCGTGCCTGTTTGCAAATTTCAGGGTAGTACGGCGGCAGGTGAACTTGTTTTCAAAAACAATGTGCCACATCTTTAGGAAACAAAGTCAACAAATGTAAGTTGGACCAATTAAATAAAATTCTGATTTAATGATTCAATTGGCGGTAATTTTTGCTTCTGCCAGAGTCAAGGTTGTGAGCACAAACCTGTCTATCAGCATGCAAAAGCTTTCTGAAGGTCAAACTCTTAATTCTGACGTGTCTTTCTCCGCTGCATCAATCTAGTTTGAACATTTTCATAATTTGCATAAGGCTGAGATTTTTTTTAAGAGAATGCTGGAGCTCCGCGTCTTCCTGACAAATTATCTATATGAAAATTTTGCCAAAATGAATTATTTTTGTTTACATAAATTATCGCTGATTCAATATTTGAATGTGATTGATCGGTTTATTCGGCATTACGTTCATTACAGGACGGATAACGTAAACTCGATTTGCAATTATTTCGTCTTTTGTTTTGCAATTAATAATGCAGTTATACACGAAACATCGAGCCTCTGCTAACGATAGAAATCGGTCAAATGGCAGCTGGACCAAATTGCTTTTCCCGCATGAAAATTGCAATATCGTCCACTTTTAATTGCTCATGAAAGTATCACTCATATAACATTTGGTATTTTATATGGGTTTTTTCATTCAATTTTCTGTGACGTTTCATCAGTGTCAACCAGTTTTTTCAATTTCATATCAACTTGAATTCTTTTGTAGTACCTAATACATATAAATATTTATTGTGCGCATAATAGAATGAATTGAATTTCGCCAATTTACTTTCATGTTGCAATGAAATGCCTGCCTTCTTAGGGGGAAAAAAGTTAAATGAACCGATTTATTCTTTATTTCTGCTCTCATTTTTGCGAGATAGGAAAAAGTCAGGCGGAACTAAGAGCTAAGATTAGAGAGGGTTGAACGGCAGGTTGGAAAGGCAAAGGAAAATCGGGAGAGAGTAGGAAACATGATGTGCACTTTGCATTGCAAATGCTTCATTAAAGATCTCGGCGATAATAGCACCACCTTAGATCTCGTTTAGGTTTGTCGGAAAATGGGAAAGAAGAATAGCCTCGCTGAAAGGAAAGAGTAACGAAGATGACATTACTTTAATTATGCCGCACACTGCTCATTACACGGAGGGAATTTCTATTGAAAAATATTGAGCTGGAAACAAATAGTATCCCTTTGTTCTAGCAAGACTTTATTAAAAAATCCGTCAAAATTAATTATATTCCATACACACTTTAGACCTTATTGTAAAATTCATTTTCTAAGTAAAATTTCCATCACCTGACATTTAAACTTAAACCAAAAGCTTTTTATAAACATTCGATCATAGATTTAGCTGAACCTTGAGATTTATAAAAATTTCCCTACAGTGTCGCGTCGCGTCGCGTCGCGTCGCAAATTTCCATATAGAAAGTTGTGTTGGATCAAAATAAGCAGCAGTGATCTTATTTTAATCCAATTTGGTATTCAAATAAGAGCGTTGCAGCTTATTTTAATCCAACACAATTTTCTGTGACAAAACGTTCTTCGATGAAAATTAAAGTCCTTCAGATTAATCTTCAGTCAAGTTAATGAAATTATATAATTGAAATTCCTCAAAGGCATAAAAACTATTCATCTAATCTAGGAAAAGTAATTAAAACAAGGCTAATGTTTTATAAATTTTATCGTTATTATAATTACAGTTATTTGTAATATAATTGTAAAAAGTAAATTCAATTAGAAAGCGAGAAACAAACTAATGCTATGCTTATTGTTTCGATAAAATTAATTTTTTATTCGAGAAAGCAAAAAAAATCTATTCCTGAATGCATGATACTAAATTATTTAGCAAAACATGATAAATTACTGACTATGGAATGAGAAAAGTTTTCCAACATTGTTTATCTTTGAAATACGAGGTTCAGGAGATGGAAGAATGAAATTATGTCCATTTCAAAAGACCAATTAGCCCCCACTGATAATGTTTACTTTGTTCACCCGCACATATGTGCACTGGACAAATCTAATGAAAGGCTTTTCTTGTGAAAATCGATCTTGTTCGCATAATCAGATTAATCTTCCACGGCGTGAATACAAACAATATCAAGGCATCTGACGTGTGTGTTCTAATCAGCAGTATTGCAATTTTTTTTTAAATCCCACAATGATGAGCAATCAATTTCACAAGACTTTGCATTTACTCCGGGAAGTAACATAATATGTATTGAAAATTGAATAGGAAGCATGAAACGAGAATGAAAATTAATATTTATTGAGTGAAAGGAAGAAAATTTATCGTCAACTTACGTCCGTTAGTTGAATTACTTGGTTCGAACCCACCACGTGTAAGACCCATTAATCATGAAAAAACTTTTGTTCAACTTTTTTATTAAAATCACATAAGAGAAGATTCTACGGTTTTTATTAGATAAAGAGTTACAAAAAGGCAACAAGAGAAGAAAAGAAAAAAAATTGCCAATTCTCTTTATGTAACTTCTGGGGGAGGAAATTACTTTTAAAAATTGTCTAAATAATTTTAAAAAAGAATCTATTTGCCAACCATAAAACGATTATTATTGTTATTGTATAATAAGAAAACAAGAAATGCATTATTTGTGGAATTGCGCGAGTATTTGACGTGATGTCTATATCCTGTGCATTTATGTCAATTTGCACAATGGGAATGGCTAGTTCGGCGTCAAATAATCCATGTAGGAGTATGGACATACATGTTTCAAGTGCTAGCTGCGAGCTATTTGCAATTACACATCACTCTCACTGGTAAGCTTTGAGTGCAGACAAACCTTAATTTGCTAAAAACAAATCTTTTTCAACACTATTGAATGTGCAAAGCTCATTGTTTTACGAATTAAACGAAAAAAGTAGTTGGGAATTTTATGCCATGGGAATAAATAATTATATTGTACTTTTAATAAAAAAAAGAAAATTAAATCCTGATATAAACATTGACGAGAGTTGTAAAGTTTAAATTTTAATATACTTCCTATTCTACTATATAGTTTCATTTTTGTCAGACTTTTTTGAATTTATTTTAGTGCACACATACTTTCAAAGACTACTTTTTTCTGTAAATCAAAAAAGTTTTCTTAACAACTCAAACTTTACCACTGCAATGTCCAATGTTCCTTAGTTTTTAACTCTTAAAATCTTCCCTCCTCCTACTCTGTCTGTAAAGGAAAGTTTTGCAGACCATGCGAAATGTGAGAACTATATCTACTTCATATACGTATTTAAGGTACATGCATCTGGCTTTTCATGCTTATTTGCTATTACTGCAATTTTTATTTTTTAAATCGTGAAAGACTGTTTCAAAATTAGTCATTTAGTATCATAATTCTATATGCATAATGTCAATTTTCCAAAAATTTATAGAAATAGAAATTAATCGATTTTCATAAATTAAAGAAATGTACCTATAAAAATAAATAAATATTTAAAAGAATTTTCATAATCATAAACTTCTCCACGAAATACATTATTTGACTACAGTTACGACCTAGTTAACTAAACCTAAACTATATCAAAATTCGATAATTGAAAATTCTTGGCCACAATTTGCTATTGAACTTGAACCGCAGTTAACCCTTCTTAACTTAATTTGACAAGAGTCAAATTAATGCGCATATACTGAACGGACAAATACAACATGTATTAGTTTCACTTATATTTTTAATATCGATTAATTAAACTAAACCATCTGAGAATAAAAATTTCCATGTGATTATTTATACAAACGTTTAAAAAAATACCAACATTTATTTATTCTTCATTTCAAAGTAAATGTATGGCATATCAACCTACATCTCATGTCCAAGCAAAAAAATGGTATACAACTCAAAAAGCACCACTGGCTAAACTTTAATAATGAATAAAAGCTGACAGAGGTCGTTAAAATCTTCTTTGACTAAAATTCGCATGTAACTTGTACAATTAAATGAAAGTAGACAATTTTCCTGTGCATTGTTTAAGAGAAATTTTATTTTTAGTTTAATTTAAATAATTAATATTAATACTGAACGTTTACGAAAAAAAGGCAATTCTGCATAGGATTCGTGATCCGAGTATTTACAAAATGTTATGAATATGTTCTTATTTTTATAATAAAAAAATAGTAACTTTAGGGATAAAGTAAAAAATAGCTTATTTCAGAATACATTTTTTCGGACATTCAAATGATATGGTAATGATATGGCATTCAAGAAGAATTAGTTTAAATTTGGTACATTAACGTTTATATTTATGTAATATATTGAATAAATAGTTGGAAGCGTTACTCTCCTTTAGTGTGCAAGTTTGAGAAGTTTAAATACAGATTTAGTTTAGCAAATTTTGCTAATAGGCGCTCTACAACAGGAAAGTGTCAAAGTTAACAAGTTTCGTATCAGAATATCTGCCCTGCTTAGATTGTCTGACAGATATTTAAAGTTTGATAAACTAATTTTCATCGTGAATGTAATAAAATCAGTTAATAACCCAGTTGAAATTTTAAGAATTCCCGCACAAGAGCTGGCTACTCACTATATAAATTGGCATTGTTTCGATAAATTCATTTGAAAGTGTGTAAAAGTGTGAAAAAACTTACCGATGAAGCAGGAGAGGACGAGAAATGCAGCTGCACGAGATGTAGTCATTGTGAGTGTGGTCTGAGTCCAATTTGAGAGAAGCAGTGGCTACGGCCACGTAAATGCAGGACCAGACATTGTAAGAGCAGGTATTAAAGCCTTCAATGTGGTTCAATATAATTAAGACGACTCACACGTAAGCGTTAATATGTGTTGCACTATAAAACTCTTCGCCTCACTTCTTTGTCTTCCTCCTCCCTGCAAAGAAATAACTCTCAATGAAACAAGTGTGTGGAATTGAATGTGAATACTTGTATGTATACATATATGTGAAACACTTTTGAGAGGAAACTCTATATTTGCAGTGTACGCAACCGCTCTTTCATCTTATTACATTTTTTTCAAATTCACCATGAAAGACTAATATTTATTTTATAATTTTAAGCATGAATAACTTTGATTTTTCTCTTTTGATCACATATATATGAACGTTTATCATTGCTTTATTCAAAACGTTTCAACCACCAATAGAGGAAAATGGGATAAAACCGAGTAATTGTGCAAATTGGCTGTTTGCAGAGAATCAACTGAAGCAGAAGTTGACGACGACTGGACAGTATTGGCATTGGCGTCGAAGCATTTTACAAATACTAGTTACTGTTTTTCTATGTGTCGTCGACTCGTCGACTCGTCCACTCGTCGACGAGTCGCTATGTTAAATTTGCGGATCATATTTTATTTTTCAATAAAAAGTGTCGAAAACAACTCTATATTTTTTGTTCAGGTTATGAACACTGTTAAAACACGGTTTTCATTTTACGCCTTGCAAAAAAAGACATCTTTTTTTAAATGTAACTTAAGTCTGCTTAATTTCAGCAGACAACAAAGAGAAAAAATATCTGTGTCACTGATACAAGCTCTGCAACTTATTTCTTTCAATAGATTTTTTGCTGCCTTCCAGATAAGCTTAAAATTATTTTTAACTATTTTTACAGTGACTTATACTGCACGATAAGGATTATAATATTTTTTCCAAATAGACGTCCCAGAAAGTTTCTAGCAAACTTTCAAACTTGAAATGTAAATGCAATATGAAAACAAATGTGTTTTTTTTTGTTCTTGAATTTTTAAACCTATATACTTAATAGAATAGAACATTCTGTACAAAACTGCAAAACTGATCGTTAACGCAAAATTTACATTGAAAAGAATTTTTCAACTTTGTTCCAGATAAATATGATAATCGACGTCAGTGACTTTCGTCCGTTTTTGAATAAGTAAACCTCACACATATTGTGTACACACATTGTGCATACCAAAGAACTTTTTACAAGGTTAAAACACGATAAGTTTTTATTCAAACACAGAAGAAACCTAGGTTCAAAATTAGTGAGCTGCGACAAAAATGAACCTTGTATAGCGCCACGTTTAGAAATTTTATTCATATTCAGCTGACAAATTTTGTTTTATAACTTAAATGAAAGAAGAATATTAAAGAGAATCCATAAAATCTTTCAAGAAATGAGAGAAGCGCGAGTCCAGTTTATAAACAAATAAAGAATATTCTGCCTTTTGCAAGCTTATTAAACTGTCTTTCTAGAAACTTATTGATTGTTTGATTTTGCTTAACATATTCTAAATAGTCTACGTTTACAAACTGTTTCGGAATGTGTGGATTCCTATATGCCATCAAGCTTAAAGTGGTATGAGAAATGAGGTTCGAAATCGAAGCCAAAGTTCAGTATTTGTTTGGCATTTGAGTACTTTTCGGAATGTCCAGAGTTTAAATTCTTGTAGTTAAACACACTGAATTCCTAAAAATTCCTATTTTTAAAATCTATTAAGACTTGAGAAATACAAGTTTGAGTTAAAGTTGAATACAAGTTTAATGCTAATCACTTTACAGGCGATTGCTGATGAATAATTTAATAATTTCGCGAAAATCGCGAAAATCGCGATTATCGGCAATTATTAATTAACACCTGTTTATTGCATATAAAGAAGAGAATGAAACTGAATGAAACCAAAAGACGACAAAAAGGAAACAAGTGTATGTGTCTATTGTTTTTTGTTTTCCATAAAGAAGATAGGAGCGACAATGTAATTACTACTGAAGACGCACACTCTTTTAAGATCCTATGACATAGATTACAACTATAACTTCTATGCAGAACCACTTGTTGCTGCATAATTAATAATGCTAGGCAAAAACACAAGTTGTGATTTACAGATTGAAATGCAACAAGAACAAACTCTTTGTCTCACTTTTTGCGTCAGCGTCACATAAAAACTTTCTTTATAATTATATAAACTCCAGTGATGTAATCACAAATGTAAACCTATAAAGTAGGGCGATTTCTGACATTTAACTTGATAGTGGTACCAATTAATCAAGAGTCTTATTGCAACTAATTAAAATGTATTTACTAAACAAAAAATAAATTAGAAAGAAAGTCAATCTAATAATGACTTATTTTCGAGTTAAGATTAGCACCTAAATAACTTATATTTCCGTTCGAAAAGTTTTACATCGAACCTTCTCTACAGCAAAGAAAAGTATTCTTGGAATCCGAGAAGATTTAGTTCTTGGATCAAAAGATCAGTTCAACACCTAAAAGTTTAAGAGACTTGTTCTTGTCAGGTAAACAGAAAAAGACTTTAAAATAGAGTTTTTCATTTAAAACACCATTGTTTATGCACGTCTTGACAAAAAATTATTAATATACAAGTAATTCAAGAAATTACCAACTGTTTTAAAAAATACGTTTATTGTTCATTATTCAATTGATAATCTGAACTGAATGTAACTACGCGGTGATTTTCTCTCTCAGAATTTCAGTCATAAAAGCAATTTTAAAAGTCGGTAGACTTGTACAATGTAAAACTTTTTTAATGTACAGTTCATAATATTGAGGAAATGAATTTCAACTAGATCTTGTGAAACTTTTAAGTGATACAATTATTGCGGCTATAGAAATCTGATTAGATAAAACGGGTTTGAGAGATTATATTTTAACAAGTTAATTACAGTAGATAATTAGTTGCAATTTTTATCAATGATTAAAAAATAAAAGAAATTGCGAAAGGTATTTTTTAAATTTTGCATTATATACATATACACACACGTAAGAAGTGACTTTTGCATTTGATCGCGGTTGCTACTGTTCCCTTCTCTCGAGTTTTGGTCGAACTGAATTCACCGACACTATTTCACCCACACCCAACAAATGCCACCATATGTCAAAATTTAATCTCGCGATCTAATCTCAACTCGCTATTTTCCATGCATTCACATTACTTTTATTTTCGCTTTAGAATTTAATCTCTGAGTAAAAGAATTCATGGAATAAAACGTTATTCAACGGTGGATTTTCTTTGACAGAAAAAGTGTTTTTAATTTTATTCGCTGCAGTTTAAAATATTCTCAATATTCACTTAGTGGGAAAGTAAAATTTATTTCATTATTATACCTAATAATCTATAACTTCCCTCCACATATTTCTTCTATTTAGATAACCGAGTTATTTTAATATAAATGAATTTTCTTTTTTCTGCGTAATGAAATTGGTGAATGGATTTAAAGTTAAAAGTCAAGTTTGTAACTTACACATTTCGACGCGAAGCCAATTTTCTAAGTCTTTACTACTTCAGCGTTTCTTAAAGTTGGCGACATGGTGTAACATAAAAATTGCACAAACAGGCGCAAAAGTGATCGTAAACTAAAATAATAGCCACAAGGGATCTTTCATCCAACTACCAATAAAAGTTCATTGAAGAACTTAAGAAGCACACAAGCCAATAGCAGCTTAAAGAGCAGAAAATTCGATCGACTCTTATATAAACGAGCAATACATCTTACACGATTTTCTTATAAAAAATGAAATATAAAACAAATTGTTAAAACGCATTTTAACATTGAATTACAAAAAAAAAACAATTGCATTTTATTACACACTGTCAATTGTTGTTGCAAGAAAAAATCCATAGTTTTGACAACGTTTCGTTGAAAAATGTAGTTTTTCACACTTTCCAAGATATTAGTATATATATACTGATTTATTAATATAGGTGCAAAAGTTTGAAGAAACGTGTCTGTGCGTAAACCGCAGAAGCAGACACGTTTCCAGAAAACATAAAAGAAACTTATCGTACTAGTTTTTATATTTAACAGTACGTGCATATCATGCTGCACTGAATATAAAAGATAAAGCAAGAACCACCAGAAATTAATGTCATTTTTAGATAATTTCATTTTTATAATAAATTAAAATTTCTAAAATTTCAAATGCACACATTTACAAGTTATTTTAAAATTGACTCGATCAATATCATTCCATTGTTAATAGGAAGAGAAAAAATGTGAAGAATTAATAAAACAAAATGCATAGCAGATCGAATTGCGATTAGATTGTTAATCATTCCCGTCCGGATGTGACAATTTATTCGAGGAACCAAACACACTGATAGTTGTTTACTCTTGGATCGAATTTATTTATCGCTGGAATATCGCGATAACGATGTTTAATATATTGCAACGTTATATTTATCTTTTATATAGATCCTGCAAATAGCAGAATCTGTATACAGAGGGAAAATAAAAAATATTGCATGACAAAAATAACTGTGAATTATTTTTTGAAAAATGAAAAAAATTCTAGTCAAATAAGAAGTGATTACCATACATTATAAGTATATGTAGATTTGCGTGTGAATTAAGCTATTCAAAAGATTCTCTTAGCACGCGTCGAGTCGAGTCGCGTCGCGTCTCGTCTCGTCGCGTCGGGAATCTTCTAGAACAAGTTGACCTAGGTTGCATATGCTTTTTTTTATTTCGTCACCCGACACCCACATCTCGCTATACAGAAGGATTTAAATAATATTACAACAACAACAACAACAACAACAACAACAGATTATGAATAGGTGATAATAATAAAGATGTGTAACTGATACAATAATAGCTCAATGCGTAAGAGTGTCGCACTGGTGACTCATAGAAAATACTGTTCAGCTCAAATCAAAAGAGACATTGATTGGCTGGTGGCTGCAAATAAATGGAATGGAGAATATTTCTCAATTACTTGAAATATTAGCTAACGGACCAGACCGTTTGCACCAAATCCAAATGTATTATCTGCGAGATGAAATTTTCCCCTCTGGCTGTCTCAAGAAGTGTAAAACAAACACTTTTCTGTTTCAATTTTCTGCTTTTCAATTTGCAGTAATAGCTTATGAAAAATTCACTTTCATTATCAAATATAATTGAAGAAAAAGTTTATTCTATACACCGGTAGTCAATTAAAAAAGAATATAAATTGAAAATTTAATAATCATTATTAAATGAAGATACACATGGAGATAATGAAATAAATTATCATCAATTATCATCAATTATCATCAGTTACGGATAAAATTAATTTTCATTTATGAAATTTTCTTCTTTTACAACTAAATGAGGGTTTCTTTGTGCCAGAATCGCTCAACAATTCAGGGTTTAAGCCGATATGGGAGCTGTACTGATTCCATGGACGATTTACGGAAGGAACGCTTAATTGAATTTTCATTAAATTTGCGTTTCGCATACCATTTCGCTTCCATCCACTCATACTATTATACGTCTGTTACGAACCAAAGTGCTAATTGGAAATTTAGACGAAGGCACACAACACAGTGCGGTTAACTGAAAACTCTATTTGGCCCAACAATTTTTACTTTGCAAATTCCCCCAAAATTTGTCCCTGATTATTATTACCCTTAAAATTAGAAGCGGGAAAATTCATGTAGTCTCTTTTGAGAACAATTTAAGTGCACACGATCACGTTTTGCCACAATTTTACTCTTGCTATTTTGAACACGTCCTTGGAGAACTGTAAGTTTCTAGGGATGAATGGCAAGCTTTTATCTCCAAGTGAGAACCTATCAAACACAGTATTTGCTACCGGAAGTGCTCATTTATTTCTCTAAGTGTGTTTTCTTAAAATGAGCAAATGCCTTATGAGAGTCGATCTGTTGAAAACAGAGTTTACAAACATTTCTGAGCAAATGAGATCCGTCATAAATTTTTGTCGAAACTTGCCGCACTTCTTCTCCATTACGAAATCCCAGTTAATCCACAAATCTCCCTCTGCTCTGATTTATATGACAACGAAATTTTCTCAATGTCAGAAATTATAAAAAAAAACACGCATACAAAGTTAAAGAGACGTGGGCAGATTGATTACACATTAAATGATAAAATTTATCAAGTGAGGAATGCGCATAAGCACTGTTTAATTTACCTATTCACTGATACAAAGTTTGATTTACGAAACTGGGAAAGTTGCAATTAAAATTCCTGAATTTCTTATCTCTTTCCCTGTTTGCAAATTGTAATAACATTATCAGTGAAGATGAATACTCTCTAGAAAGTTGAGTTTGCATCAAACATAAATAAATAAATAGGTTTTTGAAATGTGATACGAAATTGCATTTCAACTTTGTGAAAATAAAATAATGAAAAAATAAAAAACTTTTTGCTGCTTTTACACTCAAATTATTAGTGCAATTCTTGGCGCTTTAAAAAATTGAAAGTGAATAAAAAAATGACTATCGTTCACCGACTGTAATTGGAGGAACCCCTCAATCGAGTCATCGAAGCGATAACTTGGCACCGCTTAGATGGTAATCACTTGATTATAGCAGTGAAAGTCAACAGAACAGATAAAATGCACAAAGAAAAAACAAAGCGAAAGATATACTCTTAATGTTCCTCTCGGTTGAAAGTGCAATGACTCGACATTCTTTTTCAATACTTTAAATGAGATTGACAAATATGTTAATCAGAAGACAAAGAAGAAAGCTAGACAGTTGAATGTTCCAATTTCGATTCAATAATGAATTTATTCTCCATTTACAGGAAAAAAAGCTTGAAAACGTTTTTCAAGTTTTAGAATATTATTTCATTCTGTACTGCAGGAATAATTATTATAGAGGAAAATGTCGTGATCAAAATGCTTAAACCAATTAATACAGAATGTGTTTGAATAGAGGAATAATAAAATTTTATAGGAAATCTCTGTGCGGTTTCATCTCCCGGAACGAAGCCTCCAAAATTCAATTGACCATTATACTTAATGGATTGAACAGCCATGGGTTGAATTATTGACGCAAAGTGATCGTTATCAAGCCACGAGTCAATTTTCCTAAATGGCATGTGTATACAGTGTTTAAATTCCATCAACTAACGCCCAAATAAAAATCCCCTTTATCACATGGAAAATTTTAATTATATTATTTAAAAAAATCAAAGAAAAATCAGGTTCTCGCATTAACAACACAGTTGATTTTAAATTTCTGAAAACATTCCTGAACGAAGAACGAACGACCTAGTTTAGAATAATCTTGGAGGGGTTTGTTGCGTGTGACGTGGATTTATTGAGGACTTGACGCTAAAGAGGAGAAACAAACGAGAAGAAAGAGATGGAGATAAACGGCGATACTTATATTAATCGTTGACGCGAATTGAGATGATACGCGGTGCAACAACACAGAGAATGCAATTTTCAATTTGACGAATCAGCACATCCAAGTCTATTTCAAATTAAATTCACTGACTGCGAATCAACAATTTCCTGTCACATCACAAATTCGAGTCAAATGAATTTCTCTATCCGGAGCTAATAGAGAAATTATCTTTATGCCAATTTAGTCACCTGGATTAGAATTGCGAGCACCAAATGCTATTTCGAACAAAGAATTTTATAACATTGTTGATAACATTTATTGCGCATATGTATTTCCTAAAAACCTGTCATTAAATTTCAATTTTCTTAAAAGAAAAATTAAAAAAAAAACCCCCCTTATCGTTCGCGTTTTTTGTGAGTAGAAGCAGAATATTGTTTTCCAGTGAAATCATACAAATACACAATTTGCACTGGTAAGCTGCATTGAAAATATTTTCAATATCAAAACTTATCTGAAGAATTAAATTTCAAGTTTTTAAAACTTTCATTACCGGTTCTAAAATTACATTTCAAATTAAACAGAATGGTATACTAATGTTCATAACTTCTGCAGGAATGCAAAAGAAATGAACAGAAAGAATGAACATTAATAAATGAACAGAAAGAAATATATTTAAGAAAGGAACAAATAATTTCGAAAAAAAGATGAATAAATGCTAGTAAACTTAAAAGTTTTCATTGTAAAAAAACAATAAATGCCTTGTTAGTGAAAAATGGTTGTTAAATTCATCTTTCAGGAGAAATTAAATACCGTGCTGGAAAAATGATTAAAAAAACTGAAATCGAGGAAATTTAATATGAATGTTTTGAGAGAAAAAAGAATTCAACTTGCCTCGTTGAACGACGCGGCAGGCCGTGCGCGAATCGTTGAATTTTCGATTTTATATGCCACCCACCTGACCAAACCAAAGAATTATTACACTATTCATGGAAATTTCTTTAATTTTTCCTCTTTGTAAATTTAATGCAAATTTCCCTAAACAATTTGAATTAAGAAAATTAATTTTTTTATATTTATATTTTTAGTCTGAATTTTTACGCTGAAACTTTATTTCGTGCTTCACTGATGAAATTTATATGTTTATTCGAAATATGAATCTTCTTTTCCATCTTTCTATAAGCCCTTCTTAACAATAGGAGCTTGAAAGAAAAAAGAAATCTTCACCATCGTATTTCTTCATTTCGAATATAAAGGCGGAATATGTATTTTGAATCAAACAATTTTATTCATGAAATAATGAGAAAGCAGCCTCGAAATCTGCTCCTGTCTTGTGCATGTGTTTCATTTTTATTTCACTCCACCATCAATGAGTGAAAGAATCTAAATGACCTTTTTCTTTCTCTTCCGTATGTTATACAGAATGTGACATTCCGGCATATATACATTCGCGGTTTGGATTCAACCCACAGGGTTGCCTTCAAACGCGGTGAATGTTACATTCTTTCATAAAAAAATAATGTATGCAAAAAAGGAACGGCACAGCATAAAATATAATTAAAAGACATGCATATTGAAAGTCATCGAAAAAGCCGCAAAAGCAGTAGTTGAAATGGAATAAATATTTTGCAATGCAAAAATGCAATTTCAATTAAATGTGTACGTTCGCGGAAAGTTGGACAATCCGTTTTTAGTTCCTTGATAATCGAAAAAAAGATTCTCTCGCGCATTCCAATGACGATAACGAGACATTCCTTTGCTTATTTTTCTTGCAAAATGATGCTTATTACCTGCGATAGACAAAGGCGCTTATCAAACACGATAAGAATGAGAGATATTTCCCGAAAAGATGCGTTTGTAACTATAAATAATAATTAATAATTCGATTTTGTAAAATTATTCTCGCACATATCTGGGAAATGTCGAAAATTTATCGGTTTTCGTCCGCAATAACCTAGCTCAACGTGTTTCATCTTTCGCCTCGATTCCGACTCGCCAGCACGAGAGCTTCAAGAAAATAGTCTTACCTGCTTGACAATTCGCTTCAGCAAACGATTGCACACTCACGAACATTATACTGAAACGTCGTTGCGAGCACGCACAACTCACAATCAGTAACATTTTTCCCTACACCTTAGCACCACTCCTATTTCCTCAACTTCCGGTATCAAGCATCACATTTTTCTCCGCTCACAATAATGACAAAAGTATAACAGTTGTCAGTTAAGGCTAAGGCTATGCATACGAGTCACTCAATTGCAAATACTCCACAAAGTGCACATTGCCTTGCTGTCAAAGCAGGAAATTGAGAAGCAATCTTAATTGCAGCAGTGATAAGGACTGAGACATTCCAAAAAGAAGCGGGCACAATCTTAAGAAGCGGATCAATTCTATCAACAACTCACTAAACTGTCTAAATTCTAAATTTGGCCTAGGTCAAACCAAACGACATAATTAATTGAGAACGGTCCAATGAGTCATTGCCATAAAAAGTGCGCTGACAGCGATCCAAACTCTACACTACGCGCCACACACGCCACAATACTCTCGCGAAGCGCAGGCGAGCGACTGGCCCGCGGAGCGAGTGGCCACGGGTTAAGTAAGCCTTCTTCGGTCGGTATATCAACATAATATATACTTCGAGTCAGTCTTCCACTCAAAATAAGCAAATAGTATTTGCAGGGTTGCTACAGAACCTGGCAAACCTGGAAAAGTCAGGGATTTTTTAAAAAAAGGTCGGGAATACCTGGAAATGTCATGGAAATTTGAAATGCCTGGAATTTTATTCCACTTAATATTTTTTACTACATTTTTTCTTTTAAAAAATGATGTCCTGGAATTCCTGGAAATGTCCTGAAATATCCTTGAATTTTCCATATTTTGCCTTTAAATATTCAATAATTTAAAAATTTTACTCAAATTTAAAAAAATAATTTTTTTGATCCTTTAAAAAATAATTTTAATTTGTCGTTTGATTAAAGAATCTGATATCTATATATAATATTGATTTTTAACTCTTTTTATAATAAAATAAATATTTTTGTTCAAGTAGGTTAATTTAAATTATGTTATTACACATGTAAATGTCCTGGAATGTCCTGGAATTTTAAGTCATATTTTCAGTAGACACCCTGTCTGTGCTTTAATAATAATCAAATAGAGATAATCTAACGTGAATATTTTTATAATACAGAAAAATTCTAATTTATTATTATTAGGCCAATTTTTCTTCAAAAATTGCTCTAATTTATAATGTTCAAAAGGTGACCTGGAAATTTATCAGATTTGGTACTGGAAAACCTGGAAAAGTCATGGAAATTTAAAAACAGACTTCTGGTAGCAACCCTGAAATACCCAAAACTCCTTAATATTTCATTCATTTTATTAGGAAATAATTTTAATACAATTTTCAACAAATTTCTCAAAAAATTAAATTATTCTTCAAAATTTTATTAAAATTTGTCAAGAGAATTCAATTATTTTAAAATTTGTTGATAAATTTCTTTGTGAGAATTCAATTTTGAAAAACATTCAATAATTGAATAAATTATTTATATAATTGTATTTAAATATTAATTGAATTCTCGTAGAATTTTCTAATAATTATTGATTTAAAAATGTATTTCAGTTAAAATTTCAGATTATAATTGAATATAGAAAGCATTATAGCGCAAATTTTTAGAAATAATTGAATTTTCAAAAAGTTTCAAATTAAAATCTTTTCGAAAATTTCAACTTTTCATAATTTTAATTAAGAATTTTGTAGAATTAATTTTTTTCAAAAAGTTTAGTGAAATTTTTTTTTAATTATTTGAAGTTTTTAATTTCTAATATATTTAATTGAAGAATTTAGGAATAATCGGTATTTCGTAAAATTAAATTGTAAACAAAAGGATTTGAAAATTCTCAAAGTTTAAAAGTTTAAATTTTTATAAAACATGAAGAAAGCGATCGATATCTTCATGTTTTATAATAATATTCTTATATGCTATTGAATTTGAAATAAGCAAAAGCGTGAAAACCCTGATGAAGTATTTTTCAGAAATAGTTTACTTCGCCCTATCTTCAGTTAAATCAGACGATTCGTGAAGTTCACTATCAACCTAATTAGATAATTGATTTCTTATGCAAATGAGTATGTAAAAATGACACAATATACAAATACGATCATTAATTTATTAACTTGAAATATGCAACGCCAATGAGCGCAAATATGATATATTGAAATTAAAATTTAATCACTTTACCGCAATTAAATTACATGAAAATAATCCAAGTTTCTATTATTAGAACCAGGTCTACGACCCAATTTCACCAAGAATATTGAATTTTGTAAATTTCTTTTTTAGAAAAAGACTTTATTATACATTTAATAATTCTAGAATAAGATTTGCATTTGCTGGGGAAAAATTGATTTTCGCATTATTATTTAATCTTTGAATTAAGCGGAGAAATTATTAAACACAATTAGTTTTGCACAAATGCCGTAAGCTCGTTACTTATAACATCGAGCAGTTCGCCGCATTATTATAATTGTGCCTCTTAACCGCACTTATCCCTTTTATTTAAAGATTCAATTCTCAAGCAGATAATCTCTATTTTGAAAATTATCAATAATTTTTGCATATTAATAACCATATTAAATTTTATTATTTAAATTGGTCTTTCATGTCAAGAGCTTCGAGTTTTTTTTCCCAACACTGGTCTTTTCACTGTAAGCTACATTGTAGTTAAATTAATTCTTTTTTCTTTTTTTTTTTGCCTTTTTAAAAATCCAAGAAGGACAGGATCTTTTCCGATTGCGTTCTTCACAAACGTGTAATAAAGTAGATTGTCGAAAGACCTGTTTGAAGTTTATTTTTACGAAACGCCAAGGGCAAAATCGTTACTGAAGGTAGCTTCAGTATTTTTCTTTTATTCGCCCCAGTGAACGTTTGGCGAAGAAATAAAGGAACGCCGTATCCGCAGAATGGATATCAAAGGCGTGTATCGCTAGATATAAATTACAATTGCGAGCAAAAAAATCACTTGAAAAACTATGAAAATAAAAATATGCTTGTTGTGGAATTTATCACTAGTCAACGTGTGTACTTGACTAGTTACGTCATTTTCATCAATATTTGTGGAAATATTCTAGGTACTCTGCGTACTCTTTAAAAAGTTCCCGAAGAAATTACTAAACTTTTAATTCTAATTAATTTAATGCGAATTGTACGATCTATACGTTTGTTTTAATTAGTTTCAACTCACTCTTAAACTTAATTCAATGAATTCTTTTTATCTCTTCAAATTTGTAATTTTAACTCCATTATCGTTTTACTAGAAAATATATTTAAATTTTCAGTTTCATTTTAAAAAGGAAAATTAACGCAACAGCTTGGCGCCTTAAAAACAACTTCTCTCCTTGCTTCAAAGCATACTTAGATACAAGTATGTCGAATTCAAAAAGTAAATAAATAAATTAAAATTTATTCTTTAGAATAAAATTAAATTTTTTAAACGTGTGGCATTTTTTTTTTTTTTTTTTTTTTTGAACAAAATAAAATATGAAACTTTATCGAATTCGACTCGAACGTAAAGAAGAAAAATATTGTCTTCAAAACACAGGAAAAAATAATTTCAGTTTGCATATTGGTTTCGTATTTATTTTCTTTTTATCAAACGAATTGATAATGTTAATCCTTTCATAAATACAAGTGTTGAGATTAAAAAAAAAAAAACTCGACATTTTTCAATAATTTTTTCTCGTTATTTAATTAATTCATTCGAAGTTAATCTAAATAATGATAATAATAATAATAATAATAATAAATATTCATTATATGCAAAAAGAGTAAAACGACTTAACAGATTTGCAAGTAAAAAGTTACCCTAGCTGTCACTTTCTGGGAAAGAATGGATTACTTGTAAAAGGAGTCTCAAGGAAAACGAATATAGTTAAAACATATTGACGAAGTGCCCTGTGATCTCAAAGAAAAAGAAGAAAAACATGAAAAAGGGAAATACGCGAGAAAAGAAATCCCAGCAGGTTGGCAAGCTTTATCCAGGTCATTTCAAGTCCTCGCTCGAATATAAAAGACAATTTAATTAGAGAGGGATTTTGTAAAGGACGATGGACACCTCATCAAAAAGAAATACTACTTTTAGAAATGTTGAATTCACAAGCTGATTTTACATGAAAATCACGTATATAATTTTACAACCTTCAAAATAGTCCCGAGTGTATATATGTATAAAAAAGCTGCGTCGCACTTTTTTCCATTATTATACAAAACGCGTAAAAACACTATTTTACAAAAATTATAAATAAACATTATTTACAGTGTTGGAATAGATAAATATTTGTTAATAAAAGTGCTAGTTTAAAATCGAGAAGAAAACTGTACCGTAGTACCTATAGTAGAAAAGACAACATGTCATTTCAAGAAGACATGGCCTTTGAGGAACTCGTTCGATATCAGAACTTGTATTCTCAAATATATATTTTCCAATTTCTTGTCGAAACCTACTCTATTTTCGCAGTATCTATTGTAAATTGAAAAACAGAAAAAAAAGTTTATACACAATATTATTTCTTTGGTAAAATTAATTATTATTTTATTTGAAATCAAACACTTTTAATTTTTATATTTTACACTTTTTATTGTCTTTCTCCCCTAAAATGATCGTTAATGATCGTTAAAGATCGTTAAACATTATCGTTATATTGAAATATATATAAGTTTAAATAAATGATGCAATTTTTGTAAACTATTAGTAACTTTTCCCTTTATCGGAAATGGAAGTAGGTGTATCAGCATTGCTGAAACGAGAAAATTGGAATATACTGCCTAGTATAAAACGATATAACGTAAAATTTCTATATGATGCTTACACTAAAGAACCCACTATTTTCTTCATGAACTCGTATAATGCAAAAAGCTCTAAAAATCATTTCTTGAATAAATAATGCAGAATTTCATTAAAAATGTAAAAACATGTGGGCTGTGTTCCTTTTTATTTATATACTATATTTATACTATATTTATAGTAATACAATACAAAATTTTCAACACATTATGGCAGAGAACTGCGTTTCTTGCTTTAGCACACCTGCAATTGTAAAATAGTTATTTCACTTGTAATTTATTTACACTTATTGTTGAACATTGATTAATAAAAAATGATTAATAAAAAATGACTCAACGAAAAGATTTTTATGCGCATTTTGCCTGGACGGCGACCCTTAATTTTCTACAGTTTCCAGTGCAGCATTGCTCATCGGATTGACAGTCGAGTCTTGATTTAATGCATTCACCATTAATTGGCACTATGAAAAATAAAACACAGAGGGCAATGAACAAAAGAATCCTCCTTGGATACATTTTACATTCGACTAATTTGTTGCGGAGATAATGTGCTATATATATACCCTCTTTCAATACATTTATGGTAAACATTTGCTTCTATAAACCACTTTTGCTTGACATTTAAAAATGCATATACCGCAACAAAAGAATGTTAAATCATTTGTCAGATAAAACAAATCTTTTTGCAAACAATGATATATGAAAACAACTGACATTAATTCCCAGCTTTTCAAAATGTATATACAAGACAACTGAAACAATTACTATAAAATCTATTTTGAGGTGAGCTTTTAAGATGCAAAACGCAAAAACCAAGTAAAGTTCCTCCTTGATGTGTCTGTTTATGAAAATTAATTATTCGCAATCGCACAAGTGTTTTTCGCAATTTTTGTTTTTATTTACGGATGAATAATCTTTTTTTAAACTCTTGAATTCTATTATTGTCGCGTGCAATTTATTACTTGTGCAACTGTGCTGTTTTCGTTTAATTATATTGATTTTTAAACTAATTTTATTTTATCCACGTTTTTTAAAAATTGTTGCATTTTCTCTCAAAGAGAAACGAGAAGCAAAAGAAGGGAATGTAAAATTAAAAAATAGCTGCTGGTTGCGCGTGAGAGCTGCGTCGCACATTTTGGGCTAGACTAAAGCGTCATTACAATATTCTACACATTATCATTTGAAATTAATTTTGATAGAGGATGAGCGTAAATTTGATGCAAAAAAGTCTTTTCAACGGTGTGCAATTCTTTTCCAGTAATTTTCTCATGAAGCTTGCAGAAAAAATTTCATTTGAATAACTAAACGTCAGCCCCCGTTATACGTGAGCTTTAAAGTTTGCAATGACCGCAGAGCGTGATTTAACGCATAGTGAAAAATTAAATATGAGTATGATTTTAGACGAACAATTTCTATGTAAATTCGACCAATGTAATTCGACCCTTCGCTCTCGAATATTTTACAATGCCCATTGTTTCTCTCCTGCTGGGAATCACATTTGTGAGGAGTGTGAGTTTATCGTATCGGATTATGTGAGTCGAAATATTTTCGAAGAAAGCGCAAAGTTTGTAGGAAGAAATTCAAATTCATTATATACGCCCTCATGAAAAACTCATGAAAAACTCATGAGGCTTTATAACTTTAACCATTAGCTTAATTTTTGTTTTACCCATCGAGTTTCATTGAATAAAACTGTGTTTATCCGGAAATAAAATAAAGGATAATTTTTTCATGGGAGATGGTAATTTCCAATAGAGAGCTAGCCGGGCTAAAACGAGAACTTGTCAAATCGATTTATACTTTGCGCAATCTTGAAGCAGGCTTTGCAGAATGGAAGGAACGCTCGCTTAAGATAATTTAGTTTGCATTGAAATGAGCATCTTGTGGCATTTTAACAGTGTCTTATTCTTCTTCGGCAACTTGATAGATGCAAACGAAAGTTGTTGACGCTGGTTGTCGCGGCAAATAATTGAAAAGGGTGTCTGAATATTTAAGTGTTGAAGATAAATTTCCCCCATTGGATTCAGCCGTCGATTATGCAAGAAGCCAGGCAGCAGGCAGGCAGGCAGGCAGGCAGGCCGAGCTTTCAAGTGAAGAGTGGAGAATATAAATGGCTGTGCATACACCTTCTGGAGCACGTTATCAAAATTGAATTTCCGAATATGGCCGTTCAGTGTGGCAGGTTTCTTTATTTATGTCGTACTTTGTCGATATACAATAGAAATTTGTTCGAGAAACGTGTCAGGGAAGTTGAAACATTTGGTCCACTTGCTATGTTCCCTATTCGGATAAACTTTCCGAGAGGCAAGGTTGATACCTAATCGGGCGCTTTTATTTTGGGGATTTTTTTTTCCAATTTCAAGAGCGCGCAAAAAATAGAGAAGCAAATAAATTAAACTCCATTATTCCCAGCAACGAATGAATGAAATAAGTTATTTGACATTAAATTCACCAATTACTTTCTTAATTACGAAACTTTTAATTAGATATTTTCTTTTTATATTACTTTTAAGTTTTCTTCTAAAAGAATTTGATATTATGTTTCCGGGGATAAAATGTCACATTCTCTATAAAGCAATTACCCCAAGTTGCCATCCCCCATAACTCGTTTATGATCCTGCGAGATTTGAGTAAAAGTTATGACTGAAGACTTGCTTTAACAAGCTCTGATTAAATCATAAATGAACAAAGATTTAATACTATTCCGGTAACAAGACAGTCATTTTGATTGGCAGATTAATATTAACTTTTTTCCCCATTTGTCGTGTATTCCTCAACAGAGCTCTTTAACCACTTTCTCATCCAATAATAGCGGTTATGAAAATAAACTACCTGGATTGAAAGTCTCGGTGGAAAAAGTTAAAGAGTCGTTATTAAAATTTCACACCGACACATGGGATGACTTTTGAGAATGAAGTCAATTCCACTCTAAGAAGTATACATTACTTGACATTGCTCCAATATGGGAAAAGCTTGAAGCAAACAGAAAATTACTGATATGGTAGGTTCTCTCTTTCTGCTTTTCCCTCAAGTTCTCTCTATTTCCATTAGAGAAGAACAAACATTGCTCTTGCCAGACTTGATTCTCCCAAGAAAACTAAGGAAATGATAGTTTACATGCTCAAATTGCTGAGTTTACGGTGTAATTGAAACAAACTCGCTAAACTTTTGATGAAACGTTTTTCAATTTCTAATAATCCTTTAATTCGAAGATTTTAATTCTCATTCAACTCGGTGATGATGGATATTTATGAAAATGATTTATTACAATACTGAGTTAATAATGAAAGGAAAAGTTACAACCGTTACAACTTTTCCTTTGGACGATTGTGAAAAGTTGACATTTTTAAATTTAGACAATTTTAAATTATCCAACAAGATTTGATCAAGCCAGAGACAACTTGAAAGTTATGTGTTGCTAAAAGGAGCGCATAAAACTTGGTTCAAACAGTATCAAGAAAAATGTTTGGACAAAATCCTACATTCTACTCTGCACTTTTTTCATCAATCAAACTGACACTCAACTCTCCCATAAAAGCCGTACATAAGACTTTAGATTTCGCCAGACCAAAAATACACCGCCGAAACACTCTTCGTTCAATCTTCAGTATAAAAAATGTCAAATGACAATATTCGACAAACTTGGGTAATAACCCAAGTTAATTTGTTTTTTTATTGCATTAATATTGACATTCATAAGCGATTTTGTTGCAAGAATCCTAATTAATATTAATAATTATTATTTATTATATTTTTCAATGAGGCGAGTTTAAACTCTTTTTATATTTATGTACATAAAACAATCAAAGAATTAAATTTTAATTTATTTCACACTTGTTCAGTACGTTCAATTTTTCTCTGTAAAATAATGAGTAACTTCATCATCATTGAATATCCGAAATAACACACTGACACAATACTAATATTATGAACTCAATTACGAATTAAATTATCAATTCAGACTTTAAAAATTTAAACATATAATGTGGATGGAAATTTAACATATTAAAAACAAAAAAACATTACTTTTGGCAATGAAATATTGTTTCTCCATTTTGCATTTGTGAAAATGTCTCGTTTTTATATAATCCTATAGAGTGTTGAGAGAGGCAAAGGGGTGAGAGAGCATTACGTAATTATGCTGTTATACGCGGTTCGCGTTAATTGGAAAGCAAAAACCTCGAAGCGCACTCTGCTGTCGGAATTAATTGGAATAATAAGGACCGAGAATGAGCCTAAATGATTTACAACAAAGCACACTTTGCCTTTTTCAAAAAGAACGGTCATTAAGGAGACAATAAAAATTTTCCGATTCATGAAACGATCACGATGTCTTAACACCCTTTAATCCATTAGATTTATAAGTAAAATATTCCACTTTCTATCCTTTGTTCCGCGACACTTTCTTCTAAATTAAAGTTGGTATAAATTTTACGGATATTTCAATAATTGACTTTTCACGAGTTTTACTATATATTTATATACCTAATGGTGAAGTGAAATGACATTTGAAAATGTTAAAAAATAATTAATATTTCAGAGTAGTAATAATTTTACACTTATATATTGTTCTCGCTGTGAAAAACAACTAAAATTGCACTCACCTTTACTGGAAGACGATTCAGGTAACTCATCTGAAAACATATTTAAGTTTTATTAGTTTTTATTTAGAGCCTGTCATTTCATGAGTACTCTCCAAGTTTTAATTAGTAAATTTTACTAATAAATTAGTAGAAATTATTATTTATTAGTAAATTTTACTAATACAAAAGCAAAAAGTCAGTAGGTAATTGAATTTAGTAAACATTTTTATAGACATGGTAGACATTTTCTTGACATTTTGAAAAAGTTTCTTTTTTCCAATGTTTTGTAATTATTATGTACAAAAATAAAACTAGTTTGAAATATATAAGTAATTTCTATATAATGTACTTAATCTTATTTAAATTTCAATATTAAATAAAAATTGAACCATCGTTATATATATATATATATATAAAATATATATATAACATTACGACCTTTCGCCACGTCATAAAAGTAAAAAAAGTAGATTGGATTGAGACGTGAGAAGAGTGCGTAGAATGTTTCTCTATACTCCCCTACATTCTAATATTAGAAAACAATTTTTTGTAAGTAAAGAATTAAGAAAGAATTAGAAAAAAGGATCAGTCCACGACTATTTGATAAAAGAACGATTAATTAAGCTAAGTGAACATTATAAAGTGAATATTAGATTTTATTTTATCTATACTTAAAAGGAATTTTCTAGATTTATAGGCATGTAGTTAAGTGAGCTTTATTGTAATATCGACTGATTTTGTTTAAAACATAATAAAACATAATAATCTTATTATTTAAATATAATAATTCTGACAGTTTGGTGCTCCCAGCAATGTTCTATAGGTGCTAACTAATAGTTGAGAATAAATTTAATATGCAACATTCTATACACATATTTAATGAAATTTGGAATCAGTTCCAGATGAATGATAAAATAGTTAAAATTCATTTATTAATTCATTCAAGTTCTATCAACTCTTCCCTTTGGATCTCTTTGGTTTTCAACTACAATTCTGGCTAAAATATTAAATCGATTCTGTTCAAAATATACGACTTTTATTACTTTTTCAATACATTTCTCTCTGCAATTCTCTGCAATAAATAAAAGAAAATAAATAAAAAAAATAATAAAAATTAGAAATTTTATATTAGAACCACCATCATATCATAACATAATTAAAAGAAAAGAAAAGAAAAGAAAAGAAAAGAAAAGAAAAACAGAAACGTTTGAGGTGTACATTTAATGAAGAATAAAGAAGGAAGAAAAAGGTGAATTTCCAAAGACCTGACTTTCATTAACGCTGCCCCATCTCCCATCGTTTAAACACTTCATCTTTTCTCTCAAGTTTTATTTATATTTTCTTTTTATTCAAAGTCGGACATTTTTACTTTGCTTTTCATTCTGAACGCAACAGTGGTGGAAATGAATTGAGAGGGTACAATAAAAATGTGAATCACACTCTTGGGAGTTGTTTTGATTTCTTATTTATACTAGCTACTCGATATACCCCTACTGTTCCTACTGTTCTCAGAACTAAAATAAAATTCACATTCAATGTCTAACTTGTATCATTTGGCAAATGTAATAAATACATAAATAAATCTTAATAGAATAAAAATAAAAAACAATAAAACTGCAATAAATAAGGAGATATTTACCGTAGGCAATTTTCATCGCCAAATTAAGTTTACACTCGTGACGTGTTCTGTACGTGTAGGGTTTCGCTTCGCCGGAACACCAAGACACCGAGGGTCCACAAACGCAGGCTCCTACTGCATTTCCGGCAGAATCTGTGACTCCTTCGCCAACAAGGTTACATCCTGGCTCGGACATCTCTGCCCCGTGCGGACAGTGCCTCCTCCATCTTCCCGGGATTTCTGTACACATATTAAAAATGTTCAAACATTTGTCTCTTTTAATTTATTACAAAAAAAAGTCTCAAGCTAAAATCTTGACAGTCTTTTATCTCTCCTTGTGAACGCGCATCATAATCACTTTAAAAACGCTTCATTTCCATACATGACAAAAAAAAAATTTACTCCAAGTGATTTGTCAGGAAGAAAATTATTCAAGTTTTATCACCGTTTTGAATGAGTGAATTTTGCCAAATAACATTATTGTAATTCTTCAGTAAAAAGAATCACATACATTTCATGAAACGTCTTGTCATAAATCGCAATACTTGATATTTTCGGTTCAAAGTAAAGTAACAGTGAAGTAACAGTGAAGTAACAAAAAAAGTCAAAGAAAAAGCTGTCATAGAATTGAAAACCTCTTTCTTCCTGCATTTTTATCTCGAGCCTCACTTCAATCGAAAGGCAGAAGCAGTAGTGCTCGTGTTCTGTTTCGTCCAGTCGATCACACTTCTCAACTTGAATATTTTATGCTTTTCAAGCTCAAGTCAAATGACATATTTTAAAAGTTCTGTGGAAAATTGTGACTTTAGTAGTTGAAGTATATTTCTTCGTGTACCTTTAAGAATCAATTTATATCCTAGTTTTTTCAACACTTTCAAGTGTCACCACAGTGCAGAAAATACTCTTTTTCATTCAATAAATATAAATTAATTTATGTATTTCCTTTCTTTGTTTTATTTCATTTTATTTTTTTAAATATATACGGTTGCCTGATGCAATCTAAAAACCTGGAAATGTCAGAATACTCTTTATAGTCAGGGAAAAAAGTCAAAGTTTTGTTTTGAAATCAGTTATTTCATTTGGTAAAATATAAATATAGTTTAAAAAACCTGTAAAAATTACTTTTTTTAACCTGGAAATTCTGGAAAAGTCAGGGAATTTGAAATGAGGAAAAACCCGGAAAAACCCTAATATAATATTACGAATTTTTTTGATATATATATATTTAACAGATGTAATTATACAACGCGAACTTTTATGAGTAACAGTAACGAGTCTATTATTTCAAAAGGCTCTCTCTAAAATGTCAATAAAAGTTATGTGAATGTTATGAGTCACAAAACACTCGAACAGAAATAAAGCACCGGAAATTAATGCATCTCAAGATATGTTAATCGATAATTTTCGAGTTATAAATTTTCTTATTCGTTAAAATATTCTCATATCTATTTATACCATTCGAAAAGTGTGACATTTCAAGACTAATTTATCCGCATCCCCTCGTATTCATGTATCAAGTTGATGCAACTTGATGAGAAATGGGTGGGGAATTAACTTGCCTACTGTCGCATAATATTATTTCCATTAATTTGTTTTATTTTTAGCTTAGCGAAAAGGCCGCGGACAGCCGCGGACAGCGCTCGCTGTTCGTGGACTGTCACGTCTGACGGGAGAGGCGGCGTATCCCTTGCGCCGAACTACGGCTAGGGCTGACTCTACTCTGCCTGTATCACTGCCGTGATTTACAAGGTTTACAAGCCGTGCTCCGTGCATTTTTAGTGCAACTTGCGATACTTGCAATACTTGCGATACTTGCGATTTTCGCATATATACTAAGCCTATGGAAAAAGCAAACAAATAACTCTTCTGCGCTAATCGTAACAAATCTCGCTGCATGGACCATTTCATTTATTACTCAAATTAAAACGGATTAAAAATGCATCAAGAAAATATATTGCCGTAATTCATTTGATATTAACAATGATTTTACATTGTTTAGAGCGAAATTCGCAATTACAATCATTGCGCACAAGAGTGTTATTCTTGGTGGAATTTAAGCTTTTCGAGGTGATTTCCTTTTTAAAGCAGAGTGAGAATGAAAAATGTATATGTTTTAGATACAATTCACGTTGCGTTGTTGAAAAAGTGCTTGCGGTAATAGCAGATACTTTTTCGTAGAATCGCATTCTCCAACCGTGAGTATCGGAATTCACATCCACATTTCCCCCTCCTTCATCAATAAATATTAACGCTGTACATTTTCAAGAGTATATTTATTCTTCTCCCGCATTTTAACGCTTATCAAGGTTTTTTATTCAACAGAGAATCTAACTCTTTAATCTTAAATCGTAACTAATGTTATAGTTATAGTTAATAAAAAATAATAAAAACTAATGACTCGTGTCGAGTAGATTTCGATATCGAAAAAGTCATCTCGAGAATAATGAAAACAAGTTCATATTTCCTCTATCCTCCATCATTTTAACATTCTAATTCCATTAGCTACTTTAATTTAAATAATTCCTACTCTATTAATCTAATATTAAACTTTAATCACATTTCACAAAATTAGAATTAACTGTGCTTTTACAAATATTAATCCTCATAGCCATGTAGACTTCATACTGTTCTTTTTTCCTTTCTTATGTATAAAATTAAACAATAGTTTTGAAAATAGATAAAAGAAATTATTCAAATTTAAAATTTACTAATTCGTATTTATTTTATCTCGAAACAATTTTCTTCGCAATAGTTACTACCCAAGAACCTACAGAATACAAATATGTATACCATAAAAAGTTTCTCTCAACTCGAAACTTGTATTATACATTTTTTTCCATTATTTATGAAAGTACATCTAATCCATAAGCAACTCTTGAATTACAAATATTGGAATAAATATATGTTCTATAATAACTTAGAATTGAAAATGTTATAAAATCGTTTTCGCTATATCACCGATATTGAATGTATTCGAAAATATAAAAGTCACTCAAGTAATTTTCACATTTTATCAATATTTCACATTTATTTAACGTCAGAAACTTTTATAAACTTTCTAAGTACTGCTTTTGAATTTCATCATCAAACATATTATTTTATATATTACGAAGGGAAAATGTTTCCTCATTCTGGGCGTAACATCATTAGGCATGATCCAGAGATAAACTTTTTAAAAAAAATTCTTTCTCTCATTTTCGCATCTATTGCACATATTTATATTTCACTTTTCAAAATGATTCGGCAAATAATAAAATATATTTCATGAATCATAAATAAAAGAATGTTTTTCTTGTTCGGTTCTTTTTCAATGCCCGCACAAATTTGTTAATCATATTTTTTGACCCAAGCCCTACAAAAGTTTTAGTTCTCTAATTTGTACATTTCAAATTGTATCTGCAACAAAATTATTGTCAGAATTCTTTCCGCTTCGTTTACATATTAAAGTAAAGGAATTAATATATAGTTTTAGCTTATATTTAAACAAGAAAATCACTTTAAAAAATAATATGATTCCCTTCCAATAGTTAATAGGAATCATCATCATTATCATTATCATTATCTTGTACAACATAAATTTCATTGAAGTCATTAACAATATAATAAACATCATTATTCACTGTATTAATTCGTTCCATACTGTTTGCCAAATGGGTTTCTCATGTGAGTAATATCAGCGGTAAATTCATTGTCTATTACCACCACCACTGTAAAATATGGCCTGTTTCTTATAATTACATCAAGTAGTATATTCTACACGTAACGCTTGAGTAATTTCTCTATTTCCATAGGGTGTTACATCTAATTCACTAAAGGCGGTCGCGGTCCCTGAAGTTAGCGTCGACGCCGACGCTCAGCACATCGAAGACAATTTTTTTCTTTTAAAATTGCAACGAAATCGAAGAAATCAAGAAATTAAGCAATTGTTTCAAAAGTTGTAGATTAAAAGCGTGTCGATCTTTAATTTCCACATTGAAGTCGCCAAGTGTCGACGTTATAACTTCAGGGACATAATTAGTGAAACTGTTTTATCGATTTTTATAATCAGCAAAATTTTACTGGTTGCTTTGAAAATTATTACTAAATCATTTAGTGGACAACTTTTCGTTAATTCATTATAACTTTCAACTAATTCAGATTATGAGAGTTATAAGCTTCATTTGAGAATATTAATTCATCAAACAGAATTTTTTAAACTTTTATATTCACAATTTATCTGCGGATATCAAATTGAGACAAAAAACGAATGAAAAAGTTGCTTCGCAGAAAAATTGCGTTCTTTATGTGCGCATGAATTTTTTTGAAACTCGTAAAATTTTTAGAAAGTTATAATTAAGTGATCACTCGTTGTATTAGGAAGTATCAGACAAGTCAGGAGAAGAATTCAGGTCACGAACTGAATAGACTGAACAGAATCTCGTTTCTTAATTCTGCAAGCACAACAAGGAATTTTCATTCTCTGAGAGCGAAGTAAGCTAAGCTTGAAATAGGAAAAATTCTGTTGAATGCTTATAAACGTGTATCTTTGTAGGAAGCGTCAACCAAATTAAATTAATTTTACAAAAAGAAATATTTCATTCTAAAAACTATTTTTCTAGGATAGGTCCTATCCGGTCCTATTCTGGTGAATAAAAAAAATTATTTTGTATAGAAAATTGAATGCCTTACTTGTGCAAATTCCTTCGTCGACTTCACGAGCGTGGTGTAATAAATTTTTAATTACACATTGAAGACCTATAGCGCAACTTCCAGAAAAGCCAAAAAGTCCTCCACAGGGCTCCCCTTCAACACGCGCGCATACTTTGCAACACCTGAAACACATTTGCACAATGTTTGTTTGTTAACATTTCTCTTAAAACTCGTTCTTTGAATTTCGATAGGGGACGTCCATAAAACTACCTAGTACAATTTTTGCAGAAATTTTAAAACCCCCCAAGTAGTTTTATTTTTTGAACCCTTATTGAAATTTTCCTATATAATATAATTTATAAAAGAGGGATATTTTGAAAAATAGATTTGAGAATCTCCTTTGTTAATGATTTTTCTTAATTGCGAAACCTTTTGAAACTGAATGTGGCAAAGGCCAAATCAGGCCAAATATCTAAGCTTAATATAAAATATAATATTTCCTTGAAATTTTCAGTTTAATTTGAAGCTGTCCTATTTCAATTTATTAGTTTCACTTTGCAACTTTACTTTGATCTAAAGTTAAATTAAATTTCTCGTGTTTCATTTCATTGCGCCTGAGCTTAAAATTACGTGTATGTAATTCTCACTGGAGAATTTCAAATACCTGGGTGTAGAATTGGTCTTTGAATTAGCCTTTCTCCTACATGTTCGGATATTTATTAAATAGCATTAAAAATTTTCATTGTTACAATAGAAACTTTTCACACGTGTGTCAAATGAATTCTCTCCTTAAAAATCAAGCTCTAAAGAATTGAGATTGAACTCCTTCACTTTAGCAAAGCAAATGGAGAACAAAGTGAAAAGGGAGAATCAAGTCAAGGGGAAAAAGTGCTGAGAAAAACGTGTATCACGAAAATTGTTAAAGTGACGGAATGATCAAGTCTGCCTCGACGTGGAAAGACCTTTATAGATTATGGATATAACAGGAAGTAAATTAAAAAAAGGACGACTAGGGCGAGTATAGCAATTTTATGAAAACTTGTTATTAAAGATTCTTCGTTGCCATTGCCAATTTCAAATGCGAAAGGTTTTTTTTGCTAAATGAAGCGAAATCTTTTATCGATTCTGTTTTTCTAGTGTGAAACGCAATGTCGACTTAAAGTTCTGAATAAGTCTGTTAAAAAAATTTAACGAGTAATCTGTAATTCTTGTCGAGCATTTCGTTTTTTTATACATGAAAAGAACTTGTGGAATGAAACATTTTTCTCAATTGAAAACTTATTTATGTTAAAGAGAAGTCTGCGTCTTTTCGAGGGAAATTATTGCAATTCACAGTTGACATTGCATACGTCGAGAGAGCAATTGTTTCAGGTTGAAATAAATAGCAATTTGGTTTTTCGATGCTCGAGGAAGCAAACGTTCAGCATCTTCCGAAATTAATGCTTGAAATGTGGCCCAAATGAGAAATCGATTCTCCTTCGGTTCAGTCAGCAACTGTTGAAGCACAATATTACAACTGGGAAACATCAAAGGCTATTATACATGCGGCTTGTCGAAATTAGTCTGAAAACTATATAAACTCAATAATTTCCATAATTCGATTTCACACCCAAACTATTTTGATGTTTGTTTGTCTTTTAAGCCAGTCAAGTCAATTTTTGCCAATAAAAAAAAATAAAAAAAAATAAAAAAAGTCCATTACAAGCAATTTATTGAATAATGCAACTTACAAAAGAAAGCAATCACTTTTTCAATTTAAGAAAACTAATTTTCAATAATGATTATTATTTGAGAGTGCTCATCAAACTAATAAGAATATTTTTTTCTTGATTTTTTATGTAAAAATGAGTTTTTGCTGAGCAGTTGCTTCGATAATTCACTTTTTAATCGACGACTACGACTTTTGCAAACGTTGAAGAAATTGCTTCGGAACAATTGAATTATCTTTTAAATTAAGTTTAGTGAATTAATGACTCAGTCTGTCAGAAAATTGATTCAGAAATCTGTTGTCATTCTTACTTGCAAGGATCCCAGGTGAGCCCTCCAGGACAGTCTTCTTCGGTGAGAAGGTCGCACTCAAGAGGTGAACAGACACAAGATAAAGCTTTTGCTACCGCGAATGATAAGACCACAATACCTCCAAGGGAAACTAATGGAACCCTCATTTTTGTTCAAATGGTCCTTCCTGTCCACCAACACACTGTCCTACGAACTACACTCAATTGTACGAATTGTATTTGTATCTACGACTCGGAGCCTAAACTTTGTCCCATTCATCGGGTTTCTCGATCTCAGTCTTTCTTTTTATTTCTAAGCTTTAAAACAACTTTTCTTTATCCATTACACATTAGTCCGCACTTTCAATTTTTTTTTTCAATCTTATTATCGTTTCTATTTAAAATAGCAATTTATTTCATTTTTTTACCGACATATATAATTTTATAAGCGTGCATTAATTATTCAATTTATTTTATTTTCTTGCCTTTTATAAACTAATAAGCTTCTTTTTATTCTCATACCATCTCATTAATAATAAAAGTCTATAGAGAAATTATTTTTCAATAGCATGTGCGTTTAAAAATTATTCAATGAATATTGTAAGAAATTTTTTTTTTTTAATTTAAAAAGAAGTTAATTATTAGAATCATAAATGAAAAATGTTTTAAAACTAATTAATGAATAATATCCATTGTACTCAGGGATAATTTTATGAAATCCCATTTCAATATTCTTCTACTACAATAAACTTTTTAATTATGAAATAATTGTATAATTTGCAAAGTTGATTAATTTTTTTCAGAGAACAATATTAACTGATTCATACAAAAGGATTTAAAATAATTTTGCTTGTGAGTATAACGAAATTAACATCTAGATTAATGTTTTTATTTTCACAAATATTTTTATCGCTTTTCACTTATTTGCACAATTATAATAACACATTAAGTAAACAAAGAATTAATAATTTGAAAATGTTTACCTTTTTAGAGAAACGTAAAATACTGCTATAAATAAAATACGACTGATAATAACTCTAACATTAAGTACTTAATCAAAGATTGAACCTAATTGAACTTAGCAAATTAATATTTGTTGAAATTAAATTTTAGTAAATAAATTATCATGAGTCGAAATTGTGGATAAACAATAAACATATTACGAATTAGACATAATATTAAATTGTTTGTATAAAAAATTCATACAGAGAAGAAAAGAAAGAAGAAGAAGAAGAAGGATTTAGACAACTGTGATTAACAAGTGTCATAATTTCATTTTCACACGCGTTTTTCGCGCATTGTATCAAATCAGAAATTGCAATTGCGAATAAAACGTGAGACCCGAGAGGTTGTACGACCAGGACAAAACTAACGTTACGCGTCGGGACGCCGGGCGTCGTGACGTTTGCGTCTGCGCTATCTCAACTATATAGACATACAAACTTTAGTTTTTTTCTTCTACACATACTTATTGGATCTCGATGAATGTCTAGCTTGCCATCATTTTTAAATGTTCCATTTTACATGTATGTATATAATTTAGAAAAAGTACGGTAATTTATAACCTATAACGGATCTATAGCCAAGTATTTTAAAATTAAATTTTTTAAAAATTTAAATCCGTAATACTACCGCAATTTATTACCGTCAGTGGCATTCCCTTTTCAAGTAGGTATAGAAATAAAGTATACATTTTTCATCATATAAAATGTATATTTCTACTGCGGTGTCACTAACATTCCACACACACTCGTGATCAGACATTTTACTCTTTCGCATAAAAACCATAAAAACTATATAATTCAGTTTATTAACCATTCTTTGCCTATACGTCACAACAAACAAGAGTGAATGCTTTCCATTTCCATTAACCCTCCGTCTGACACCCTCGTCCAGCCGGACCCCAACCCTTTTCCTCCTTGTTTAGTTATATTTATAGATTAGCTAGGAACTTGTGCATAAACTTCACGTACAGCCGGCGATCTACAGAAAAACAAAACAAGGCGAAAAAGTTCATCCCCGAATGTCAATGTTGTACGAATCATAGAAATATACTTTCGGATCCATTCGGATGGACTTGGGAAAAAGTTTGTTAATCGAAAATGGGTCAAAAATATAGGTAAATACATACAAAACTGTTGCAATGAAAAACTATTATAAATTACATTTTGAAAAGTAAATTTACAGGAGGACACTTACTTTCAAAAAAACGACCTGCATCCAAAAGCACATTGTCATTTTCGAAACACGAAAAACACTCACTCGCGGTTTTAAAAAATTTCGAGCACTCACGAACCACATGTTAAATAGAAGAAAAAAGCGAGCGCTTTTTATTTATATTTGATCACGGTTTAAATTATTGCAAACACTCTCAATACAAAATGTTTAATTTAATCTACGCTTTGAAAATAAAATATAAATTTCCCTCTACATTCTAATTCGTCACAGGTTTGAAAAATATTTTGCACTCTCGATCAAAACTGAAATTTAACACTTGGTCTTACCCTAACGTAAAGTATAATTAAAAAAATAAGTTTTATTCCGATGGAATAGTCTAAAGGTTGTTGGGCTGTGTTACTTGAAGTTAATTTGCAACTGACTTCTTTTTTTTGTCTTTTTTTGTCTTTTTTTGTCTTTTATTATAATTTACAATAATAATTACATGTAATCGGTAAAAATGTACAAAAATAGTCCAAGCACATTTATCTTGATCTTGAGTAATCTTAAGTAAAAATGAATAATTCTAGTAACAAGCTACAAAAAAGTACTTAAAGACAATTTGAATAAATTAATAAATTGTCAATTTTTCTTATCAGTAATAGAGAAATTGAAATGAAACAATTCAAGAAGGACCACGATCCTCCTCGCTCTCAGAGAAAGGATCCTGATTTTCGATTTCAGTAAACTGATCAATAACGTCCTCAATAGGTGGCAGACCCTGGAGCAATCTTGCCTGTTCCTCGATATCAGGGATTTTCTCGTGAATCAATTTCTCGACATCAACCTTATCTAACTCTGCTTGTATACGTCTCTTAATTGGCCCCTCTATAGCATCCATTATTTGGTACCTTTAATAAAGAAACCTTTCTCTAATCTCCGATTCCAGATACAAACTAACGTTGAAATTAATATTATTCTTGTAAATTTAAGAGCTCGCTCCACTAGAATTTGTGTGTTCGCAATTAATTACACTGCATGTAGAATACTCTTTTAATTGCCAATATTTTAAGAGGATAAGATAAAAGTTTTATGGCAAAATCTACTTGAATTCTTGAATATTGATCGCGAACTGATTGTAAAAAACTGATTGCAATAACCAAAAGGAATTTAATCAATTTAGAGTTTTACCTTAAGAGATTTGGCAGAATATTGACTGCAGCTTCTATTACATAGTCGAAAGTTCCAGCTCCATGTATCCTAGTTTGAATATTGCCCAGTTCAAGATCCAGTTCCTCCAAAGTGGCACGTTTTCGTGTGTCCAGAGGTTGACTGAGGTTGACTTGAACTCTAAAGTAATCGACAGTAAAGGATACGGTTCCTGCTCTAGATAAAACGCCTCCAATCATGCTAACATCCCAGTGAGTCCTTCCTTCGATTTCCTGAGTGCCAACATCCAAAACTGCATAAACCTGAAAATCATTTTATTTTATACATCACCCAATAATATAACGTGACATTTATAAACCAATTTTTCTTTCATCCGACAGAAAGAGTTTTTAATTTAATAATCAATATAATTACTCGATAATCTTTTTGCGATGACAAAAATTTATGTACACATAACATTTTTATGAGAATCGAAAAAAGTCATTAAACAGGAAGTTTATATATGTTTCAAAAAAAAAAAAAAAAAAAAAAAATTAACTAGAGTATAATAAAAAAATACCTCAATTTTCCATTAAAATTTCCTCCTTTTTTTCAAATATTAAAAAAAATGACTTGAAATAAAAAAAGAAAGTTTTAAAAATAAACATAAATAAAACAAGCAGTAAAATACATTTTCTTTACTACTTACAGTCCTATTTTCCATAGAGAGAGTTATATTTCCCATGCGATAAAAACTAGCCAATCCTGTGACCCATGTGTGTGACGATGTCACTGTAAAAATACCTACACTTTGGCTATAATCTTTAACCCGATATGGATCATAACCCATTTCCGAAACTTGCTTACGAGCCTCAGCCACTGCCATGTCAAAAGGAGATATTGAATTTGGAAAATATTGTGGCAACTGTGAAATTTGCCCATTGACTTCGCCTCTAAAAAAAATAAATTCGACAACAAATCAATAATTGCCATATATCATTTCACTCTATTTCTATATGCACTAAAAATAATCAATATCATTTAATTGAAAACTAGCAAAGCGCGCAGCTAACTTTTTACTCACTTTTTTTAAAAATAAAATTAGCAATTTTAAAAATAGAATTTAAAAATTTTTAATTCAAATTCAATTTTTGAAAAATTACAAATAATAAATTCAAACAATTTGAATTTTATTAAAACAATTGTAATTAAGAAATAGAAATGATGTAAATTATTTTCTTATGAAAATAGGAAATAATGTAATGTTTTTTTTCCAAAATAAAAGAATGAGTTTGTGAACAATATTGTTAAATTGAGAATAAAAAATTATGCATAAAATGGGTATTTATTTCCTATTTCTTAATCATACTTTTTTAACAATTTTCTTTAAATAAAAAGCAGAAAATTTTTCATAATTTAGATCAGTCAAACGAAATTTGTTATAGAAAAAAGCATATAACAAACAAATTGGGTATAATTTTCATTTGTTAATCATAATTTTTTTTTAAATTTTCAAATTTCTATAATATTATTTTATTAAGAATCATGAAAAAATACCTGTATATTTTCGATTTGTCAAACAATATTGAAAAAAATACAAAAGCATACACTGAAACTAAATTTAAACTGCGAACAGGATGAATGAAAGAATACGAAGATTAATATAGTTAATTAGGTAATTCGGAATAAAATATGAATGATAGAAGACTAATATGAAATAAATTATTTTTGATGTGTTTTTTAAAATGTCATTTGGAAGAGATTCTGGTACTACAAGAGCAAAAGCTTTGTTTTTCACCGTTGAGATTAGCTCTCAAGCAATTTAAAGTTTAATGACCTCGTATTGCGAAAGTAAGAACCTTATTCTGGGAGCATTGATTTAAACTCTGACAGGCAATAACCACCACTACGCATGCATATGATTGTATATTGTCGAGAAGAATTAAGTCGAGAGAATAATGCTGTACATAAAGCTCGACCTGATTATTTTTATTACTTTCATTTAATAATAATAATAATAATAATAATACTTTCAAGAAATATAAACAGAATTTAAAAAAATTGAAAATTTATCTTTTGAAGAAACGAATAAAAATGAAAAAATGAAAAAATAAAAATGTAATTTCGAAAATGTGAAATACACAGGTTAATAACTACTCACCTGACATTAGTGTTGACCTCTTTGAGAATGAATGGTTTGATACTATCGAAAATGAAGGCTCCCACTGAATTGATAACCCCTTGAAAGACGGATCCCAGAAATCCGAGATTTTTGAAATCCATATCTATATTATCGAAAGTTAAATCCATATCGATATCCTGTGCATGCAATTTTCCATCTGTTCCAACCTGCAGTTTTGCAATGCCCTCAACTGTTACTCCAGACAACTTGACTGTGAAATTTCCGGCTGATCTCGATAGCCAAGTGGACAAAGTATACCATCCTCGAATATCAAGAGCCTCAATTCTCAGTCTTACCGATACCTACAATATAGATTTTCAATATAAATACTCAACTTATATTTCCTATTCCTATAGAAGTATTGCTTTTAATTTTCAAAAATTCTTTCCATTTCAATTATTTTCATCTTTCATCTTTCATTTATTCTAATTAAATAGAAAAATTCGAATTATATAAGAAAAATGATGTATCTTCCATTTTCCTTCTCACCGTGAGAGACGGGCAGTCATCGATTGCGTCCCGTGAGGGGAAACAACCTTCTCCCACCATGCGGTCAGGGACTTAAGTTTGAGTTTCGGAGCGAAGATAGCATCGGGATAGCACAATTATTATTATTCAAAATAATTTTGTTTGTCAAGAGTTAGTAATTAACAACAATTATTTGTTTAAACAATTGATAAATTATTAAAATCATAAATTATCTTCATTTTGTACTTTAAAGATTTATTAGTTGTAAAGTTAGAAAAAAAACTGCAAGTTTCCAACTGCTCTGTGTTAAGAGTTAATAATTAACAACAATTATTTGTTATTTAATTAATTAATTATTAAAAAAAATTGACCGACTAATTTTTTCTCGTGTTTTATTTTTTAGAAAGTTGAGAAAAATTATTTCTGACATAAATATTTTTTTTTTCAAGAAAAAATGTTTCTCACAAGCGGTGAAAAATGACTCGATTGCAATTTTCTTAAAAAATTAATTACCCAGCGTACTTTCGACCGTATATAAAGAAAAATAGTATACATTACACGGGCAGAAATTCCAAAGGCCTAAACTACGCGATAATGCCCTCGGCTTCGCCTCGGGCATCATTTCGCGCAGTGCAGGAATTTCGAACTTTCTGCCCTTATAATGTAATATACTATTCAAACGATTTCTCAACGGGGTTGCCTGCTTCTTTGATCGCATATTGCAAAAAATAAAAAAGTTGAAAGGATATTACACTTCCATTTGAAATGGTAAATTTTTATCAATACAGTCTAGTGCCATTCAAGTAAAATATATATTCAAAAAACAAATAATTCTTAATAAAAAAGTAGACAATTTTTATAGCAATAAATTTGATTAATTATTAACTGATGCATTAAAAGTACAATTTACCTGCATTAATGCCAATTCGGACGTCATGCGTTCAATTCGAAATTTAGAGAGTCCAAAGACTTGCATTTCTTTAAAAGTCATAGTGTATACGGAGAAAGAGTGTTTCATATCAGGAACTGGCATTGGATCAGGAACCGGGGCGCCAGGAAGTCCCACTGGATCATCCTGCTGATAATGTTTCAAAATAGTCCGAATTTGATCTCCCAATCTCTTTTCACCCTGTGCTATGTTTTCTGCGGTAGAATCGCCTGGAAAAAGTAGTTTGAAAAATATTTCAAATAATTTTAAAAATCTTGTCCATATGTATGTCCCATACAAATAATGTATTTAATTTTCTGATTTCTAATTTTTTCAATTTATCTATTTATGTAAAAATGTGCAATCTGAATAGGTACATAAACAAAGCCGGAATTCCGTTTATGACGAAAGAAAATAATTGCATCAAATCACTGCGTAAAGTTAAATTGCGTATTGAATCTATTAGAGAAATGTGAGATGTTATCGTGCCAAAGTTGTAAGAACTGATTATATCTCAAGCTACCCAGAATCGATCAAAGTTTAACTTCTCTGATAATATTTAGGAGTAGGAAACTCAAGCTTAGTCATTTTCTTACATCAATTTGACATCCTCTGAAATCTAAAATTCTAAAATTCCACGCCTACGTGAAATCAATTTTTTATTCTTACATTCGGTAATTTGAACAATCTACTAATTTTCATTTTATTGACAAACAGTTTCCTAAAGATTAGAATTTATAAAAATGTTTTTGAAAACAAAAAATATTCGAAACAATTAAAATCAATTAAAATAAACAGCTACCATCGTAAAAAACATATTGTACTATTTACAATGTATGTGTCATGCATAAAAACTTACCATTTATTGAAAACAGGATAGAAAAAAATACATACCACGTGTATAACTACCAACACAGACAAGAAAACAGCAAAGGGTGAGAATTTTTTTCACACTTATCCCCATGTTTTCGGACTTATTCTTTTATTGTCTTCTAAAAGAGAACAATTCCAATTTGAAAGTAGAGAAACACTTAATTTCCGGTTCGAGATTGCTCAAAATACATAACATATTAGAGTGAACCGAGTGAACGATGTACTTGACTGATGATGTGTTATAAAACTCAACGAAATAGTATCATCCAGGTCAGAACGAGGGTCAACTCCAATCCCCTCTTCACAACAGTCTGCTCTCCCTTCCTCTATCTTATCCCCCAAAGTAAATAATCAAAATAGATAACAAACATCTAAATAGTGAAAATATTTTAATGTTCACTTTTCATTTCAAAAAAGTAAAAAAAAGGATCTTAAAAATAAATCAGCCTTGATGAGCCTTCGCACTTTCGAGAAATTTTCCAAAATAACAAATTAACAACTAAAGTCTACATTTTTCAGCAGTTTTTTTAACAAAAAGGCACAAACTCCGGGTGCCAAGTGCGACCCAACAGTATAGATATTTTTGCCGACACAGTGTCTATATCTAATTTTGAATCTTCCTGAAGAGATGTTTCCCAAATGTAAAAAGTCTTTAGACGTTCACAGCATAAAGTGATAAAATCCAGAAGTGCAGAACACCTAAAATAAAATTAACATATTATTAAAACAGAAAATTATACATTGTAATTTTAAAGGGAAACGAGTAATTTGAAAGAAAAATTAAATAAACAAAGTAGATATCAAATTTATATAATCTGAATTTTAAAGATCTATAATTGAAAATTGTCTATGTATAAGGGAACGTTCACAAATGACGTCACGCATCAAGGAGAAGGGTTTACACAAACGTGACAAGGGGTAGGGGGTCATTTCATTCGTGATGTCACGCAGCATATTCACTGAATTAATAAATCCAGTTCCATTATTCCTATTGGGAATAACCGATAGGGAAGTGTGCTAGAACAAAAAAATCTGTTTTGTCAAAAATTTATGAATTTAAGGTCAAGTCTTCAAAAATGTATAAAAAATTTATAAACTTACACAGAAAAAACAAAGTCTGGAACTTTTTACATCTTAAAATCAAAATGTTTGAAAAGTAGCCTATTTTTAAGCTTAAAACCAAAATTCAGTCAAAAATGTTTCTAATGTTAACGGTTTTAGTCAAAAGTGGATTGAAAGTAAGATTTATTTTTTACACTGTATAAGATAAAGTTTGCAAAAATAATTAAGAGTTTTGTAAAAAAAGTCACGTCATCTGTAAGCATTCCCTAACAAAAACAAAACTTCTTCATACGTTATTTCACAATCCCCTAGTCCAACTGCAGAAATTCGAGTACACTTTTTAGCAATTAGCAACAACGTCTCATCTATCGTATGCGGTCCATACTGAGAAATGACAATTTCTTTGAGAGCAGGACAAAAGTTTGCCACATCGTCCACTATACTCGACGGCGTGCTTTCTCCCAAAAAAAGATGCGTTACTGGCACGCAGGGCTTTAGGATCAATTTGTAATCACATTCCTCTAGTAAATAAAATTGTCTAAAAATAAAAAATTTTTTGGAAATAAACTCAAATTTATCGGAGAATTATATTAAATATTATATTAAATTCTTTTATCGTATCGAAAAAAATGTCTTTTATATGTATATATAAAAATTTGGTACTTGCCCTTAAATTAGAAAAACTCACAAAACTAAGTTGATGTTGGGTGAATGCCTCGAAAAATATCGCCACGCTCTATCGCTCACTGAAGGAAGTGATTTTGTTTCCGAATGAACTTCAATTCTCAAAGTTTCTAATTGAACATGTTCATCGCTCATAGCCGCCAGCAAATCGTCACTAATCAGAGAAAATGAAAGAGACACATCTCGCAGATTCCTGAAATGGTTTACTAATGCCATAATTCCTAAAAATAGATAAAAACAAAGTTTACATTAAATTATTGCATAAATCATTCATTGCCTGCTAATTATTTCATAATTAATTTTGTCATAATCTTTCAATTACAATATAGCGATCGGAAATGATTCATTGAAGAAGATTTATAAATATTTCTCAAATAAATACATATACCTTTTGGTAAAATATCGTCCAGAGAGGGTGCATCCTTTTTTATTTGTTTGCTCTGCTCGTTTTCAAATTTTAAACTCAAAGCCTTACTAAAATGTTCATTATCGATGCTGATAATTTCTGGCCTCATGGGACTAATTAATTCTAACATCTGTGTTAATTATATACATTCACATAATTATGTATGTACAAGATTTTAAATAATGACATATAATGTATTGTTATTATAATATTTAGAATACAATAATAATATTAGTTTTATGTACAAAAACAATACCTTTTCAAATGAAGAACCATCAGGACTACTGATAACTTGAAAGGATTTCACACAACTGGTAAAACTTAGGGATGTAGTTAAAGGCTTGTGTTGCAATATAGGGGAAAGTAACATTAAAGTATCGTAAACTCACGTGGCAACAAGTACAAGTATTTGGACCAAATGAGTTCAGGGCCTCACGTGAATGTATCCTTTCGAACATTCACGTGAGCCGCACGTTTTTGCTAAATGCTATATTAGAACGCTGTATTTTTATTTATAAATAAACAAATACGCTTAAAGAATCAAAAATTCTTTTACTACTTTAAATGTACTAAACTTTTTCAAAAATCTACATATGTTTACAAAACAAACAACAGAATTTGTAAATATTTTTATAAATATAAAAGAAATAAATATGTAATGTAATGAAAAGCATTTTTTTCTACTTTCATTATTAAAAATAAAACTAATTTCAATTTTTATAATAAAATTTCGATTAATTAACTATTGTCTTTCTATATGAATAGGAACTAATATATTCTATTGAAACGATATATTTTCACAATCTTTTGCAACATTCCTTCAACTCAGATCGTCAGACCTGCACGTGTTTCGAACTCACGTGATATTAACATTTGCGTCAGAGAGTGTCTAATGCATAATTTTTCACTTAAATTCCCATTAAAAAATTTATATTAATTAAATAAATAATATAATTAAAATAAACTAACAATTTCATTACCATATTTAATTCTTCACTTTTTTCAAGAAAGTTTCAAAAAAAGAAAGAACAAACTTTTTGCACAAAATTGTACAATTTGTACAACAAATTATGATATATTAAATTATTGATAAATATTATTGACAAAATTTTGAATTTTTCCCTGACCCTAAAGAATATTTTGATTCACTCTAAAAATGATTACATACTCAAAAAACTGTTCTAAGTATTACATTTATTTACGAATTCCTTTAATTGTAAAATTATTTCGAAAATAACAGTAACTTCTATTTTAAATAAATATTTAATCATTATTCTTATTCCATATAGGAATTAAGATTCTTCAAAAATTTCAAATTCAAATCTTTATGAAATTTAACAACTTGTAAGAATATTTATTATTATGAAACATGAAGATATCGATAAGACTCGAAATGATTGATACATATCTTCATGTTTTATAATAATTTAAATTTCAATAAAATTTTTCAAAAAAAAAAATTAAATTATTTACAAAAACTTTAATAAAATCCTTCGCATGAATTCAACTACTTTCATAAATAATAAAATTCTTCACAGAACTTCAATTATTTAAAACAAATATAATAAAAATTCTTTACAGGAATTAAATTATTCACCTAAATAATAAAATTCTTCACAGAATTTCAATTATTTATTTTTAATACAATTTTCAAATAAATTCTTCGAAAAGTGTAATTATTTTAAAAAATATTCAAAATTTATTTATGCTATAATGCTTTTTAATATTCAATTATTATGTAAAATTGTAACTAAAATTAATTTTTAAATCAATTTTTTTCGAAAATTCTACGAGGAATTCAATTATTTAAATTAATGCAAAAATAAATAATTTATTGAGAAAAAATGAATGTTTTTCACAATTTTATTACTTTTGAAAATAATTCAATTTCTGCAATAATTTGTAACTGCTTCTAATTATTCAATTTTTTCCATTACTTTAATAAAAATTCCTTTGATTTATTTAATTTATTTTGCGCAAAGTTGAATGAAATAGCATCTGCGGACATGCAGCGCCCTGCGCGGACACTTTCGAAAACACACATCAATACCTAACAATGACATTCTTAGTATAGGAGTTTCCAATTTTTTGACACTTGACAGGTGTATTTTTAATAATACTTTTCTCTCTAAATGCACTTAAATTATAATTGTTTTATTGTCAGTTTATTAAAAGACCAAACTTAGAAAATATGGGAAAATTTTTCAATTGGAAATTAGTTTTATTAATAACCACATTACAAGTTGGTAAGAATTTAACAATTTCTACATAATTTATTGACTTGTTTTTTTAAACTTGTTTATTTTATAAGTGTTCTACTTGTTTTTCCAGTTGCTGAACACAGGATAAAGGATTTAATTTACACATCAATTGATAATGTAGCAGCTTGTTTTCGTAGGCACAATGGTACCCACCAGTTTGGTTGTTCTTGTAAGTGTTGTATATTTGTTCATTTTTAACAAAATTCCCTTAATTTTGTGCTTAAATCAAGTGTGACTTTGTTTTAAATGTTTTAATTGTGTTATATTACTCGTTCTTATTAACATTATCGATTCTTGTTATCTATGAACTTTTGTTTTGATTACTCAGATTTGGAGGTTATGTTTCATTTCTATGACTTTAAATCCTAAATGTATTTGTATTTTAATGGATTAAATGCACCTGGTATAATTTTTAGCAAGTAGATCTGGAAGTATAGGGGCAATTCACTTTGTTGAAAACGAATTGGACTTGAAATGGCTGGAGAACAATGCTACTGCCGATCCTTACGTTGCTGTAGTGCCGTTTTCCATGTTTACGAAAGATACCTTATTTCGATTGAAAGAGACGAACAAGGTGAACGGTGTTCTTATGACTAATATGACCAAGAGTCGGCCTCCGTCTTATTCGCCCGAGGACACTTGCCCCAATCGATACTCCAGTGCAAGACCGTGCAATGACACTAAACCTTGGAATCCTCATGGTTCTGGTCTTTTAATGGAGGACTGGCCCTTCCCAATGTTTTTCATGGAAGTAAGTTTTAAAAGTATCATTACAGTTTTAAGCACAATTTTAAATAACAGTTTTAGAAATACTAAAAAAATACATTTTCAGGATGAAAAAGCACTGGAGGAAATTAGAGCGTGTTATGTAAAGCACAATGCTCACGATTTGGAAACTCAAAAGCAACGGTCGCTTTGTGCCTTGGAATTGAAATCCTTCATGTACGCTGCAGTTGACACGAGAACTTGCTTGAGACGAAACGCACTAGCCAATATACATTCCATACAGTTTTGTAAACCTCTAGGAGATAAAAGTATTCACTGGTCGTTGACACCAGTAGTCGAAGAAACAGATTCCATAATATTAGTTACAGCCAGATTAGATTCGAATTCAATGTTTGATGGACTGGTTCCGGGTGCACGCAGCACAATCACAGGATTGGTCACCTTCCTCGCTACTGCCTTTTATGTGAATTCGTTACAAATCAACGCAACCAGTGAGTAGAGAAAAAAAACAATTTCAAAAAATACTTTACCTTTTTGTAAAATGTTTTTATTTTCAGAAACGACCGTTATGTTTTCTCTTTTAAACGGAGAGGCTTACGACTACATTGGCTCGAGTAGAATGGTTTACGATTTAAAAGAGGGCAACTTTAAAGCATATACTGGAAAAAGTGTAAACTTGAGCCAAATTTCTACAGTCATTGAACTCGGACAATTGAGTTCTGGAAAACTATTTTTGCACACGAGTAATTCCGAGGACAGTGCGATTGCATTAAGTTTGAAAAATTCTTTAGAAGCTACAGTTTTGAAAGACAGTGTTCCTCCTGTGTCTGTGCAAACATTTCTAAAGGCAAATTCATCTCTGCCCACTATCGTCATAGCAGAATATGGTCAAGAATTCACAAACAATTACTATCATAGTATCTTGGACGACACGAAGAACTTCGATGATAAAAAGAGTCTTACTGGTAATTTAGCCAAAGTGGCGGTCGGTCTTGGTAATACACTTTACAAAAGTATTACTGGAAAGGAGGCGCCAAAGAATGAGAAAAATGTCCAAGATCTTATTTCCTACATGCTGTCCTGTTATTTGGACAATGCAAATTGTTCCCTCTTCACTGCAGCCACTTCGCCAGGATACGTGATTGCTAATCACACCATGCCATTATACATTAGTGTCAAGAGCTATAGTAACATGGCTACATACCTAACTTCCCAGCTGATGATTCTTCTCACAGGGGAAGAAATTCCCGAATTAAATTCTACTTCTTGCTATAAAAAACACTATGTTTGGATGAAGGGCGAAAAACACAATTCTACTGGAATTTGCATGAATTCTACCGTTTACTTTACATCAGCCGTCAGTCCTGCATTTATCATTGAAGGTTAAATTTAATATTTAATTTATATTATTTCCCAAGTGTTATACTTTTATTAAATTCTAAATTCTTACAGGATATGACATGACTTCTGGTGTCTACTCCACGTGGTCTGAATCAATTTGGGATTCTTTAAGTGTCAGAATGTTTTTAAAACCTTCGGCAGCAACCGAACGACTCAGCTTAATTTTAGGAAGCTCAATATCAATTCTCGCCTTCATTGTGGTTTGGTTTGTCAACTCTCGATCTAAAATCATCTTTAATTCAAGGTAATTTCATGAAGTGGATTAAGGGTAAAATCTTTCTTTATTCTAAATTAAATTCTACTGTAAAAATTTATTTTAATAGCACTGCGGACCTGTAGAATCACGCTGCAGACCACATAGCAATGAAGAGCCTGCATCATCAACAAGGAAACAGATTTCCAATAACTAGCTTATGAAGTGTGTGGTCGCCCTCGGAAGAAGTACACTTTAAATGAACTTAATGTTTCTGCATTATTGTGAAAAATGTGGAGAAAAACTATTTATTTTAAGTTAGAAAATTTTTAATTAGGACGGAATAGAAACTGGAATCTATGTTTAATAATCTTTTCTGTGAATGAATTAAACTTTCGTTCGTATTCTATAATTCACTTTTTATAGTATTAATATTTTTTGAGAGATTACTTTTTAAAGTTTAAAATTTTTTTTTGTAAACAAAATATTTTGTTTTTAAGAATGTCTGTCTTGTACGATTGTAGTGGTACTATGACCGCATCAAGAAAGTAAGAGAAATAGGATGAATTTTTACACTAGACTGAAACAATGTAAAAAATTAGATAGAGAACACGCAGGATGTTATTTATTACCATATTTTTAAAAGTAAATTAATAATTTGGAATTATTTAAACATAGATAAATTAAATTCACAAATTCTCTTTTTTAGAGAAGGAGAAAATACATGAAATTGTTTTTGTAATTTTAAAATAACTTGGGTTATTTTCATATCAATTGCTAAACAAAATTAACTATAAGTTTAAACATACAAATAGGTATTTCATTATAAAAAAAGCATTGAATTTTAAACTTTCTTACAATTTGTAATATTCATATTTTCGAATGATTAATTAACAAAATAAAAATTGTTTTAATACATTGACATTTAATTTGTTTTCTCTGTTTTGAATGAATGAATGAATGAAAAAAATCATTGAATGCAGTGTCATAATTTAAAAAAACATTTAATAGTCATAATAAAAAAATAACACTTTAACCCTGTAATGAAAATAGAAATAAATCAAAACTATAAAATTTTGCAGTTTAAAAGAATGAAATCAGAAATGATAAAAAATAAAATTATTATACAATAATTCGTACACATCATTTAAATTAGACTTTTTGAAGATTGTAATTTTTTTACACTTTACTGTTGAAAAAATATGTATATATTTTAAATAATAAAATAAAGTCAATACATACTTATATTTACATTTTAATGGAAAATAGTTGTAAATAATAAGTCATTGTCAAAGTAATAAATAAGAAATAAAAGAAAATTATTAAAAGTAATTTGCTTTAGTTTTCCTCATCGTCCATTTCTTCGATTTTTTCCTTGGGCAAAATCACTTCGGGATCTTCTGTCTTCGCGGTAGAAATATTTTTATCATCCAACCACTTTTTTAGAAAAGCAAGAAAACTTTCTTGGCAAGAAATTCCTTTAGTTTTAGGCGAAATACTGACATCCGTAAAAGTTTCCTCCTTCACCTGCACTGGCACTTCTTGTTTGGGCACAACATTATTATCCCTAGCAAAGATATTAGACACAACATTACTCTTTTTCTTTCTTTTCCTTCGTCGTCTAGGTGGTGGAAGTGGTATAGTTTTCCCCGGATTAAGCCGCATTTCCTCAAAAGCTTTTCGTCGAGCCTCGGTTCGTCTTTTATTTTGACTAGGTCTCTTTGTTTGGATTTCCTTCTCCGGGGTCTGCGGAGAATAATAAATTACCATAACCTATAAATAAAAAGTGGAAAATTAGACAATTTATAACATACCTGATTATCCGTTTCGTCCATGTCTGAAAGACGATTTATCGTTGGAAGAGTTTTTCATAAATAAAAAACATTGACAACTTTCTCGAGCTTGTGTTTGTGTAACAAGTTTCATGGATTTCTTGGACTGTTAACCAATTTAGTCCAAATAGAGCAGTCAGCAGAGAGCTGCAGAGAGCAGACGAAATTGTTTTTTTGTACGCGTGCGCACTTATTACCGCCTAATTTATTTTCAATATTTGTTGACGATCAATTGCATTAACAAAAAAAGTAAAACAAAATTTCTGTATCAAAATGTAACAGAAATTTTAGACAGTTAAATTAAATAATAGAAATAGACTGTATTTATTATATTATAGTTGTAAATAAAAGGAATAAATTATATCAATAATTTTTTTTCAAGTCAAAGAATTAGCATAATTCAAGAAAATGGATAACTTGGATTTAAAAATGAAAAAAATTCGAAAAAATTGCAAGCGTGATGGCATTTATTAATAAACTTAATTAACAGAGCGTAAATTTACACGAGAGAAGTATAGATATAGCTTATATGACTGAAAATTTCAATGAGCCTAGGAATGGATTAACAGTATTTATACACTGTCATCAGAACTGTTTTAAATCGCATTAATGTGCGTTTGCTAACAAATTCAACATTTCCATCAACATTAACATCAATTAAAATATGTAATATTTAGGGGAAAACTAAGCCATAATCACAGTTTGAGAAAATAAGGAAAAGAAAAACATTTTTTAAACACAATTTTTTAAATAGAATTTTTCAAAGGTAACTTTTAATAAAACAATGATAATAATTAACTCATAATCAGACAACAATATTTTCCTTGATCCATTCCTAACTCGTGCGAGTTTTTTTTTCGAATAAGTTGGTACACAAATGCGAGAATGAACCCAAACAACACTGATATTAAATTGAAGATTTCCTCTCTAATCCACCTCAATATTGTCTTAAGGCGAACATTTCGTTACAAATCTCCAATGTAATATTATAACGTGTCGTTTGTGTAATAATTTTTTCATTTTGATTTGTAAGTTATCAGAACATGCAAAATTACGATGTCGATTTTATATGGACGAAGAATAATTTTTTTTCGGTATAATATGTATTCTATTCGTAATTAATCGGTATACAAGTGAAGCCCACCGAATCGAGCGATCACAGACGTCAGGTGCCGTAGCACATACGTATACAGGGTTTCAGCCTTAAACTACCTCTTAAACGACTATTTTTTAACTTAAGTATTAATTGTTAAAGTACAATAGTTCAGTATCAGGTAAACCGTGATACACATTCGTATAACGATCCTTTAGTCTTATTTGCATTTCATTGTCAAAAATTCGTCTATCCGACTCGCAATCGTATGGAACTATCAAGTACTCTTCAAAATAACCCTTTTCAATCATCTCATTTAATTTTCCCATCAATTCGTTTCAATTCGTTTCAATTCATTTCAATTCATTTCAATTCGTTTTCTTCAGAACAGTAGAAATTTTCTAAACTTGAAGCAATTTTTAGATTCTAATAAAAACTCGGACATGTGATTAAACTGATCAAAAATTAAATTTTTTAATGATTGCTAAGGGCAGAAGAAATACCAAAAGAAATTCTTATTCTAGAAATGGCATGTGTGCGTTGTCTTTGTAGAATCAAATTTTGAATTGCATCACTTTCTTTAATAAAAGTTTCCAATTTCCAATTTACGGATTAAAAATAATCAATAATAATCGTTTAATTTCAGTACTCATTAACGTTCGGTATATTTTGTATGTACAGCAGTACCAACTCCCAAAAAACGGTAATGCGCAAATACGACACTTAGAGTTTAAAAATATAATCATTATGTATTTTACTTTTGAGTAATATTATATTATCATTATCATTATCAACTTCTTCATCTGCAATTTTTTTTCTTTTTATCATTATTATTATTATTATTATCTTGGAGGGACAGCATCTTACTACGTCACAACGATGCAGACGTGAACAAAGACTACGCGTGAAAGTTACCACACTCTTTTTAAAATGGCACAAAACAAAGAATTCATGTATTAAAATTTTTTTTGTGTCCCATGATTGAAATTTTAATCGCTTAAATGTAGTTTAAATTTTAAATCCGAATATTCGTACGAGACAATTTTTCTTTCTTTGAAGATTTAAAATTTTTATTTATCGTATACATTGTTTTCGTAATGTTATGGAGGTAAACAGAATTATTTCACTAGGAAAAGAAATTTTCTCAAAAAAGTAAACACAATATTGAATTTATCAAAAACTGGAAGCAATCAGATTTTAAAAACAGAATCTTTGACTTTTATTTTCTGTAGCATCAAATTGTTGTGAAAAAAGAAAAATAAATATTGAAAGAAGAGAAAATACTTGAAAAAGACGTAAATTGAGACTAACGAAGTTTGTGAATGGCATGCAGAAACGTGTGTATGTACAAGTAGTTGTTTTATCTTTCTTTATAATTACACGCGCATTCTTGATCCTAGTTGTTTGTGGCGACAGTATAAAATGAAAACATCTTGGTTTTAACGTTCTGTAAGATTACAAACAACATTTATATAATAACTAGCGAGTTTCGCCTTATCTCTCTATCTATTTGAAAAATAATTTCTTTCTTAATTACGTATTCGTGAAATTGTATGGTGTTTCGGTTATAAACAGAATTCATTCGGACATCATAGATCGCCTATTCACATTTTTTTTATCAAATTTTTTTTACTCATTGATTTGAAAACATGAATAGGCGTCAAAAATGCAATTTTGCATTTTAATATAAATCCCTCAATGACTATTGCACAGAATATTTCGATTGGCATTCGGCTCAACAATTACGTTCGTAATCGCCAACATCAATCCTAAAAGCACTTTTCCATTGAATTGGCATTCTATCTTTGTTCATTCCATAATATAATTTATCTAAATTCCTTTAAAATTATGACTATTAGGAATTACTTCTCTAGCAAGTCTGAAGAATTACTGGGATTAGATTTATTACAAATAGTATCTAATTTTTAAGAATTAAATAGTCAAAAAATGTGGGGCTATTTTTGATGAAAAATGTAAATGAGTAACATTTTCAATTAGCACAAATCAAATTTATAATATTTATAACTTAAATAAAGTGGAAATAAATATTTTATATTTCTTTTGTTACGTAAAATTTGAAATGATTTACACGGTAAAAATATTATTCCAAGCTTAACGTCCTACGGCATTGCAGGAAGAAGGAAAATTTGTTTGTTAAATGGAAAACAATCTGCAACAGTAGTGCTTCAGTCAATATGCAGATAGGATTTGTTTTTAAAAATAACGACAGCCTCAAACTGCGCCTTTTCTACTCTTTCGTGCGTACAGTTTGCACTTGTATTTCTTTAAAAATGACTTAAAAACCTTTATCGCACGCTTAATTAATGCTTAATTAACGGCACTATATCAGGCTTCTAAAGTATTAGATAATCTTCAAGATTCCCTTTAAAGGGCGTAGAGATCGATAAACGACAGCAGAAGAGCGTGATAACTTCTACCCAAGTATCCCTGATTATCGCAAGAATAATTACGTATTTGACAGTTAAAGCGAAATCTAACCTCGAATACCTTAATACTGTAGTGAGCAACTGGGTTTGAAGGTACCGAAGAGAGGTCGATGTTTCGGCGATCGACAGAGGTCAGTGAAGGTCTTCCTCGTCGCTGTCGTTGCCGTCTTTGCTTCTGTTTGCACCTCCCTCTCCGTCACTAGAAATCGAATCGCTACCTGAGTCCTCAGACTGCCAACCTACTTGTTGTGGATATTGCTGTTGCTGCTGCTGCTGCTGCTGGTTTGCGTGCTTGGAGACTTTGTTTCGTTTTCCGGCACGAGACAGTGCTTCCGCGCCTGCGCCATCCAACATTGGTTGTAGAATTCTTCGACGAGCATTTATGAACCAATTGTTCACTTGGAGCAAAGTGAGATTCGTTTCACTGGCAATTTGTCGCTTCTCGTCCTCCGTGGGGTACGGGTGCTGAAAATGACAAAATTACTTTTAGTTTCCACCAATATTCTTCTCTAGCTGCACTGAAAATATCCAAACTCACGACTAAATGTTGAAAGAGCCAGGCACGCATGATGTTGGTCGCTTGTTTCGGCAAGACTCCTCGCTTCTGTCTTCCCTTTCTGGCACTACTGTGACTTACACTATGTGACGAAGTAGTAGTTCCGCAACCGTCATCATCTTCATCGCTAGGCACTGGAGATGGAGAGCCTGCAACAGTAATATCTACGAACCCAAAAAAGAATGTTAGCACTCATTTTTCAAAATCAGTTTCAAAAAGCTACAAATTTTTTCTTTTCGAAAAAAGTCTCTACTATCTTTCTAGCAATAAAAATGCATAAGGCGAAATAATAAATCATCTAACCAAAACTCTTTGCATCACTAATGACACCAACATCGACGTATTCAAATTCGTTTTCGCGCTCTTGCTTTGGAAGTAATCCCCAGTAGCCAACTTCTTCTAAGTACATTCTCTCCGACATATTCACTTCATCAGTTTCCTCTACAAGTGAAAGTACAAAAAACCCTCCTTATAAATATATTTCATCTTTCTTACCCCTGACTAAGCGATTTCTTTATTATTAAAACAAAAACAAGATGAGAACCAATTTTTTCAAAAAAAAAAAAAAAAAAAAAGAAAAAAAAATACCCGTTATATTTTTTGATGGAAATAGTGTGCATCAACCTAGGTGGAATTTGTGAAATTGGAGTAAATGGAAATGAAAGAATGCACTGACCTTGTCCGAGGTACATATCATTAACTGATACACAAGAATGAGATCCAATTTGCGAAAGCGGAGTACTTCCATGAATCGCGGATGGTGAAAGTGCCAGGGGGTCGTCCTGGTCTTGACTGCTGGCCCTGTCCAGACGCTGAACGGCAGAGGATGGTCGAACAGAGGAAGACAGCTCGGACGCACCGTCTCCAGGAATAACCACTTGACCCGCACTGCCATTCTCCGACAGCGGATCGTCTCTTCTCACTCTGAGTCCGTTAGTTCCCGACTCATCAATGCCTGTGGCAGACAGCACCTGGCAAATATATGTTGCAACTAGCTATCAGAGAGCAGGGATGGGGTTCTATCGTACTGTCAAGGACGTACAGCAAACCAAGTACTCTTTTCTAATTTCTTTCAAAAAACAACTTTCAAGATTTTACAAGATTTTTGCATTTCAGTAAAGAAGCCATTTTAGCTTTCGTTCAAAGCATGATAATTTAACAAAGTTAAAAGCGAAATTAGATGGCTCAGTACGTCCTTTTCACTATAAGGATGTCTACTTAGGTTCGGGAACAGGGTGAAAAGCCCTGCGGATTAGAAAGCACCTAACCTGTAACGGACTGCTGCCGTTGCTGCCGCTGGACGGACCCATGTCGTGGCCATGGTGACTGTAATCGCTGCGAAGGAGATTTTCGCTCTGCATCTTGCCCTTTAAACACGTAATGTATCGATTGCAAAAATCTTTGCACAATTCCTGAACCTTTTCTAACTCCAATAAATGAATTCTCAACACCTGTATGGCCTTGATCATCTGAAACGTAATTAACACGTAATTAAAGACAATTGAACGTCTCCACTCTTTTCCAACTTCTCACTTGTTTATCGACCAACTTTGTTTCACTTTGTTGACTTTGTTTCCAGGGATATACAAATTACAAGTGTCAACGGTGTCAACAAGTATTTTGACATTTGTTAACATTTATAGGTTAGTTTACAAAGATTCAATTTTTTTAAATCAAAAATTAAATTAATAACCAAAATGAAATTTTATAATTTCAAACTAGAATAAAAATACACGTTTTTGTGTAAATACGTACCAAGCCGTCAATCTCGGGGTCATTTATCAGAAAAGGCTTTCGGTCTCTTTCTTGATGCTGGACGAAAGCTTGTATATCCATGTTGAAACTTTCGGAGGTCGAGTTGTCGGAACTTTGCGTTGCTTGCTCGCATCTTTCGAAGAGTAGTGCGAGCAGAGGGAAGAGTGGATGCTTGTAAACGGCACGTTTGTCGGCCTCGAACTGAGCCTGGTCCTGGTGAGCCGTGTAGTCGGCTACTCCGCTGGCAGGGTCCTGATCGTAACCAGGAGTCACCATCGCTAACGCCACGGCGGTACTGCCCTCTTGCATCCTATCATTCCTCTTTTAGAAAATTCATTTGTTTATCAGGTCCTCCGGGGCCTGCTGTTTCCTCAATTCAAACACCTCCTCCCCTTTCCCACTCCAAAACTAAACAGATAGAAAATTTTTATCGGTAAATACAAATTAAAAAAATATTAAAATTTTACTCATAGAACATCAAGTGAACATTAAGTGTGTCGAGAGGGACTAAAGAGTATATATCGAAATAATAAATCGCTTGAGACTAACTGAATTTAATCAGTCACAATTTCAAAGAATAAAAAGCAATTGAATCTTCCAAAGGAGACCAATTTCATTTATGTGTGTACACATTATCAAATTTCAAACTCTAAAATAGTTGGAAAAATAATTTCCTGTAATTACTATTATAGACTTAAAAATATTTAAAGATCAATATCTTTTACATTGGTAGCTTAATGGAATAAATTATTTACATTTATTACAGTCGTATTTGAAATATAATGAAATAGAATTTAATGGGAGAAAAAGAGGATTAATTTGCTGATATGAGGAGAATCTGGAGATTTTATAAATTGAAAAGGAGTTTAATTTCCATTGAGCCTTAATCGAGAAGGAGGAGGCGAAGTAGATTCATGATAGGTGATCCAGATTCAGTGTGAATGTGCCCGTATTCTTCTTGCCTGGAATCGCCGCACCACGAAGCACTGAACAAGCGCTACTGCATTTAAATGTCATCATTAGAAGTCTTCACTACCAACACTACAGCGAGCTACCACCTTCTCCATAACACCAACTCAACTACACAGACATTTCGAGCATCCCTTTGAATTTCCAAACCCCGCAGGTCGCACTACTCCAACATGAATAAATAAAACCGCTGCGCTGCGGCAATGAGTGAAGAGCTGCATTTTAAAAATACTCAATATATAAATAAAAGTAAGCAAGTAATTCTGGAGGAAATGAGAAAAAGGAAATTCCCATTCGAAACTTGATGAAATTACATTATTACATACATATATTATAATCCTTGTGATTTTCAATAAAAACTTGTTTCGTTTTCAGCGAATATTACAATTTGAATACCTATTAATTTTGTCACTGCAACTGATGCCACGAAAGTTTCAAAATCGAATTACAATTACACGGGAAAAGATTTGAGAGGATGTAGATGAATTCGCCAATCAATATTGTCGCATTGTCATTATAAACTAAGTGAATTAAAATGACACTAATTGCAGTCCGGGGTGTATAATGATTCAATAATAGCCATAATAAAATTTTAAAACACTGCAAAATATATTCAAGTGAACAATCACTCGTTTCCAAAATGAAGCATTATTTTTCTCAAATGTTATACTGAATTGCAAATTAAAATCACGAAATACTTTGATATACTATCAAAGCATTTAGCGATGAAACTGATCTTTATCGTTTCGGACAGAAAATTGGCATTTATTCGAGAAAAAAGAGAGTATCTGACGCAGATTTCACTGGATAATCGGGTTATTTATACCAGGGCCGTGAGAACTTTAACCGATCACATGAGAGGGCGATTATCATCTCTTTCCAACCCATAATTTATTGACGATCATAGTCAGTGTCTGAACTCACAAGGCTCGTTCATCTTTCCGATGATCCGGTTTCGATTGACGGATGAAAAATCTCGTTAAATTAACAATTTTCTTCGCCAACAAAATGTATAGTTTCGATTAACAACTTTGACACATAAGTAATCGCAAGTGTCAAAACTTGTGAATAAAGAAAATCACGCGAGAGAAAGGATTCGAGTAAAATGATAGAAGTAAGGGGCTGAAGGTTGGAAACTGTCGGAGGAGGGGACGAAAATGCTCGAGTATTGAGGGTGCTGAAGAAAAGACGGAAGGGGTGAAGAGGCACCATTACTCGCAAGTGGCGCTTTCCTCTCGATGAAACCGATATTTATCGTACCACCAAGCGGGACTTTCATTTAAAATATTATCGCTGACGATGTTTTACCCATTGTTTTTTTCCATCGCCGTTTCAAACTTTCACAAATGCTTTTTAACTTTTTTAAATAAAAGTAAAAATAAAAATAAAAATAGAAATGCAGTAAAAAATTGAGAAAGTTCACTTCACTAATTGGAATATTCGTAACGGTTGTAAAAGTATAAACAACAGTTTGCTAAAGCTGATAACCTAGTTGATGCGGGGGGGGTGAAATTTTAAAAGTTCAGAACAGATTAAAAGCTTCCGTTTTAGTTCCTCGAGCGTGTAATGCTGTAATTAGTTTTCAGAATAAGCAAGCTCAATCTTCCGCTATATTTCTTATTATTATCCTTTTTATTCTCCGCTCGTTCCTCTCTTTCTCTCTCAACTTGGTCTCGCAGCACAATATTGCTTTTGGATTCTTCAGCGCTCCGCATTTTGACACAGCTGTTACCCGAAAGAAGAACGATCTACAACACGTAGCCAAGTTGCCCGATGAAGGAGCATTTTTATTTTAAAACTATATTAAATTAACAGTTGTACCGAGTTTTTTTTTTAAAAAACCTTTCTTTCAATTCATTTCATTGTGCATTGAAAATTACTTTTTTAGTTTTTTTAAATAAATCCATTCCTATTCGAGAACCTGTTACAAACTATAATAGCAATTATCATTTTTCCGATAATGTGACTTGAATAAAATTAATTGCACAAAAGAGATAACAATTCAAGGATGTTAATAGGAATAACAGCCAGTGAAGAACGAAAGTGAAACATTTTTCTCTCAATTTCGCATATAGTAAAATATATTTCTATATAGAAAGCGAGTTGTACAAACGTAATTGGCAATTAAAGACAAGATGAACTGATTGGGTCTTGTTTAATCAATTTCCTCTTTGCTAACGAAGCTCAACAGGGTTTTACTTTCACAAATAAGACAAATATTACAATAATTCATTTTTAAATACGCAGGTGTACGTGAATGCTTAGAGAGGCATTCATTTAATTCTTCTCTGCAATCCATTGTATAAAAATTTCTTCTTCTAACACTTATTGGATTTAAACATTTTTCTTCAATCATGTGAAAAAAGATTCTATTTACGATAAGTTGATTATCGTGATTTGTTAGAGTAGATTTTTAATAAAGAGTTGATCAATTAAAATTTGTGAGCTTCATTAACAAACCAGAAAATATTAAATCATCAGCATGTAGAACCTCCACGTGTTTTAGTGTTAGTTGATACTGATCGAGTACATTCGCTCATTGCATCTCATTAATTTCGCCTGACATAACACACGCACCTTGAAAATTTATCGAGAAAATTGCCAAAAAATGCTCATTGTCACTTTAGAATAATTCGAGTTAGGTATAAAGAAGCAGGAAACAATCACTTTCGATTGAAGAAAACGGAGCGAAAACTAACAAGTTACTACCGCCGCTACTATATTGCTACTACATAGTACGCTTCTGTCGGTGCGCAGTGCCGTATCTAGAATTACTTTTTTATTTTCAATAAAGTTTATATAGCACTGCAGTTAAAGTAAAGTACTCTTATTTTAATATTATTTAAATGGAAGTTAACATTAAAAGAAAGCGTTCAACATATCCTAAAAATTAACGATTACAAAATCAATTTCTCTATTTTTTTGCGTCTTGAATCTAATTTTTACCCCTCAATAATATTATTTTAATAAAGTTTAATTAGAAATACATAAAATTTAATAATCTAAACAAATCGGTGTATTTTTAATAAATAAATCACGACTTTCGAATGAACGAACCTTAACAAAATCTACAATATTTTGAATCTATACGCCATTCATATACCTAGCACGTGTTCTACTAATTTTTTAAATATTTTTTCACAAAGAGAAGGAACTCATTGATAATCACAACATAATATAATTACCAAAAAAATGATAAATTAAGTTGCATTGTGATGACCATTGGTTTGAAATTAGTTTTTCAAACAAAAAACGTTAAATACACGAGAAATTGTAAATTATTAAATGAATTATTAAAACAAATACACGTGTTGGAAGAGACTGGTACACTCTTTTAATCCAACTCCATGCCCAGTGCGAAAAAGCTCGATTTGTAGTAAGCAAAGAAAAATAAAACAAGAACCGGAAATCAACCGGTTCCAAAATTTGTACACTCCTCCAAAAGGGTTTACCGGCTAAAAAGTAAAGAGAAGAAACCCTCTCAATTAACAGAATGCAACTTGCTCTAGAAGAAAAAAACATGCATAATTCGGTGAAGCCTCTCACAGGACCCTTGACAATATCGATCGCATCAATCTCCTGCAATTCTGTCAACCCACACCATGGGCGTTCACTAGAGTCAGTGCGCACAAAATTAATTTTTTGTATAAAGTGGCGCAAGAAGAAACATAACCTCAATATATAAGCTTGAAACAATAATTTTTCAGGTGCTTTCACGAAAACACCTGTTAGTAAAAAAGATGAAAATTCATTGTCAATATCTTCTCTTACCTGATCACAGACAAGTTCTTTGAATCCTTTCCTCGATAATAAAGCACGCCTTCACTTGTTTTATTTTCTCTATTTTTGTATATAAGCACCTGAAAACTGAACGCCACTATTTCTCATCCACGTGTTCAGCTGATTACCGACTAATAACGAGCGTCCTTAGGCGCGTCAAAACATTTCACTCAATTATATTTACCACAAGTGTTTTAAATTAAAAATCAGACATTTTTCAACGCACCCCAATCCATCTGTACCCTTCCACTGTCTCGTCTTTTGTGACGTCACGAATTCAATACTTTTCATTTCTCCGGCACGCTTATCAGTCGGTAACAGAGGTGTCAGCACTTGAAAAAATTATCGAGGCGCCAATTTTTGAACTATTCAAAAAAATATTTTTTAAATTTCCAAACTCACTCGAATCGTGACATAATAACTTTGCACGGAGAGAAGGTTGAACGTAAAATCACGGTGTGATCAGAGTCTTAGGCGATGAATGGAAACTCATCATAATTTTCTACAAGATGTAGCGCTCTCTGACGGTTACTGTCACTGCCACTTGCGATTCGTGAATGGAAAAACTCGGTGAAATCACTCAGATTTACCGTGAACTTTCCCCCTCTTTTAACCTTCTGAATTAGACACTGTCTTTTACGGTTCAAATTTCTCTCCGTGTGTATGACACAAATCAAACATGGTCACGCATCTTGGTATTAGGATTTCATTTTTTAATATTTATTAATCAAAATTGAATGATTAAATATTAAAAAGATAAAAAAAAATTAATAAACATTTTTTGATAATCAAAAATTATAATTATTATTAATTTTAAAATAAATGTTGATTAAAATTTCTAGTATTTGGAAATGGATATTTTTATCGCGATGCCATAGCGATGAATAACATTGAAGTGAAAACATTATCTTATCAACGAGTTACATTATCAGTGAAGACCATTTAGATTAGAAAACCGATTATTCTTTACACCTGAAACCTTCAGAGTAACGCGCGCACACGATTCCGAAGTAGAAAATGGATTTTCGTCCGGTTATTTTATTTTTATTTTTAATTCTTCACTCCTCTTTGTGTTTAGAAGAGGAGGAAAAAGCAAAAAACAAAACAAGTGTTGCGAAAGATGGGGAAAAACAAGTGCTTAATAATTCAACAATTTCTCTCATAAATATTTGTGATAAGTGTACATGTAATGGTTTGTAACAAAATAATCAATGTTTAATAATAATTTCGCATTCATTTTTGTTATTAATTTTCATTTTTCGTCAACATTTTATTTAAAAGAAATCTATTCATCCTGTAAATAACAAATGTTATACTTAATTTTTCAAATTATGGGAATATTGATATTGAATTAGGTATAATTTTATTCATTTTAGAAACAAGTGTCACTTGTTCCACATGGGATATGAAGACGACATTCAAAAGTTACAAGTGGCCAAATAAAACATTGGAAATTGTATCTTTAGAAAACACATCTTTGGATGATATAACGCAATTTCCCCCCCTCTCGATAAGAAAATTAGTCATAACTGGGAGTAAAATTAAAAAAATTGATTATGACTCGTTTATAAACTTGAACAATTTTGCCGAATTAGACTTGAGTCATAATGAGATAAATTCTACCATTTTATTACCAGATGCCTTCGAGGTAACAAAAATACTATCATCTATATTGTAATTCATTGTCAACCATTTTTTCGAATATCTAATTTTTTATTTCAATTTTAAAGGGTAACTTTTCGGAAGTGAGTTACGAACCTATGAAATATTTGAGAACTTTGAACTTGAGTTTCAATTTATTTCATACATTGGACCAAGAGATTTTTAAACATACAAGAGATTTGAAAGTTTTGAGCCTAAAGGGAAATCCGTTAATCGTGATTGACTCACCAACACTCACGGCATTGTCGACTCTTCCATTTCTTGAGGAACTTGATCTGAGTTACTGTCAATTAAGTAAACTACCTGAATATATTTTCCACACATCACACAAGTGAGTTTTACACAATTTTTCTGATTGTCAAATTGAGACAACAGTTTTGGTTCAAGTCTCAATTTATTGAACTTCTTTTTTCTAATATAAAATTTTTTTTTTTTTTTTGTAGATTTTTGAGAAGAATCGACCTCAGTGGAAATAAATTCACAACGCCTCCTTTGGCACTCGAATATGCAAGATACGCTAAACTGTTGACCATGGACAATAATCCGATTCAATTTATTGGACGAAGCAACGCTTTTCCTGAACTGCAAGAACTTGAGGAGCTAAATTTACGAAATATGTCACTATTAACCAAAATTGGAGACGGAGCTTTTACGAATCTGAAAAATTTACAAATTTTAAGAATCCAAAATTGTTCGCATCTTAAAACATTAGACGAGTATGCTCTAGTTTCAAACGTAAGTTTCTTCAATTTACAAAACAGTATAAATTGTAGAAATATTTCTAAACAAACGTAATTATGGGAATTGAATAAGATTTTATTTGCAGAACTCGAAAGTCACTACCCCACTAAAGAAACTACTGATATCAGATAACGCCCTTCAATATTTGCCAGAGCATTTCGTCGCAAGATGGGACAGACTCGAAGAATTGGATTTGATGAACAACCAATGGAGCTGCGATTGCGATAATCAATATCTGGTAAGTTCTTTCACGATCACACGCGCGACCATATTGGCACAGTCAGTAATAAAAATATATGTTTCGCTAAAAAATAAAATAGAGGAACTCCTTATAAATAATAACTTGAGCCGATAGTAGTAGTTCAGTAAAAAGTAAACCTCAAATTGAATTTACAGATTGCCAATATTATTCCCGGACTGGGTCACAAACTAATGGGGGAAAATGTAAACAAATTGAAGTGTGTCTTACCTGCGGAGCATTATGGCAAAAGACTAAATTCTCTTGAGCATCGAAAGTTGCGGTGCCTCGATTTGTACAGCGCTCGACCGGAGAAGGATGCAGCGATTTTGGTCGGAATTTTAATTGGCCTGCTTCTAGTGATACCTGTTGGATTGACCTCTTTCTTCTTATGGAAAAGAGGATATTTCTTCTGTGGCTCTCAAAATCCAGGAAGCTTTTCAAGGGCCTTTTACAAACGAACGCCACATGATGACATTTAGGACGCATTTCTTTATACCGGGAAAGTAAATAAATCCAAAGAAAAAATTAGGAATTGATAGTTTTTCTGAGGAATAGGAAAAAGAAAAGAAATATCACGATCTGTAAAGGTAATCTAAATTTTTAGTGCGACCCTCGCAACTTTGCGCATGTCCTACTTGACCTGCTTCTACTATACTTACGAGCACTAAAACGACATCTTCTTTCGTAAAAATTACAATCGTTTTTAACTATATAGTCCGATAGTTTTTCCAAGGTTATCAAATTAAGACAAAAAACCTATCAAAACGTTGCTTCGCAACATTTTGCTAAGTTTTTTGTCTCTATTTGATATCCTTAGAAAAATTGTGCATTCAATATTCATAAAACTTGAAAGAAATTCGAAACCAACTTGCAAATTGTGATACCTCTTATAAATATTCTTATTTTTTAGAATAGCAAATCTTGTTCACTTTGAAGATTCACATATTAAATAGAGCGTAATATAATAGAAATATTCTTGAAAATCACGCTTATATGATAATGATCAAAACGTGTCGCAATTATGCATCTTCAATTTCACTGTTATTTAATATAGGTACCTAGAATATAATTTATCGACGCGGTGACAAAAAACACTGTATACTAACATATGAAATTATAATTATACATAATTTATATATAATAATAAGTTTTTAGTTAATTGTATAATATTTCATACTTAGTAATTCGAATTAGTAAACATTTTTACTAATTCAAATTTTGAGAATTCGAAAAAATGTTATTTATAATATTTTTTGATTTCAATAATATTGTTTTTCTACTTATTATATTTGATAAAATAAAATAATGTAAAAAATAACTATTTGTTTTATTGACCGGAACATTTTCGCAAAAACAATTCTATATATCACATAAAATTATTTATAGAAATAAAATAAATATATTTTATTAAAGTATTTCAATTTTGGGAGGAAATTCGACAAAATAAAATTACGATATGAAAAATACACAGAAATCAATATGTTTAAATCTTTGTTATACAGTCAACTAAAAATTATTTTTGAATTAAACATAATAATTTTGATTCAAGATTCAACACACGTTTTATTCAATGCAAATTTCGTTTAATTTAATCATGAAATATTGTTTAATTGAAACATATTTCTTTGGTTGGTTACTTATTTTTGAATTCAAAAATATTTTTTCTCAGTGTAAAAAAACTTATCTGCGTTAAAATTAAATTAGTTATTGATTTTTGTTATTAACTCTACTAAATTTGATATATTTTTTTTATTAAAGTATTTTCTTTATCAAAATTTTGTTAACTTCTTCCCAAATTGTAATTAATTCTTTTATAAAATTAAATATTTATTTTCCTCCCGTGTAAATGATTGTCTTTGACATAAATCCCAAATGTTTCTGATTAAATATTATTTGAACTGCATATTCGTTACTTTTCACATAATAATGACTCGGATTATCTCATGTATATAACATGCATTTCTTGCACTAACAAGTCTCCAGGGATGAAAGAAGCTTTAGCCAGTAACGGATTTATTGTTCTCAGACTCAACGATTCCCCAACCTAATTTACTTCCAGCATCTTTTTTAAAAGTAGCAAAAAGTATTTTCGCCTAAAATGAAAAGAATATTATTTACTATTCAAATTTAAAATTGAGAAATTGTTTCTAGTAAATTTTATCCGAATTAAAAATCTCGACATGTTGTATATCAAAACATATGTCGCATCTTAAATATTTCATAGAGACACTAAATTGGATTTGAAGATGTTTGAAATGATTTCGTTTGGCTTTTGGTTGTAGCAATAGCACAACCTATATAGGTGAGTGGACACGCGTCACTAATACAATTACATACCCGTCGTTAATTTACTCAATAATCGCTGAAGCAAACCCCTCTAAATGATGGCACGTGCCACCCTTGCCTAAGCTCTCCATGTTGTCAAAATTCTTATTTCAAAAAAGTAAACGGAAGTCAACAATGATCATTCGAGGAAAACGAAGTTTTATTTTCCTCTTGCCACGAAAAGAATTTTTTATTTTATTCAACAATCTAATTCGTTTAGAAGAAAAATTCTTCTGCCATATAAATAAAACATGTCTGTTAGAAGGAATAATCAAACCTTTCATTGCTTTCAGCCCTCGCTTTCAAACATTGCTCTTGGATATACAATAAGTGACTGTAGTAAAGTTGATTTCGTTCGGAAAATTGACTCACTGAGAGCTTTCGAAGAAGGTTTCTGTAATTGACTTTCTTATATTATGTGAAGTATACCTAAATTTTATTAATAATAAACACTATATATGCTAGAAAATAAATAAATTACAATAAAGAAGATTATTGAAACAATTTTGAAGTATAATAATTTTGCAGTGTAAGAATATGAAAATTGAAAATACGTTTGTTTACATTTGAGGAATTAAACCTTGCCTGCATCATAGAACTTAAATTGCAAACCTTCTGTCAATATTCCCCTTGTCTCCCGTCTCCCGTCTCGCGGCCGATGAAGGATGATCAGGATGAAGGAGTAGGCGATATCGAATGTGTAATTTGAAAACACAATAATACGTCCGCATCCGTCGCGACGCGAGTCGTCGTCAGTCGTCGTCAGTCGTCGTTTTCCGAATACCGCCATAACATATACCTCTATATTAGCAGACGGTCGTTCTCGTGTGAAAATTTGAGTAAGGAACCTATGATAGTGGAAATCTCAACGAGAATCATGAATTCTCCGGTAACCAAGGGAATAGATCCGCCCCCGCCAAGTTGGAACCAACCCCAACAACGTCGAGCGTCGCGACTCCAGCCAATACGACGCCCCAAAGCAACCCTCGAAAAACCCACCCACCCTCGCGGCCAGGGGTGTGAGAGCACCACGCTCAATCGCAGGTTGACGCACTGATAGGGGCTAAACGGTTCTACCAGTGTCAAGTCGGGGGTTGCGGATGACAACACGTGACAAACGTATCAAAAATCCCATCGAAGAAACGGAAATTGCTGGAATGTTTCGACTACTTCATTGTTCTGATTACAGTGCGCTTTTTTGGAAATTATCCCATTTTTAACAAAATCCAATGATAAATAGATTTACGAAGGTGTGAAACTAGTGACATGTCTTAGAAAGTTCGAGTCAATAAAGTGTACGGTAAATTTAAATTAGAGACAGAATCAAGAGAGCGACTTTTATCGTGCGGTGTGTTTGTGAAATGATTAGTTACTTAACTTATTCTCCAACTGTATAACTTCATGCGGAACAAGAAAATTTGCTAAATGATTCAAAGTGAACGGTTTCTAATCTCCACATTCGACAAATGCATCAGGAAACAATGTTGAGATTCATTTGTCACAAGATTCGCAAAAGGAAACAGCTTCAATGATCCAACCGCTCTGGAAAGTCGAGGTAAAGGATCAAATCGATCAAATAGCAAAAGGACGAAGAATAATGCAGTCGACCTGTCAACAGCAACAACAACAGGCACAGCAACAAAATGGCACATCGGCCAGCCGAACGTCCTTCCTGATCGAGGACATTCTCAGCAGGAACAACGTGCCCCCTCACTCCCAACACCTCCAACTCCATCACCACCAGCATCATCATCATCTAACGCCTTCCCATACTCACCAGCATCAGCAATACCAACAGTTTGCGAGTCTTCTGCCCGGATATCCTGCCGCCCCGCCGGCTGCTGCCTTCTTCCTCGGACCACTTTTCGGTAGCACCGGAATGGGCGTCGGGGTCGTTCCTGGTGTCAGCGAACTCGCCGCATTAAAGCACTGTCGCAGAAGAAAAGCCAGAACAGTAAATTCATTCTCTTATGTAGTACAAACAAAATTCCAATAGTTCCAATAGTACCGCTATAATTTCTACCGCTAAAAGTGATTTTTCCAATTTCCGAAAAGTACAATTCGATGATTTTTGTTTGATTTTTTTTAATGGATGATTCTTGTTAATTTGACAGGTATTTAGTGACCAACAATTGGCTGGCTTAGAAGCGAGATTCGAAGCGCAAAGGTACCTAAGCACTCCGGAGAGAGTAGAACTCGCGGCAGCTCTACATCTCTCCGAAACCCAGGTGAAAACTTGGTTTCAGAACAGACGAATGAAACATAAAAAACAGCTGCGAAAGCTCAACACTAACAACAACGGCAATCAAGTTTCTGGTCAGCAGCAGTGTGGAGGTCAATCAATTTCTGCAGCCGGTACATGTCACCTCTTTTTAATTTAATTTCGCAAGAAGTGCTTCAATTAAAAAGCACTCTCCTATCGAAAACATTAAGCGTTTCACATATATACTGTTATTCTCTTTTTTCACGCGTCATTTCTTTTATTTCAATTTCAAGAAATTTTACAATAGTTTCTTCAGTTAAAAAAGAAAAAATCGCTATTGCAATTATTTCTTTTTATTCCTTTGATTTCGTTTCTTGAAATTATTTGAAGAAAGAATGAAAAAAATGAGGTATAACAATACTTTACGAATTTGAAGCGTAATTGAAACCTTTTGGTTTTGAGCGTCGGCTGATCTAAACTCACTTTGTGTAGCAAATAGTATTCACTTAGCAGTTAACGCTAATCAAAGTTGGAATTAATTTATCTGACCATGTCGCAGCTCAAGCTAATGTTACTAACCATGAAAGCCATAGGTAAATTTACGGAACGAGTGGTTTTGCTTCATACGCTAATACTCACCACAATAGAGTCTGATTGGCATACGAGTATGTAAACTCATTATTCTAAATTGTTAATACTTTACTTTGGATTTCATTTATTCGCGCACGCTGAAGATAAATTTCAAATTTTAATAATAATTCGTAAACATCAGCAGAAGGGAAAAATTTATTTTTCCACAAATTTAGAATTATGTACTTTTTTTTCTTTAGAGATTTTAGAGATTTTCGCTCTCAGTCCTGTAGGTATATCTTACAACACCTTTCGGAAAATTTTGTTTTTTCTTTTGTTAAAGTAACCACGCTGTTTCGTCAGACGACATCGTTAGCCACTTTACCTCTTTTAGTCTGTTGTCTTTACCTCGAAATTATCAAAGAAATTATAATCCATCACTTTAGCTCCTGCAGAAAAATTGATAAACTAAATTTTTTATTTTATTCTTTTCGTGAAAATAAACAATTTTTTACTCGTTAATTCAGGGTGGCCACTTTTTTCGTAAAAAAAATTCACTGTCATAGTCATAAATTATTTTTTCCGGTCATAAAGAATAACTCTGAAAATAAATTATTCCATGAAAGATATTGAAAGAATTCCCTGATTTTTAGAAAAAAACTTTGACTTTTTCCCATACCCTTTTAGTTTCTGAAAATAAATAATTTTATAGAAATTTTAACTAAAATATTTCTAAAATCCATTGTTTACAAGACAATTTCATGAAATTTTTAATAACTTGAAAGTTTTTCAATTAAATATTAATATATTTAAAAATATAACTAATTTGAAAAAAATGTGAATAAAAATATATATTTCAAAAAACTTACTTATTCAGAATTTTTAATTAAAATCTTTTACAATTCAACTTTTCTAAAACTTCAATTCGAAACTTTTTAAAATCCAATCTATATTAATATATCAGTAAAATTAATTTAACATATTCTAAAATATAGAAATAGTTGTTTATGAATAATTGTAAAAAGACGAATTGAAATTAATGAAAAATACGGTTTTTTAAAAATTTATTTTCTAAGAAAAGAAATTTTATTTATTTTTATTTTTCATTTAAAAATTAATTTTTATAAATTTCGTATTACTTTTGATCTAATTATTTCAAATTTTCACGAAATTCAAATTTGTTTTGTTATAATATTATTGCAAAAAAAGATTTTTAAATTAATTTTTTTTCACTGTTTTATGTGAAATTTATTCTCCTTCAAATTTTTTCGACTTAATTTTTCAATTTAATTAAAATGATATATTTTGTTTAATTATTGTTAGATATAGAAAGAATTTAAAATTAAATTTAATATTTTTTTAAGTCTGTTACGTTTGACAACAAAATTCATAATTTTCTTACAAATTCTAGAAATTTAATATTTTTATAGTACTTTTGATAAAATTCCCAGACAAAATAAAACGATTTTATAGAAAATCATTCAATCTTTCTTAATGAAATATAATTAATAAGTCTTAAAATAAATATTTCTATTTTTTCTCACAAAATTATCAGTGTTTTTAAAACAAAATTTCCAAAATCCCGGTGCGAAAAAATTCCCTGTCATATGCCCCGGTTTTTCGGTCCAGCGGCCACCCTGTTAAATACAACAATTTATATATAGTTAAATAAAATAATGTAATTACAGTTTTCTTCAAAGTTGCAAATTGATATTAAATTAATGTCAAAAATTTAGATCAATTTTTGATTCTATCCACATTTCTAGTATCAGTTCGTCGCAATTTAATAATATTGAGTTAACGGTGATTGAAAAAACGATGTATAATTATATAATTAAATATTCTTTGAATTACGGTTCAAATTGATATTTTTTTCTTTGATATCTATACTGATTAAAATATTCTCAAGAACAATAATATTGTTAAAAAAGTTGAAGAGAAGAAAAGAATTTACGATTTTTACTGATTTCAAGTTTTTCATTGTTTTTAAAAACAGATTTGAAAAAGGGTCGTCGTATAAATTGTTTTCTAACACCTTCTTTGTCATTTTTGTCGCCTCTGGAAAATGGACTTCTTTTCCTTATGTATTTAAGGTTCGCTTTTCTTTCTACTTTCTTCATTCTGTTTGTAGTTTTTTTTCTACTTTGTCCAGACCGGAAATCTTATGTGTTTTTTGTTTATCATAATTTGTTGTTGTTGTTGTTATTTTTATTAACAAATCTTTTCAGTTCGTCGTCTAAGAGGTTTTGTTTTTCTTTGTCTTGTTTGATAATTTCCCTTCTCTTTGTTCCTTTTGTCTTTTCTTCATTATTTTCATTTGATTGTTTTAAAAATCTCATCTCGCAGTGAAACGTCGCAAAGCTGCAGATCTTCTCTAATTTCGCAGTACTCAATATTGTCAATTTTGGATATTAATTTTTAATATTTCTTCCACTTTTCTTCTGCGCATATCAAATTGAGACAAAAAGCGAATCAAAACGGCAACATTTTGATTCATTTTTTGTCTCAATTTGATATCCTCCTCAAAGCCAGGTATTTTCCTCCCTGGCAGAATTGCAGGCAGAATAATTTTGCAAATATTTCCGTGAAACTTGATGATAGTTTAAAATAATAATTGTTTGTAAGAGTAAGATTGTAGTGGTTTGTAGAGAGAGGATAAAAATTAGGATAAAAATGTTGTGACGTACATTTTTCTTGAACTACTAACTACTGCACCTAATCCTTAAACCATCGCTTCCAGATCCTCTTGATTGCAGAGCGGGTAATCGAAGTTTTTGTAATACTTGGAACCGCATCGCATCCGCCTAACACCAGCCACTTGTCGTAGCCAAGATGGCTTCTTACCTCGTGGGGATGGGGTGTAACGAAGTTATCTCCTCGGGAAGCGAGGGCTGCCAAGGCGACTGCCTTGCCTTGACTTGAGAGTTGTAGGAGGCAGACTTATACATAGCAAAGACTTCGCGGGGTCTTCTCAATTCGGTCTTGGAGAAAATTAATCAATTATCGGCTAAGTGCTCGACCAGGGTCTGCCTCCAGGCATGCATTCTCTTAACTTATTAAAATGCTACAGCTCTTTTTATTCCACAACTTTTTCCCATTTTCTTCTTCTTTTTCTTTTTCTTTAAATGTCAATTCTAGCTTGCATACAAATTAAAGAGATTACGCTCTACTATTATTCTCTTTCCACTTTTGCCTGATGACTATTATATATACAAACTTTTACTTTGACTGCGACATTTATAATCACAGTTTTTCCAAGGATGTCAAATTGAGAGTTGAGACAAAAGAAAGTATCAAAATTGTTCATCGGTACTGTGAGACTTGATTTCCATACTGAGGGTCAGTAGTAAAAGTAATGTTCAGACAGACAGTAGAAAAGGTCGTGTTTGATCAAACGACACGACGCTAACTTTTTTAATCCTAAGAAAATGTTGAATATTTCTCATTTATAAAATGAAAAAATGTTTGTTTACCAGAGAGGCCAGTTGACTTTTCCCTGTCGGGAGGTCGGGAATCTCGAGCGAGCAGCGATGCAATTGTTGACTCCGATGAAGATGAAATCGATGTTCTGGGGGACGAGACACCCTCTCCAATTCAGGACACCACGTTGCGTTTGCCGAGACATGGTTCGCCACCAACGAGTTTTCAATCCATCCATCCACATCCGGTGACCCTCTCTCATCAGCAGCATCATCACAATCGCTGATTGTGGCGGGACACACTTTCTTTACCTGAAATCCGATGCCTAGTCAATTTCTTCGACGGTCGCAACTCGCAGCAGTGCCACACATCGCAGAGAAAAGTAAATGATTCTTAACAAACTATTTGTGGAGAGTGAATAGACTTATTATTAGCAACATTAATGTTCAAGCAGTCAAAAATCGTGACGCACAAAAACAAAATAAAAACATTGTTGTAATTAACAAGGTTGGACACTTTTTCTTGATATCCTCAGATATCAAGTTATAATAAAATTAATAATAATACCAATAAATAATAATAAAAACATTTTAAGTATACTGACATGTAAAATATAGTTAAATAACATTATCTTAATTATACACTAATTGTTTACCGCATCTTTTTTCTATCCACAGACTTTTTCTCTCTATCTATATATAAAATTGAGACAAAAGGCGAATCAAAATTTGATTGATTCGTTTTTTGTCTGAATTGAAGCATATGACGCTCCGCGACTAAAACGTAGTCATAGTTTTTGCTTTCACAGTTTTCTTCAAAGTATCAAATTGATGACAAAAATTTGGATCAATTTTTTTATTCGCATTTTTATAGTATTTCGTTGCACTTTTATACTTTTTAAGTTAACAGTGTTATTAAAGGATTGATTTCGATTTTCTGAATTAGAAACCGTTTTTCTAATCGCATAATGAGTATTTACTTAGGTTGGATTAAAAAAATGCTATTTTCGCTCTAAACTTTAAAACTGTCAATTGCCCAAAAATAATTAATTCTTCATAAAGTTAATACATCTTCAAATTTGTTTAAATATTAAACTTCATTCCTTAAATCCAATGGTTTAGAATTAAAATTATTTAGTTTTCTAAACAAAAATTATGAAATAATGATACGCGCGCGGAACGCGGTATTCTATTTCTTATTATTTTGTAAATTAAAAAATTTTATATTTCCAATAATCATCAATTTTTGAATGATTACAGATTCAAAATTTAAAGAATACACTTATTAAGTACATAATATTAAATATTCTTATGCTTATTATTATTTAAAAAGTTTAATAACATTTTTCGCAAGAATTTCATTTTTCTCATACAAATAATAATATTTTTTAAAGCAATTCAATTATTTTCAATACAATTTTAATAAAATTTCTCAATTATTATATAAAATTCAATTACTTTCAAAATTTTCAGTAAAAATTATTTTCAAAAACTCCTTTATTTCCAAGAGAATTAAAATAAATTCTTCAAAACAATTCAATTATTTATTTATTTATTTTAAAGAATTTTAATAAAAATCTTGCCAAGAATTAATTTATTTTTAATACCTACAATAATTTTAATTGCATTTTCTCGAAAGAATTAAATTATTGAAAAAAATGTTGATAAACTTCTTGAAATGAATTCAATTATTTTCAAATTTTTTTATAAATACTTTACAAGAATTTAATAATTTTCAGTACATCGACAATTTAATTATTTAATCATTTCTGAAAATAATTAAATTCTTGAATAGAATTTTATGAAAACTTTTTTAAATAATTGAATCCCTGCAAAAAAATTTATTATTTCTACAAATAATTTAATTTTTGCAAAATTAAAAAAAAACATGAATTTTTGAGTTGCATTTAAAATATTTGAATTCTTGTGGAAAATTTATACTATTTAATGATATAAATGAATTCTTACGAAGAATTTATAAATAATTTCATTTTCCCTGGACTTCAATTATAAATTTTATTTAAAATAATTGGAATTCAATGATTTTCAGTACATTAATTTAAAAATTTTTAAACATTTAAGAAGAGAAATTATTTTAAAAATTAGGAAACAAGAAAAGCGAACATAGCGATTAGCGAAATACAACGATTATTAATATAGAAGAAGATAATATTTATCTCGGTTGTAATCAGCCATTTTTATTGTGAATTAATCAAACAGGGTTTCAATTATTATAACAAATTGAGTTTTTGTATTTAAATAATTGAATTCTAGAAGAACTTTCGGAAAAGTATTAAATGCTTTAAATTCAAATTCTTTTTAAATTTTCAAAATCTTTAGAATGAAATTAGAAATTGAAATGTAAGTGCTTAGAAAAAAATAAATTAGCTCAAATTTGATTTATTTAAAGTCTCATTCGCTTACTGTCGCAAATCTATTCAAAAAGTGACTAAAGACGAAGGGCAAATACAGTTTAAATTAAAAGTAATTTCACGCGAATCGGAATAAAGTGCTCGAGACTGAACACATGACGCCTGGTAGTGATGACGCATTTATGGCAGCGTTAGTGGTCCGTTCGATTGACATTTTATAGCGTCACAGGTCATGAGCGACAACATTATCGTCCCGCTAATTGGCAGTCTGACATTTTGCTATTGTCGCTTTATAGGACATTTTCATGACTTAACGAGTCCATCGGCTCGACTGACCATCAAAAGTGTGAACTCACACACACACACACACACACACACATTTTGTACATAAAAACGCGAGTAAGGCGATTATAAAAGTAACTTCAACTTTTAAAATTCGCCAACTTTCCCCTCTGAAAATCCGAAAGTTTCCAACTAATCCAAAAGTTAAAATTTCATAAATGCATGTACGAAAAGTATGTATACGCAATTTTTCAAGTTTCCAAACAAATTATTTTTCCAGCTCTTCAATAACCAGGGATCAAAAATTAACTGTCAAAGTCTACTCATAAAGACATAAGTTAATTAAAAGTTTAATAAAGTTACTCCTTTACTTACTCCCAAAGATGTATCGCCAAGATGTATATTACAAACTTGAGAATGCACGGAACAAACTATTTTGAATGTTTAATTTTAATCACAAGGACCACAAATTAAACTACATAAATGAAATTTACTATTAAACAACTTTATTTATTCTATCAAAAGGCAAAAATTGAATTTTTAAAATTCAGAAATTCTCCCATTAAATAATAAAATAAATTTTGCATTTTTTAATAATAACTCAATGAAATAAATTCATTTGCATTAATTATTAAAACAGGTTCGTATTTTGAAAGTTAGTACGATTTTCATGAAATTGTAAGACATTGATTACCGGCCTTGACGATTTCAGGCGGATCCTAATACCCAGATAATGGGAAGTAATTGCACTGGCGGGTCGAGAGGACCCGGTAATTGTGTTATATCGTCGAAGCGATGCTCGTATGTGGAATATTTGAGAGAGAGTGAGAGTGAGAGTGAGAGGGAGAGGGAGAGATGAGCCGAACAAATATAGGTATGACAAAAATTGATTTTTCTTCTTCCCTTGCTTATATTTCATACTCAAATAATGAAAAATTTAAATTAAGAATTCTACCCGCCGCATAGGCGATATTTATTTCATTTTAAAAACAACTATTTTCATTTCAATAAGTTTCAAATTACAATTTATACAAATTGAGATAAAAATTCGTTTTTTGTTAAGTTTCTATTGAAAAAGGACATTTTTTCTAAATTTAATATAGCTATTTTAGACTTTAGTGTCTATTGTGCAAGGGAAAGAATAGAAAGTCGACACGTGCAAAAGATAATCCGCTAATCGCTTGTAATCTCCTGAACAAACTACAATGTAAAAAGAGCGTCACTGCGTGATTTGAGCCTAAAGATGTAAACAAAATCAGTAGCACTACAGACAAGAGACTGAATTTAATTTAAAATTGTTTTGTTTTTATAAGAAGAGGACAATTTTCGTTATTAACGTTATTAAGCAATAACTAGTGATATAATTTAAAGAACGAGTGACGAGATATTGAAACAATACCGAGAAGAATAAGAGAGATGACATCAATTTCTTTGAAGTAGAAATACACAAAGTAGAAGCGAGTAGAAGCGAGTAGAAGCACAAAGCTCGCGAATTAATTGAGATCGTCGGGTCGTTTATGAAGTTTATTAGATTTCGTTAAGACGCCTATTATTATACGTCACATAAATAAAGGGTTTGAGTTATGGGAAAAGTAAAGAGGGAGTGTGGCAAAAATAATGAAATAAAAGACAATGAAGTGGCAGGTACAATAGCCAATGCGGGTAGCACTGGGAGACTAGCTCTAAATGCAGTGGGCGTTCCATTACTTTCATTATTTTCCCGACGGAGGGTTGGCGGTGGATACCGAGTTATTCGTGTAATAATAACGTCGCTCACATCACAGGGATATATATCCAGAGCACCCTCTCTCGATTTAAACGCATTAGCCAAATTCCTGATCCTTTGCCAGATATTAAGATGATAAAACATCTCTTTTGCAACTTTATTTTACAGTAGCAGTCATTTTGTGATTTTGTCATTTTATCCATTTTAATTCGTGTCAATTCGTGTCAATAAATTCTTCTCGGAAATCGCGAAATCGGTCAATTTGTATTCATTTATCGGGGCAAGAACGGCAAGAAGAAGAAAAATGGCAGAAAGCAGGCTGTCTAGTTAAACAGTGCAGTAAAGAGCGGCTTTCGTGGGGTGGAGAGTGTACACGGGGCCGTTAACAAGACGTCGCCTGTCAAGACGTCGCCGCGTGTCACTCGACGTCAACCAGGCCAACCCTCTGATAAATAAATCCATTCGCCATTCGCCTCCCGTTCCACTCGTCTCCTTCCTGAAATACGGCCTCTATTAGCACCGTTTAACTCCGCAGACTGTAAATAAGAATATTCATTCGAGAACGAGAAGCAATAACTTTCGAAAAACACGAGACTAACACGAGACTAAAATTCACAGAGATCTGTGCGAGGGTAATTTTTCCCTCTTTTCAAAAAGAAATGGTTTACAGTCATAATAAGGTGTCCTTTCGTCCCGAGGATGGGAGTTTACTGGCCACGTGCCATTTAACTTGATCACTGGACAATCTGGCCTCGTTTCAACTATGGTTACTTCAACGCTTCTGCTAACAAATAACATTGTCAAGTACGTGCGGGGGCGTCGTGATTCGATTTGCACAACCGTGACAGAGCGCGCTGGGGGATAGGACCCGTCACTTCTATACATCCCAGTATAAAGGTACAAAATTTCATCCTGCTACAGACTGTTCGTATCAAACTTTTAATTCATTAAAATTTACTATAATTTCGAAAAAACTCTTCTTCTTCTCCTTCTTCTTCTTCTTTCCAGGTCCACACTCATGATGATGATGATGATGGTGATGATGGTGATGATGATAATAATAATTATCGCGACGAACGTGCGAGAACGCCAAGGCGGCATCACCTAATTAGTCCTGTTATTTAGTTAGGGGGGCCTGGCCGCTGAGGGAAATTGCGCTTTCTCTCGAAGGCGTAAAAAAGAGGAGAGAAAATGTGGTGAGATAAAGAGAGAGAAAGAGAGAGATGAGTTTACGGACACTTGAGCACTAGTACAAAGATTCGTATCTCCACGGCGTGTTTAAAAATAATTACCGTGCAAGATCCGACGATAGTCACGGACCTCGTTTCAACCAGTCACCCCCCATGCTCCGTTCTCCACTTCTCTTCCGGCACTGTTTCGAGTGGTCCTTACCTTTCAACCACTCTATCACCAGCGGTTAAAGAAGCATAAAGACTGAAGGTTCCACTCGATTCTAAAGGGTTGTCCTTCGGGGCGAAAGCCGGAATTGATTCTGAATAACAATGTGTCAGAAACTTGATATGCTCACAAGATGATCTAAAAAAAATTATTCGTTTAGAGCGAATTACTCCCTGTATCTGAAAAATGCGATAATTCCAATTAGCGCATACACGCTGTCAAATAGCCAATTTCAATTCATTTTCAATCGAAATTAATTAATAAAATGGTAAAATATAAATAATAGTTGTAAAATTAAAAAAAAAATTGAGGTAAAATTATAAACTTTGTATACTTACCGAAAATTATTTCACTCTAAACTGTTAGATTGGAGGTAAACTTATAAATCGTCTGATTTAATTTAAGGTAGAAATAAGTTTTCAAATTTTTCAACATTGTAAAAATAAGCGTTAGAAAAATTTAATCCTGAAAACAAAATTCTCAATAAAATTAGGAGTTGGATAATTCTTGTTTAATCTTTTAATGAGTAAAGAAATACACTCAAATCTCGCTATAACGACCTTCTCTATAACGAGCGCTCTCTATAACGAGGGCTCTGTCTCTCGGTATAGCGAGAAAAATTTCCTCCCGATTACCCCCACTATTTATAAACAAATGCACATTCAGTTGGATTAAATTTGGTTGAAATCAATATTATTTATATAAAATAAAAATAAAAAAAGTCATAAAAAGTCACTTCTTATTTGAAATTATATCAATGAGTCGAACATCTTCAAAATTTTAGCTTATATAAATTTCTGTATGTTAAAGTTCAAATTAAACTAGGTTACGTTTGTAATTTTGACATTATAAAAATTGTAAACACTAAAAAAAATGAATGAAGAATTGCGCTCGTAATAGAGGGAGACTTGACTCCCGAACTTCTCGTTATAGCGAGATTCGAGTGTAGTACCAAAACTGTTAAAATAGCATAAATGAAAATAAATTGATAAATACCTTTTTCTTTTCAATTAAAGTTAATGTTTTTCATTTCGTTTTTAGACATCAACTGAGATGCGTTCCCACGCGTTTCGAAGAAAAGTGCCTAAGAAACAAATCACTTTAAGGTTATGTTTGAGTTATTTTCACCTTAATTAAAAGTTAATTGTGTAAGACTCAAGTCATTTTTATCGATTACTTTTTACTTTAAATAGAACTTAACTTGAACATCATATTTTTATATTTAGAGTTGATTCTTTTCGTGTATTTTCTTTTCAAAATATAACCTCAAATTTTTTGCTTCTATCTTTCTTCGGAACAAAACGAGCAAAGTCACAAATAATGTAATTAGAATACTTTTTTAGCAAAATAAAGAACAAAGATAACACCTGATAGATCCTAAATCCTCCATTTCGATAGACAAACATTGTCTATTCGTATTCGTGTAGACACTTTCGGCAAAGTTTCGAGGCAGCTTGGAGCTTGTGACATAAAACACACAACTTCCCTTGATTGGATGTGTTGAAAAAGAATTGCCTCTGGTGAATTCCAAGAAAACAAAAGTTTTTTTCAAAGAATAAACTTTTTAAACATAAAATAATCGTCAAATTAAAAGACACAATAAAAAGAAAATTCCAAAGAATAAAGTTGTTAAATTTGTTTATTTAAAAAATATAAAAAGTACCTATTAAAGTGTTGCAATTATAATGATATTCAACTGAAATTTGTGCGCTCCTTCAATGAAAAGGATAAAACAATTCAAATTTTACAAAATGAGAAAACTAAATTGCGATATTTTAATTGAAAATGTCAACGCATAAAACAAAACATATTTTCTTAATTATTTTCTAATCAATTGAAACTTAATTTCAAAATCAAAACAGTATCAACAAACAATAATTTAATAATGTTAATAATGTACTCTACAATAATGTAAAAGTTGAGTAATTCTACACCTGTGTCAAGAATTTTCAACAAACAGTAAATCTTGATTTCAAAATGAAATTGACAAAACAGTCGATCCATTCTTTATTTTTAACTTATTATAATAACTATAAAGCTAAAGACCTAGCATGTACAAAAGATATTTATATTATTGCGGACTGTCCACAATAAAAAAAAATAACAATGTCGCAAATATATAAAATATCTAATTACAGTCAAAGAATAAGAACTTTCAGCATATTCGATTCAAACTAGAATAAAAAATATACATTCTGCAATTCCAAAAATGAAATAATATTTTATTTTCAATATTTATTTTTAGAAACGAAGACAATATTAACGAATTTTAACAATTTTATCGTACTACAACGCTTCTAAAGAACAAATTCTCTTTTTCCTCACATATATAAATATATATATATATAATATAGTTTTAAACAAACGAGTATTTGAAAAAGTTACTTAAACTTGCCAAATTCATTTTTTATTTTTTGTTTCTACTTATTCACTCGTATCGAGTTTTTAGAGAACAATTTCAAAAACTGATCCACACAACAAACTATATTAAATTTGTTATAGACTTTTAATATTTGAATTTTACAAATAAGTCTCTGATTTACGTATAATTAACTAAAATTTAATATATCAAACTTTTCGAAAACATACGAAAATATCTATTAATGCTTTCGTTAACAACGAATACAACTTTTATCAAATAAAAGCAGCATTTAAAAATTGCAAATTTTATTAGCATTGCTATTTAACGTCTTAACAATTTTATTGTAGAAATATAATTAAAATTAATTTTCTACCACTTTCTAAAAGATAATCAAAAGACAACTTGATAATTCTTTTTTAATTCTAGTCTTTAACAGTTTGTTTGAAAATAACTTGAAATTTTGAAAAATAAAAGTAAATCTCAGAGACTTGGGAGTATTAAAAATTAATTATAGAAATTAAATTTCCTAGGCAAGAAAATAGGAATTGCCATTAAATTAAAATTGGTTAAAAAATTTGGAGTGTATAAAATAGCTTGCAAGTAAAATAAATCTCTTTAAAAAAGCAGTGCTTGTTGAAATAAATTTTTAATTTATATTATTATAATATATCTGAAGCCCCGTTAATTGTAATCGATTGTTAATTAACATACATCACTATTTGCTTTAATTTGAATGTATACGGAGAAATGATATTAAGTAAAATAGAATTCTAGAAGCAAAAGAGAGCATGAAGCTTATCAATATCACTTGGTCAATGAAGAGAGGGTTTGGAAGCTCGTTGCTTTAACCTAGCCAACAACGCTTGCTCTCCATCATCCACAGCTTTGGACGCCCGAAAACTTTCGGATCTATACTTATCTCTTAAGAACATTCTCCTTTCCTCTTTGTACTTGTCTATTCTCTCTCTACATTGCGGATCGCCGAGATCCAATCCTCCCAGGTTCTTGGCATACAATCTGTCGGAGTTGTTGATTGCAACTATCGTCTCAGACCCCACGTTTGGCGTGGAACTGTGTTGAGAGTCGTCGTAGGACTGCTTCTTGGACAAGCAGGTCTCGCCGGTCATTTGATTGAACTTCCCCTCGTCGAGGGAGCGACTCAGAGCGGCTCTGGTGGCTCTCGCGTGTCGAGCGCGTAGGCAAGGTGGCAGGTGCGGAACACCTGCCGCCGACTCTTCGAATTTTCCTCTAGCATTGTCTAGTTCCTGTCTCATTTTTCTCTCTCTGACGATTTCTCTCCCGATCTCGGAATCGAAACTCCTTCTGTCTCTCGTCACCTCCGAGTCGTAGCGTTTCCTCGTGGGAACGGATAGCTCTCCTCCAACGCCGCCGGACAGTCTCTGCAAAGCGAGTTCCTGGAGGATAGCCGCCGTGTCTTTCAAAACACCCGAGTCGTCCACTGGCGAAGAGGCGTTGGAGAAGGTGAGTGAAGAGGCTAAAGAAGCAGTGCCCGAAGCTCCCTCCGGAACGTGAACGACCTCATAGGGTTGAGCCGCATTCTCCGAAGGAATCATCACCTCATTGTTGTGAACTTGAGTATTCTGAACTTGCTTTCGTTTATCGTTCAAGTGTTTCATGCGAAATTGGTACTGATTATGGTTGCGTTGTTTCAGTTGACTGTACCCATAAGTATGGCACTTTTCGATGTTCTTTTCAAAAGCCTCTTGCAGTTGAGAAACATTCTTTCGCTCGCCGTCCGAAGGTAGCAGTGGTTTTTGTCTCTCGGAGAACTGAGGCGAATTTTCCTCAATCGTCGATCGTTTTTGATTTAATCTAATATTGTCTAATTTCTCATCGATTTTTGACTTTTGATTCAGACTCTTTTGCTCAATCTTGCTTCCTCCGTGATCCAGTTTGGAAGGGTGTTTTTCACTTTGGTTTAGTTCAAATTTCTGCGCTCTTAATCTAAGCGGGGAACAAGTTAAGAAAGTGGCGGGCACATCGTCTCTTTGCTCATTGAGTGGAGCTGAATTCGAAGGTTTGTTCTCGTCTTCGTAAATGTCGTTTGTCTCTTGAACGGGACTGTCAGTCAATTCACTCGTGCCAATGCAAGAGGTGTCTGTGTCGACATTCGATGCCATTGTCAAGTCTAGAGAAGTTCTTGAGACGTTTTCGCAATTTGACTGCAATTGCGGAGCTTCTGTGGCTATAGCGGGGTTGACAGTTCCTTCCAAAGAGTCCTTTGGACTGTTGGTCTCGCTCGTGGTGCGTTCGACCATGACCCACTCGCCGGAATCGTTGGCATTGGACGCCAAGGGCTGAGTGTCTGTGATTGTGAATATTTTGTCTGAGCTATCACAAATGACGAAACCGGAGTCCGGCAAGTCTTCAAAGGTTTGTTCGCAAGACATGGGGGAATCCAAGTCTGTCAGACTTGACAAGGGGAGAGCGGCCACATCATTCGCTTGGGTGTTGGAAGCATTGGCAAGTGCGTCTTCATTCGAGGAGCTCCTTCTGTCTCCGGTATTTGGCTTTTGCTCGGATATATTTCTCGAATCAAAGTGTTTGCTTTCCTCGGCCAGGCAAGAGCTCAGTCTGTCGGACAGTTCATCTCTTGGGGACAGTGAGTTGCTTGCTTCGGATGGATCACTACCCAAGGAGGAGACTAACCTATCGCAAGGTGTCATTTCTTGATCGAAAAAGTCTGAAATGACACCGTTCGACTCATGAAACATTGGTTGACTCACGGAAGACTCGAGAGACTTAGCGTCATAAGATTCTAAAAGTCTGTCGTAAGTTTGCATACTCTCGCATTCATTAACATTAACAGATTGACTGTCTATATTGATAGACAACCTATGACTAGTGTCGAATACCTTATCGGAAGACGCGCTGCTTCTATTTAGCTTTTCGGAGCTAGTCTCATTGTTGTCGACGTCTAAAGGCAAATTAAAACTTCGAAAACTTATCCTAGGGCTGTTGGCTGGCAGAGGCGAGATGGGTAGTGTAGCTGGAGTTAGTGGAGTTGAATCCTCGGATAAAAGCGGCAAGTAGCCTGGAGTTGTCAAAGGTGACGGCGTTTCCATTCCGTGAACATCTGCTGATACCATAACCTAGAGTGTAATTAATTTTTAGACAACGTCAACAGTTGGTGTGAATTCTCAAACAAGAATAGGACAAGAAGATCTCACCTGATCTGGACTTTGACTATCGATAAAGCGTAGTTCGACATCACAATGCAGTCTCTCTTCGAGTCTCGATCGCTTCCTCTTCGATCCTCCGCTGACAGTGACCGATAGCGGTCCATCGCTCCTCTGCCTTCGTGGCGAAGCCTCCACCGAGGCAATCCCAGTACTCTCCTCTTCAGAAAACATTCTCATCTCCCGCTCCTCCAAATCAAAGTTGAGTTGAATTTCCGAAAGATCCAGCGGTGAGGCTGTATTCGGCGCATCCGCGAGATGATCAAAGTACGAATCATGCGAAACTGATCTACTGTGACCGCAAGGTCGCGATGGTGGTGGTCCTAGGAGAGGGCCCAAACTGTCCTCTCCATCCAAACTGTCTGCACTTTTCACAGATCTCAAACGACGAAGAGAATTAACGAAATTCGGAGGAGTTTCTGCTTGAGGAGGTGTTCCGACCGGTCTCGCCTTGCCTTTAGTGCCCGAACTGCTTCTGGCGAACAGAGCTCGCCAATTCAACGACGGAGATCGTTTCGAACCGCTTCTCTTCCTTGGTGGTAAATCTATAACTGTATGATAGTGGGTTGGTAGTCCAGCAGGACCCGCGCCAACTTCAATGTATTCCGCCTCGCTTCTGAGATTTCTATTCCTCGCCTCCTCCAGACTCAACAATCTGGCGGAAGTAGTGATTGCTAGAGACTTGGGCCTACCAACCGGACCGTCTCCGAAAATCAATTCGGCATAACATATGAGAAACTCTGTCACAACAGCTTGCACTCCAACCCCTTGAAGTGCCGCTACCCCACCAACCTCAAGTTCCTTACAGCGAAGAAGATTTGGAGCCCACACGATAGCCACATTTCTTGGCGTCATTCCAGTTTCGGTTCCTTTAGCTGCTACCCTCACCAGATGCCGCATGAGAAATTCCAACGTTCTGAAAACAAAACATTTTTGTAAATTTACAATTTTTTTACAATTTTTTTACAATTGTTTTACAATTAAAATAGAGCTTCTTACCTGTAATGAGGAGGTGGTAATTTTCTGACTGTATCTCTCATTCTCCTGAGTCGTTCAGCGTCGCTGTCAGCCTGAACGGCGTTGACAAAAGTCGAATAAAGCTGGTAGGTACACAATGGATTTGGCAACTCTCTAAAATACATTTTCAACAAGGAGGCTACAGAATGAATATCTTGGCGGATACTTTCGTCGGAATGCAAAGCAGGAACACGATCTTCGTCGAATGCATGTCGTAGTCTTTGGATATTTGAGGTCACTCCGCTCAAGCGGTAAATTCCATCGACTAATCCATGTGTCTCGATAAATTCGGCGCAGCAAGTGAGAACAGCTGGTACTAAAAAAAGAAATCGGGTTCAATTCTCATTTCTATTGAAATAACAAAATGAAATTACAAAATAACATTTAAAAATTGATAATTACCATCGTGGCCAGAATTCAAGAGATGTTCTCCCAAGTCACAACCAAAGACACGCTCCTTCAGAATACCGGACTGTTTCAATCTTCTCCTAGAAGGCCGATTAAGGATAAATGATCTAAAAAAAGCTATAAGTTTGCCATGTTTTCTCAACACTGGTTTCACTGGCAATTTAGAACGGACGGTTGTTGAAATGGCCAAGTGACGAGGAACTTTGTCACCAATTACAGCAACACAATCGGCGGGAAAGAAGCCCACAGCGAATCCGTGCTTTCCTCGCCACCACGTACTCTCCCCCGGGGGTGGCATGTCTATCACTGAGATCATATCTCCAACCTAGAAACGATAAAAATGTTTGCTACTCGAAAAACAAAAATTTCTTTTAACCCTCTACCTATTTTAATGACCGTTGTTAATCGACAAGAAACAATTCAGGCAGAGGGTTTTTGGAGAATAACTTTGTCCACATTTACTTGAAAGGAAATCTCATCTTGCGCTTGTGCTGCGTAGGGTCGAATTGCATAAGCAGCAGCGACAGCCGGTGTATTGATTGGACAGGAATCAGATTCTGGAACAAGGATTCTTCTACCTCTATTATCAAGTTGTAACCAATTTAAAACCGGTCCACAATTTAAGCCTTCGTGATTTAATTGCGAGAATCGAATCAGATACTCCTTTAATATATCGCAACTGGTTTTAGGCCGATTATCAGCGAGTTTTGGTAAAGACGAAAATTTCCTATCAAATATACAACGATGTAAATGTTTATCGAACATAACAAAGTTTTCATAAGATCGTTGTAAAGTCCAGCAAGCATCGCCCGATGTCACTCTCACTTCGTAGCTGTCTGAATCGTTTGATCCTTCGCTGAGAGAGACCTTGAAAAAATATGTTTCATTAGAAAAATCGTGAAAATAGTGAAAATAGTGAAAATAGTTTAAAAAATAATAAAAATAAATAAAAATAATCTCGGTACTTACATCCAATGAACTCAATTCTACATGTTCGTAATGGAAATGAGCACACTCGTCCAATTTTGGAAATCTGGCAATGCTACCCATATTGCTTCCGGAACTGACTGGCGTATTGAAATCGTCCGTTCGATTGCACCCCAACATCTGAAAAAGAATGATGCAAACAGTGAGTCAGTGATAATTTGAAAGAATGTTAATTTTGCTTGTGGCATTGAATTAATTATTATTAATTTTTAGTTCGTTTTCAATCACGAACTAAACTTAAAGCGAGTCTGCGATGGCAATTGGAAATGCAGGGGCACAATGACTCATCGTGCGTGAAGAGTTTAACTAACTAGCAACAAACTCTCAATGTAGATTGTTCGTGAATACAAATTCTTTATTGAGACCTTCCAATAAATTACTGATTTTCAGTACGGAAACACGTTTCGTAATCTGAAATTACATTTTTAATTCAACTCTTCAAAGTAGTTCGCAGTCTGAATATAGGCACTCGTTAACTTTCGACAAATATAATTTTTAAAAGATTATTCTCTTTTTTTTTCACTACACCAAAGCTAATGAATGGAGTCATTATTCATTAAGGCACATTAAGGCACATTAAGGCAAAGTGTGTTGCTGTATTCATTACTTTTGTGTTAAATGAATGAAAGTTCTGTATCGATTGATTTGTTTTCAAACAAAACAACAAGTTAATGGTAATTAGTGTAAATATGAAAAATCATTGGTTTAAATTAAAGAGTTGGGCTTTTACGACTGAGTGTGGTTGCTGTGTGACAATAAATCTTTATCAGCAGCGAATAAAGTAGAGAAAAAAGTTCAATTTTACAATTTAGTGAAACAAGCGAAACAAGTGTACAGACTTGTAGATTTGAGTAGTTGATTTTATAATCACGATTTACTGGACGTAATAGTTCAATTCAGTTGGAGATCAATTTATCTGGTACGAAATATGCATAACAAGCTATACACATACAACTATGTCTGATAGGTTTCATTTGATATAATTTGTCACGCTTTCGATTCGCTTATTCTAGCGGATAAGACGAAATAATAATAGAAAGAGATGTACGTTAATGGTAACTATTCTTCTCTCAGTTGAACCAGTGAAGAACAAGCATTTCCTTTTTAACGTTTAAACGGAAGGACAAAGTAGACATTCAATTATAACAGCACTGTTAATTATATCATTACAATTATATCCTTTCGCTTGAAAATTAAATACACGATTATAATTTAGAATTACTATAGGTACAGTAATCAAATTTATTATTTAATTCATTTATTAATATTAATTTTTCTATCATTTTAATTCAGTCTTTGCTTTTTAATCCAATTTATTTTTGTAACAATCAGATCTCGACCCAGTTCAAGTATTTAAAAATGCGGACTTTACGAACCAAAAATGAAAAATTACGGACCATTTACGGACAAAAATAGAACCAGTCCGAGTGAAATAAGAGAATATTTTACTTAAAACAATAAATTAAATTTTTTATAACTATAAAACATGAATAAATTATATCGTACAATTTACCAACTTCTCGTTTTTTTTTCAATTAAATTACGGACTTTTTTTTTTAAAAACCGACTTTTACGGACTTGAAGCAAATTTACAGACTTTTAGGGGATTTGCGGACCTAAGTAGTTCGAGTCCTGTAACATTAAAGAAACGAACGAGTTTTAAAGTAACATATAGCTCGATATTTTAAAAGTGTTAAATGGAGTAAAATAACAAGAGGAAAATTAAGGGAGGCAAAGAGTCAACAAGAGTGTTCTGAAAATAGAAATTGCATACTTGAAAAATTATAAATTACCAGACCGTTGTTTGTTATCTTCCATTAATTTAATTTCTGATTTTCTGCTATTCATTTGGATCCATGAAGAATTCCGTTATTATTGAACCATATCAAAAGAAGGGAGAATTTTTGTTGAGGAAAATTTATTAACGTGTGTAAAGTTCATTCACCTATTTAGTAACGGTTTGCTTATATCGCAAAATAAAGAGATGAAAAAAGAGATACACTTAACAGTTGGAAAATGCATAAAGTAAAGAGTCATTTCGTCAAAACATTTTTTCATTTTAGAAACTCAATACTTAATACTAAATATTGACAATTACATAGAAGTTTGAATAGAAATATTAATTTTTGAAATTTTAAATACTGAAATTTAATTTAAAGAACTATATGCATCGATTGCCTTGAAAGCATGTTGAAAAGGTAATGAAAGATTGTTTCTGAGAAGCGTAACGTATCACGTATCCCATTTCAGCCAACTATCAATTATTATCAGTGTGTTGAGAAAAATAAGACGTACTTCCTCTAAATAATAAAAATTGTCATTAGCGATCAGAAACTAAACGTCTCTTTTTTAACCAAGTACCTTCTCGACATTCATTGGCAATACTTGGAACTGGTTATGAGGTGTTGTGTTTCACAAGAACACCAAAGAACACACTGGTTAGACTTTAGACTCTAGTCATTGCGGTTGTTTGCAATCGAATGTTGTTCACTTGGCTACCACTATTACTTGACTTGAGAAGGAAATCGTGATATTCATACATAAATACAATTTAATGTACAACCAATCAAACACACATAAGTGTGTCAACACTCGGGTTTTTAGATTTCAAGGTTGTTGGATAGAATCTTCAACTTTACGTACAACAATAACAATTAATATTGTTCGACATGCATTAAAGAGTTTAGAGTCGAGAAAAAAAAGAAGAATGCAAAGCAGCTGGGAAGGAGCGAAAATGGTTGCATATGACGTATACCTCGAGAGGACTGGAACAGCTGCTACAACCGCCGAGAACTCGCCTCATCTCCCGGTCGGACACGGTCGGAGATGAATCTCTTTATTGAGGCGCACAACAAACGGAGAATATTGTAGCGAGCAGATTAAATCTCGGAGAAATGGGGCAAAAAACGAAGACATTTCCAGTTAGATGCAAATACATTCCTCCACTGAGTCGGCAGAAACTAGGTCAACCGATCAGGACTTTGGGAACCGGGACTCGGGATGCGCTGACGCGCGGTCGCATTGCTCCCTTTCGACTCGATATCACGTGGCTGGGTGGGTCAGAAATGGGGACACTTCCTGCACGCATCCCTTAATTCTCCACTTTGGGTCATCGAGAACAACTCCTTTGGAAATAAGATCAATGCCTGGATATGACACACTTCATATTCATATGAATCATCTTCGAGTGCCAGTCAAAAATCAATAATAGCCTACACATTTCAAACTTTTAATTTTCTCCTATATACCGCGCAGAGTTTTCTTTCAACGAAACTTTAAAAATATTCCAGTACTTTAACTAAATATGTTTAAAAAATGAAATTAAAATTTTTAAAAACTGCCCTTTTTTAATTAAATTTATAGTTATAAGAGTATAAAAATTAACATGAAATTATTTAAAGTAATTGAACGTACAACTTGAATACAACTTTGGATACCTTGCCGCGGAATGATTAATCGATTGAAACCATACATTTTTAGCTCCATGTAGAGCTGAAGGAAAAGTGCAATGACCACTCGAGAGAAACAAAACAACAAACGTTTTTAAAAAAATCTTCAACTTTTTCGATAATTAAAAATATAATCAAAATTTCTTTTATTAAAAACCGACGCATGTGCTCTACGATCTTCGACTTGAATATCGTATTAAGACTTTTATTGATTATTGACGAGTTCCAGATATGATTTTCATGCAATTTCTGAAACATTATTTTTTTCAACATAGGCCCTTTTCAGACACCTCCGCGATTCAAATACCTGAAGATGGTGCATACATATCGTCTATAAAACTGTGACGAATAGAATATAGTGCACCTGCTCGACACATCAAAAGACTCTTCAAACCCCATCTCGTTATTCAACCTTTAATATTTTAAAGGCAGCAACCTGTTTTTCTACCGTCTGACCCAAATTGAACTAAATTTTACGAAAAAAAATATCAAAAGGCAGATGAAAATATAGATTTAGAGAAAATAAAATCAGCTGAAAATAAGTTGAAGAATAATTCCAACGAGATAAAGATAAATGCGTAAAAGTTGCGAAAAAGAAGAGACAAAAAGGAAAAAAGGTCCAGAGTTGAATTCGCATATATTATTTATATTGAAATTTCATTCACGAGGATAACATCAGACCCTACAGTCTCCAGCCATCTTCGGCGTCTCATTAAACTTCGAGGCCAACTTCTGATGTCAATTTTTATTATTTCATGTATATTACAGTCAGTTTAAGGCAATTATTACAAGAAAGATATATACTTCTCAGTCAGTATGAATTCATTAATTAAATATACTTTTCGATTCGAAATTTATCAAAATTTTTAAGAAACGTCAATATAAAAATTTTTATTTATTGCTACTTTCAAAAATGTAATTCAATAAATACTTACTTATTTCATCTTTTGTTAGAAAATCCGAAATTAACTTTAAATAAATAGTCAAGAAATTGTTTAAATGAACCTGAATTTCTCTCACAAGACAAATGTAATGGAGCAAATGATGAAATATTGAGAACGCAATTATATAAATTCTAGAAGATGAAGTAAATGAGTGATGATGCGAATAATTGCTCTCAACTAGAAAAGGTTCAAAAGGACAATGAACGAGTCATTCGATCTTGATCGAAAAAGTGGAATGCGAATTCAGTGAGGACTGAGAATACATAAAATTAGCAGCGCGATTCTTTCATGAAAAAAAAAAAAATTTCTTGATAGTAAGGCCCACGCGACCGGCCTTGGAATTATTATCGAAACTGCGTTCCTTCGAGTTGAAATTCCTGTTGGATAATACAAAATATTTCTCAAGACGGTAGAAAAATTCGTCACTGAAGAAAATTTCCTATTTTTTGGTAAGCGACTAATAGATTTTACAACGCATGTAATTTACAATTATTAAAATAATGTATTTAGGTTATTGTGCTTATTTTTGCCTACGGCTTTCATTGACCTTTTGGCACCGTTTTTTTACAAAACTAACAAAAACTGAAACGGACGAAAACTTTTTGAAAACCCGCACAAAATGTCCAATTTGACATTATTTGACATTATTACGAAGGAGACAAAAAGAGACTCACCTTGTGAGTTTGGACACGAGGTTTCTCGGGCATTGGGCCTGGCATCCTGTGCAGCCCCTCCGTGGATGAGGAGGAAGAGGAGGATGATGATCCAGGCTTGTAGCCCGATTTCCCACGTGCCAGGTTTACTAAATTAACTCCACCGCCTTCTGCAAGCAATCTTCATTCTTTTCGAATTTATCATCAGCAGCTCCTGAAATATCCAAATATTTACAATAAGCAAAAGAAAAAAAAAAAAAAACCTCCATATATTAAATAAAAACGTGAAAATTTTTCCGAGGCAAATGAAATTTAAAATTGACAAGGATTTCTTCACACTTTCCATTAAGTCGTTTAAAGAGCAAGAAGCGAGAGAAATTGTAAAAATAGTTGTCTGGTTTCGTCTCGAAAGAGCGTGTTAATGTTTGTGAAAAAAACAATGCGTGCACTGCCTCTAGAAAATTGCACACGAGACAAAAAATCATTTTAAAACTCCATCAGCAAAACTGATGAATAGACTAATAAATTTTATCAATTTTATAAATTCTATTGTCAATAATTTAATTCAATTCAAATGTACGATTTTTTTCTCCTCTGCTTTAAATAAGTTGCCCTTAAATACGCACTAATACCTTTTTCCTAAATCTATAAACCGTAAATTTTTCATTCAAATCATGTTTCCCTTACTCGATCCATTAAACTTGATTAAAACGAGTTCATCTTTCATTAAAAAGAAGGACATCTGCTGACTCGTCTGTGTGAGCCAAATTGCACGCATGTCGACAAGATCGTTTTTTTATATACATAATAAAAGAATCCAACTCTGAACAAACAGTAGACGAAATAAGAAGAAAAAATTTAAATAAAAATAAAATAAAAAGAAAATAAAAACTGAAAGCAAATATGCTAGGTTACATCCTGCTAAGTCATGAATTTCCGAGCTAATGAATGGACAATATACGAAACCACTTGCTCTACTGAACACATTATTTTGAGAAAACATACTTTCATTCATGAAAAAAATCAACAATTTGCAAATGAGAAATAATTTTTTGTTTTCTGTTACAAATTGTAATTCAATTTTTATCCCTTTCTCATATTAATTGTGTCATTTTTTTAAAAACTGATTAAATTAAATTAAAATTAGAAAAATAGTGCAAAATAAGTGACATTTATAAAAGTACATACACATACCAGTGGAGCTTGATGGACAAAAATTAAGAGAGGGTTTAAATCAGAGGGGAAGCTTACTTCCTCTGTAGATTCCATCGCACCAAGGTCAAAAGACCTTTACACAACAATTATATAGTACTCTTATCTACTTCATTAATTAAAGTCTAAAAATAATTGTAGAAAAAGATCTTTCACATTGAGAGTTAAATAATATTTTTACTCTCAAGGTACAACCTCTTATTTACAATTTTTTTTTTAAACCAAAATAGTCTTGTCTTAGAATTGCATTTTTAGAATAGAAATTATTCTTAGTTGTGACTAAAACAAAAAATTCCACTTTTTAAAAACAACTATGATAATTTTCTAGTTTATTCTACCTGACCATTTTTCTAGAAGTATATAAGTATTTATAACACAATTTAGTTTTTACATAAAAAAATAAGCACCGACAATTTTCGAGCAGATTACTTTTTATTACAAAACTTATATAAAATTGTTCCTCCTTCGACTTTTTACGTAAAGAAATAATTTCAGTAATGATAATAATACTATTAAAAATTGATTTCTCATTTGTAAAAAAACAAAAAATTTTAAAAATAGATTAAAACAACAAGCTGTTACCTCTCGAACATTAACATTTAGTTCAAGTATTTTAAAGATGCTATTATGTCAAAAAATTCTGATATTGATAAGAATGTAATAACTACGTACTAAACACGATGATTATTTCCGATTGTTCCCATTTTGATAAATTACTAATCTTTTAATTGACGTTATTTGTTTTTTTCATCAACATAAACTTAATGAATTTCACTTAATCACTAGAAATTTATGGTCACGCTCTTTTCATTTAAAGAAAATTCATCATTTTACTTATGTATTTTTTTCTACAACAAAAAACAGAAAACTTTTCTAAATTTCGAAATCGTTACCCACAATACTGTCTTAGTCCCCATAATGGTGTCACAATTATAACTCAACTGGAAAAGGAATTAAAAAAACGAAATTAAATCTTTTTGGAGATTTATACCTTAAGTAAATTAGTAAAAAAAAAAGGAAAAAAAGTATACAACGGTATGGATATATGTACAAGAAAACTGGTAACCTCAGGAAATACGAATGACAATCTCCACTTCCGCCTTTATATATCTAACCACAAAAAATATATTGGATCTTATTCTCAACTTTTAAATCAGAACTTTTAATCTATATCGAGGAAAATAGAATAATTATACTTGGAATATCTATATGTACTTCAATTGAATGAATTGAATAAATAGATTTCATAATTTATTTCAATAGAACTGAAAACATTGAATCTTCCACAGCATCAGATGTGCGTGAAAAATCGGACTGAAAACGTCAGTATCGCAATCTTTTATCGTACAATAACATTTTTAAAAAATCAATAGATATTTCAAGTGTCATAATTATTAACAAATGATATTGCAAGCATTAATGTGATAGATACATACGGTTCTGCGTAGGAATCACCACTCCCGTTTTGAGAACCCCTTCAAGGAAAAGCATACGATGGCAGTAAATGAACGTGAAAAACATTTGCCGGAACACAAAATCCACGGCTAGGAAACCATTAACCAACTGCGAACATGATGCATTTAGGCGGAGCAATTTCGTTATTAATCACGTTGCAATTCACGAATAAAAGTTTCCCTGATTAAAGAAATATTATTCTCCATTTACAAGAAAGACGCTGCACGAAATACAACTCACTGGCTCACTTGCTCAACTGGAAACATATTACACTAAAGTGAATGCGCAGCTGATCTGCGCATTTATTGTTTTCATTGCAGTACAGTGTAAAGCGCCAAAATGTAAATAATCTATTCTCCCACAGATAACATTAAATAATGAAATATTGTCAAGAATCGATCGTTTAACAAATTATTTAAATTTATTGTTTTTTTATAATTTCTACAAATATTTATATAAAAAAAAATCGAATATTACATACGTGATTATTTAAATTTTTTAACTTCTTTGTTTAATTGCGATTTTCTCACCATAAATTTGCGATAGTAAATATCGTTTAATTGAATAATTTAATTCTTCAAAACTATTCGCATTAAAAAGATTGAAAGTTTTTCTTCTGTATTCTTCTCTCTGGCTTTGTTTAACGATATTCAGAAAAGTGGAACTCACAAAATCACAAAGCTCTTCACCTTTTTTATATTCAGCACCATCATCATGTAAAAATATCGAATCTCGTAGAAATGTAAAGTTTACATTTGAATGTAACTTATTCAAAGCGTGAATTTTATTTATCACCAAGCTTTGAAATTCTTCTAAATGTTCCGAATTCAACTTTTTCTGAAAATAAAGGTAAAATAATTAAACATTTAATAAATTAAATATAAAATAAAATATTTTTTACAAACTATAAAAATATCTAGAAAGTTTTTAGAGTATAAAAATCAATTTTTCACCTGCAATTGAATGTAAAAGGATTTTCCAAGATAAGGAAGTATTTCCGCAGCAGACTCCGTTTCATCACTTGATTCTAAAGTGATCAGATTTTCGGCGTCGATTTTATTTTTGAAATTAAATTCATTTTCTGTCTTGAACATGATTTTCGCTTTAAAATGATTCTTTAACTCTAGTACAATGTCAAAATGTTCATCCTTGAATAAGTCGGTGTTGAGAATTTGAATTAAATACTCTTTTTCTCTTTTCTGTAATTTTATCTCGATTCTTAAATAATCTGCGAAAGCACAATCTTCTTGTGTTTCTTTTTTTGACCGTAGCATTATTTCCAGCATCTAAAAATATATTTTTAGTAAATATTTTTTAAACTATAATAGAAATTTTGTTTTTTAATTATATAAACGTAATAATCTAAATAGGAAAAATAATTTACGATATTTAATTATCAATTACCTCTATTACTGTAAATATACTTTCATCTACACCAAGATTATTTTTAGTACTCATTTTTCTTACAAAAAAGCAAAAAAAAGTGCCTCGTTGTCTTTAATGTTTTTAAATTTAAATCCTTTCCTCTGGTGACGTGTTAACGAACTAGTGACTCATGTCGATATGGCAGATTCCTAGTGATGAATCGGTAAAGTAGATTAAAAGAATTGATGTTTATCTAGTTCAACTACACAACCCTGGACGCAGGTCTCGCACGTTTACATCGCGGAGAACCTTTTACTTAATTAAAACTAATAAAAGGCATTATTTTATATTCGTCATAAAACAATAAAACACCAGTAACTTTTTGGTGGGTTGTCATTCGAAAATTTTATTGGTCAATCAAACGTGGAAAGTAGTGAAGGTCGAATGTCAGGGGGTGAAGAAAAAAACATTCCTAACCTCCAAGAGGAGCGAGTGGCGGTTCCACAACGCAAGATTCGTCATCGGTAAGTTTTCATGATCTAACATATTTCTTTTTATTTATATATCTTTCATAAATTATCATTTGTGTGTGTGAATATCAAAAAACTTTTGTGTTATTATGGGGTTAAAGAAATCATTTAAGTTTTGTGTGGACATATGACGCGGTTCCTTAGTTACACACATGCACGTTTTTAACCAATCAGAAAAAACAGCACGTCGCCTGACCTAGCAATTCACCAATCCCAGTTACTTGAAAATCATTTGATAACAATGTGTGAAAAATTTGTTATTACTATATCACTACAATCTAAAACAAACATAATTGTGTTTATCGCTTTATAACTGATAGAAAATGAAAACTATACATAGAGATTGCAGTTTTAACAATAGCAGTAGCTATAAAGATGAATTAACAAATAATTTTAAAGTTTACATTACTGCATATGTAAACACGTTGCATAAACATTTTTGAGGTTATAAACAAAATTTTTATTCACGACGAAACCAAAAAAAAATCTTTTTTTTTATACTTTTCACATATTCTTATGTTTGATTTTTTTTTACCTAAAAGAATATTAATTAATATTAATATTAATTTTTTTTTAATTTGAATTTTTGCAATTTTGTCAAATATTTATATTTTGCTTTAGATTAATTAATTTTATGTATTAAAATAATAAGATAGAAAAAAAAATAAAATAAATGAATAATTTTGAATGTGTAGAAGTACAATACGCACATAATAAATTAAAGTGAAAAGAGTTAGGGTGTTATATATACCGTTTATTTAGCTATATAAAAGCAAAAGTAAATGCAGTTATACATATATACTATTAAAGTAGAACAGCGAACTTGTTTTATATTACTCTTAGTAGGATATAAAATTTACTTTAATCGAATATATTTTTTTATTTATATTTATTATTCTTCATCAATAAAACAAGACTACTTTATATAATTTTATTACATATTACATTAAAATATAATTTTCTTCTCGTTAGTTATTAAACTTATCACCACATTAATTAAAAACATTTAATTTCTGCAAAAAAATGTATATTTATCAATTTAAAAATGATCATAACGATTTTATGGAATTAGACAAATAGTTATAAAACATCTGCTATAAGTGATTGTTGAACGAAAAAAATATAACCTTTTGTCCTTCAAATCAATCAGTGATCCCTATGCTTAGTTTAGAGGAGGCTTTATAAGAGGAAAAACATTATTGTAATAATTTCTTTCAACATAAATTTTATATTCGAATGTTTTCCAAAAATGTTAATTTTATTGTAAATTTTAAGTATCGATTTATCAAACTTTTTTAAATAAAAAAAATTGATTCGATCTAATATTAAAAAATTATTTCTTATGTTGACAATTAGCATTTTAAAGTTTTATTCCTTTATTATTAGAAATTTAAAACCATTAGTATTAAAGTCTAATTTTTTCCTTTTTGATATATTACAATTTAAAAATATAACTCTAAGAAAAAAATGCAAAAAAAAAAATTATTGACTGCATTTTACATATTAGCATGTTATCACTATTTATGCAAGCGTTATCTTATTAATTTTATCTGTCTAGAAAAACTACTTTGACAGAAAAATATACATTCGTATTTATTTTCAGTTGTAACTACACATCTTATTTTTAAAAAATAAAATTAAAAATGTAATTGACGTCAGAATTGTTAATTCTGTTTTATTATTTCATAAATTCATTAGTAGATAGTATATTATACATACTTAAATTTAATTTTCACAAATGACTACATTTAAATGTATACAAAATTATATTATTAAAATTTACTTTAAAATACATATTATTCTTCAAGTTGATGAATATTTAAAGGAAAATGAAAAATTGGAAAGAAACTTTGAATATTATTTTTCATTGACAGCGTATTAATGACATTCAGTTGCATAATATAGGGTCAGTAACATCTAACTTGTAAAGTTGAACACTGTGTTTAAATTTTTAAATGCCCGTACACGGATAATTCACGTGTTGTTGTTTCTATATAAATAAAATTCAATTCATTTCTTTCTTTTAAATCCAATCCAATTTAAATAAGTAAGGAAAATAAATGGGTTATTTTTAAACTTGTCCTGCTTTACCTGCTAGTTTTCTTCAACTTTTAAGTATTTTTTAAACTTATTTTAATTTTAATAATAGTAACCCAGAAGAGTTTTTGAAATAAAAGAGATTGGACAGTTGGTTTGTCAGATCTTTAAATTTAATTTAAGCAGTTGTTCGAAATTTCAAAACAATAGTGTAATCGCGTTTGTGACGATAACAAAATCCTACGTACGCACAATCTCGATAGAACTAAGTCAATAGACACGCGTGGAAACGCTTCCCGACCCCTTGATCCCATCGTCCGGTCAATCTGGGGACTCTTTGTTGCTTGCTGATTCGTTTATAAACCAAATCGACTTCCTCAGTCCTTAATTGACGCTCTTGGAGGATACCAAGAATAAGAAGAAGAAGAAGAAGAAGAAGAAGAAGAAGAAGAAGAAGAAGAAAAAGGAAAACAAGTTATGGTGTTCTTTCTCAAATCTTCGTTTTTGACAATTTCTCTTCTCATTACATTTACTCAAGTGAAATTGACGATGGCTAGAAATTAAGTAAACCTGAAATTGCGAGATTTTAAAACTTGGACCAACTTGAAATTAATAAAGGAGGAAATAAAAAGTTGGAAAACAAATTACAAAAATTGGATCTGTCTTTGAGAAAATTGTAAACTTTTCCTCAAGTTTCTTGGTGATTGCAACAAACTTCATCAGAAAGCTGGTATGCTTAGGAGTCTTCTGAATGCTGTTATCGGTACATTTTTTACCCGCATGATAACATTTTCACGCTTTGCTTTTGGTGAAGGTGTATTTTAAATAATCTTTTCGCTTAAAATGTATAATGAAATTATTGGCTAACAAACAAAAATCTGGTTTTATAAACTTTTACATACTGTTCCATCAGTTAATTTACTGTTTTTGAAAAGTGAGTGTATTTAAAAGTTCAATTTGAATAAAACTAAATTTAAACAAAACAATTTCTTATACAAGTTTTTAAAGTTTAAGAAAATTTTCATAATTTCAACTGTAAATCACTGTGTATACCATACAATATGCATATGACGTAACAAAGCTGTATTATTCAAGACACTTAGTTATTTAAATTTTTGTTTTTGTCTTGTTGAAAGGTGAAAAGTCTATTTCAAATAATTCATAAAATGAAAACAGTTTTCAACCAAAAACATTTACAATAACTATTGGAAACGAAAACAAGTTTTCATAATCAAGGGAATTAAATTAAAATCAATTAATAATGAAAACTAAATTTCAGGAATTTTTATCTAATATGTAAATTAAAAATTCTTAATTCGTCATAGCATGTTTCATAATATTTCACTTTGAACCTTAAGGAAAAATAAAATTATTTCATGCGAGAAAAGAATTCATTTGACATTAACAAAACTAAGCTTATATTAACTCGATACGATTTTACCATAAGTCTAACAATTTTCTTTACAATAACTGTCTAATATAAAATCAACTCTGCTCTTTGGGAAACGTCTTATTGGCATGGAGCAAAAAAGAGCACAAAAAACCTCTTTAAAATAACAATTACAAAGTTAAATTGTTGCTAAAAAATTATTTTGAAGGTAGTACCAAACAAAAAGACGACCAATCTCATCAGGACTTAGCAGATCCAATAACTGAGGGCACGGAGGGAAAAAATAAAATAGCAGATAATCAGAGTTATTTTAAAGGCAAAATGACTGAAACTGCAGTGAGTTTTGTTCTTGGGGATCCAGATCCCAAGGAAGAACTTGAAATAGAGGACAGCTTCCCAGAACCAGAAGCCAATGATAGGATTCAACAACCAATTCTTCCAGGATTGGTTGAACGTCGAAAGCGACTCAGGTGATTTACATTTTTCTTTTTCCTAGAAAAAATGTATTTAAAAAAAAAAAAACCGACGGAAAATTAACAGACAGAAAATATTTTTTTTATTCTCAACTAAATTAACAAATTTATACAGACTTCAATTTCTATCAGCAGAAATAATTTCATTTTCTTCAAAATATTCAAAAATCATTTTCTAAGGTAAACATTTTCAAATCAAGTTAGTTAAACTGCATAATTTTGAAGACCCCTTAACGACCCTCAAAATGAATATTCACCAGTTTGCTTGCACATTATTTGATAGACAGCTTCTAAAATATACATAAAATTCCCTTTAAAATTAAATCGTTTTTCATTTCTTTCATTGAAATTCATTTTAATTTAAATTAATCGAAAATAAAGACTGCAAATTTCTTAATAATTAAAAAGAGAAATAAACAATTTACAAATTAATTGACAACGAACAAAAGAATTTTAAACTGAAAGAGCGCTAAAGAAAAGAATATTTTAATTTTGAATATTAATTAGTAATATTGATATACATATTTAAATATTACTTAAAACGCAATTATTATTATATATTTAAAGTAAGTATTTATCTAATCTTGAAAACTTATATGTATACAATGTTGCTTATCTGTTAAGGTCAGATTAATGTTTTATGCAATAAATTATATAATTAATGTAATTTCTACATTGTAGAATTTATAAAAAATCTATAAGTTTTTTAATTTTGTCGAGTGCAGTATCTGCAAGTTGGCAAAAAGCTTTTGCTATTTTTCTTTCCAAATGTAAAAGAAATTCACTCATTGAATGTATGTTTGTGTTTCGATATCATAGTAACACATACATATTTTCTCAATGTCATGATCTTTAATTTTTTTTTTATTATTTGATTGAAGAAAATTATTAGCCAATACACATCACCCAAACAGCTGATCTTCTTTCACGCTGCATTAATCTTTTCTGTTTATGATTTCTCTTACTTCAAGTTCAACTTTTTTATGCACATTCTCGTATAAGAAAATATATTAATTTTCTATCTGAAAAAAAATTGATTTGATTTAAATAACCGATTACTTGTTTATTATCGCAAATAAATATTTCCTTTGATAAAATAATTTTTATTTGATTTAATTAAATTGTATTTGAAACAATAATTTCTGAATTTGAAGCAAATATTACCACTTTGATTTATTTTAATTGATTAAAAAATTATTGATTCAAGAAAATATTTATTTAATAATAGACAAATAATCGATTACAAATAAATTTTTTTTCAGTATAATTAAATTATAATATTTTTTTTAATGAGTAATGGAAATTTTATGTTTATTTAATATGAATAGTTAAATTTATTTCTTTGTGAAACAAGTTTGAAAAAATGATAAAGCTGCACACAAATGCATTTTTGATACTAATTTTATTATGGATATTTTAAGACTAAAATATTTTTTTTAAATATTTTTTTAAAATAGTTTTTAATATATCATTAATATAGGGATTCGTTTTTAATAATAAATAATGAAAAACTTGATACATTTAAAAGAAAAAGAAGTGTCATTTAAAGATTTTTTCTTCAGATTTTATCTAAAAAATTGTCTAACGGTGAAGTTCATGATCTGGAACCGGTTTCAAGTTAGAAAAAATGCCTAATGTGGCATAGACTAAAGTTGTAAATCGTGAGATGTTTGATTGAAAAGAACTGAACATATACCTGAAAATCGTAGTGGGGTCTCCTCGTACACCTCTCATAACAAATTCTCTACAGTCTACATTTCTACTACTACAGTAGCTTAGAGTCTCCTGAAGAGAAAAGTTCTTCTAACTAAAAATGATGTTTTAATTATTATTAATTTTTTCTTCATTTAAAAAAAAAGGATTAAAAAATATTTTTATATACTTTTTTTGTAACTCATACAGAAAATTAATTCACTGTGAATTGTGAACGTGAGAGATAATGCAATATTGTGGTAAAAGTGATAAAAACTAATGTATTTTTAAAAATGAGTTATAAACAATTTCACAATCATTACTTGTTGTTTATAAAAAAGAATATGAAAGAAATTGGTAAATTGCGTATAAATAAATTGTGAGAAATATTGGTAAAATGTTTTAAGAAGATAAATTGCAGTAAATCTGGAATTATTGAATTTTTAAAATTCTTTTTAGAGGAAAATTTACTTTGTAAACAAAAGAAGTAAATTTTTATTTAAAATCTGAATTTATAATGAACTATTCAAATGTAGACAGGTATTAAGAGTTTTGTTATGTCCAATGAATAACTGCAAACTTTGCAGATTAGTTGAATTTAAAGAATGCTATTAAAAGAAAAAATTAACTTGCAGTCACTGTAAAGAAAGTTATTTACATTTGCATTTTTAAACTCTCGTTGTGTTTAAACCTCACTGTTGTAACATTAATAAGAGTTTAAAACGTAATAGTCTCACTCATTATGACGTATGTATAATTTTATTTAGAAAAAGTGTCATTAATTACTTTTCCTTCTTTTAATCTTCAGTTTATTTTCTTCCTTATATTTAAAAATTGTTTACAACTTCCTCTTTTCCTAAAATATTTTTTACTCAAGAGGATACGATATTTCTAAACATTCTGACGTATACGCAAACAATTTTTGGAAATTAAAAATGAATTGTGATTAAAAAATTAAAATGATAGCAATTAAAGTGAAAGACACGTGAAGATTTTAAAGAAATTTGCCTCGGTACTCAAGAACTATTTCTGGCATTGGTTTTGGGACTGGTTTCTTCAAACGCCCGTGATGAAACGGATGAAACGATTTGTCCTGTCAGAACGCAGTGAAAAAAATGCAGTTTGGAAGAGTTCGGATAATTTATTGGCTGGAATTGTCAGGATGAATAGTGAAAACAATGAAGACGAGGAAGTCTTTAAAAGAAAACCGTCAATTGAAACTGAAAAAACTGCTGGGTTAACGTAATTAATTATTATCTTTACATTTTTCAGGCATTATTTAGGGATTTGCAAAAATCTTTTGCAATTCTTATCGCACAATAAAAAGAACAAGCAAATCAACTTGACGTAAATTATAAGAAACAAATTTCTATAAACTAAATCAAAGAAAGGAATTTAAATTAACGATTGATACTTTCTCCACACTCCCATTTATTCGCCACACAATTTTACGTCGTAATAATTTTAATTTATCATAACTATTATTATTATTATATAACTGTATTTTTTCAAGACACTTGAAACATTAATTGATCTTGAAATATTAATTAATTTTTTGAGTTGGAAAATTGAATTTACATGTAGCTGTACTAATTTGTATTTGACGTTAGTTAAAACTAATGGGATTACTTTTTTCAGGCCCAGCATGTCGCAGGGCACGGTGATGATTCAAGCGCAGAGCCGTCAACTCGAAAAGGATTTCACTGTTGCTACTCCTGAGGAATTTGTTCGTCGATTTGGTGGTTCAAAAGTCATCAATAAAGTAAATACTTTTTTTTAATTAATATTTTATTCACTGCTAAAGTCAGAATCAAAATAATTTACGTCTTTCCTTCGTTTATCAGTATTTCCTTCATTTATCAGTAAAAAATAAAAATTCATTGTTTAGAATCTGTAAATAATCATTTTTTTTTGTAAATAATCAGTTTTAACGTTGGAAAAAGTGCACTACGCTTCTTGATTAAATATTAAATGTATATACAGAGGTAAATATTACGTCTTTTCAGCCTTGAGCGTTGCTCTTTGAACCTTTGCTATGACGTTTACTTTGTTTAATATATTATACTAGTTGCGTTTTGAGAAATACACTAAAAGTGTGTAAAAAATATTTTTGTTTATAAAAAAGCTATATAAATTTAAAATAAATCTAAAATATAAAACTAAAAAGCAAAAATAAATTTTATTAAATTTATGACAATTGAAAAATGTTACCTTACTTTTTTATTTATTTTTATCTACAACTTATGATTTTTTTAAGGTACTCATTGCCAATAATGGAATTGCGGCCGTTAAATGCATGCGATCCATCCGTCGATGGTCGTACGAAATGTTCAAAAACGAACGAGCTGTTCGCTTTGTTGTTATGGTCACTCCAGAAGACTTAAAGGCAAATGCGGAATACATAAAAATGGCCGATCAATATGTACCAGTTCCAGGAGGGTCTAATAACAATAATTACGCCAATGTAGAGCTTATCATTGACATTGCCATTCGAACTCAAGTGCAAGCGGTCTGGGCTGGATGGGGACACGCTTCGGAAAATCCAAAACTTCCTGAATTGCTTCACAAAAACAACATCTGCTTTATAGGTATAAAATTATCGTTTAATTAGAATTAGAATTTAATTTCTCATAGAAGAAACAAAAAGAACCATAATAATTAAAATTATTTTGAAGAATAGAATTCATACATTGATGGTGTTTTAGGTCCTTCGGAGAGAGCCATGTGGGCTCTTGGAGATAAAATCGCCTCCAGCATCGTTGCACAAACCGCTGACGTTCCCACCTTACCTTGGTCGGGATCTGAATTAAAGGCTCAATACAGTGGAAAAAAGATTAAGATATCGTCTGAACTTTTCAAAAAAGGATGCGTCTCCACAATTGAGGAATGTTTAGCTGCTGCGAACAAAATTGGATTCCCTGTAATGGTGAAAGCTAGCGAGGGAGGAGGAGGAAAAGGAATTAGAAAGGTGGAAAATGCAGAGGAATTACCGGCATTATTCAGGTATAGATAATTTAAATAGTTCAAAAAAATGCAGTCCAAACATTTTTCTATTTAGTATTGATTACATTTTTTTATACTGTTTTCAGACAAGTCCAAACAGAAATACCTGGATCTCCTATATTCATAATGAAATTAGCAAAATGTGCTCGTCATTTAGAAGTTCAACTCCTTGCCGACAATTACGGAAATGCAATCTCATTGTTTGGACGTGATTGTTCAATTCAGAGGAGACATCAGAAAATTATAGAAGAGGCACCCGCTGTCATTGCGAAACCAGAAATTTTTGAAGAAATGGAAAAGGTATTTTTGGATTTAATAATAGTCACACTAATTAATCATTTGTTTTTATACCAAATCATTCGTGTTTGTATATTAATTAAAGGCTGCTGTGAGGCTTGCAAAAATGGTTGGATATGTAAGTGCTGGAACTGTCGAGTACCTTTACGATCCATCTGGTCGATACTACTTTTTAGAATTAAATCCCCGCTTACAAGTAGAACACCCTTGTACCGAGATGGTTTCTGACGTGAATTTGCCTGCAGCCCAACTGCAAATTGCAATGGGCCTCCCACTGCACCATATTAAAGACATCAGGTTACTGTACGGGGAAAGTCCTTGGGGTGACAGCACTATAGACTTTGATCAACCGAGACACAAACCACAGCCTTGGGGACACGTCATAGCTGCCAGAATTACGAGTGAAAATCCTGATGAAGGTTGAAAAACTTGTTATATTTTTTGATTTTATTGAATTCAAATAGAAAAAGTTTAGATAAAATTTAAATAAAATTATTTTTTAGGTTTCAAACCAAGTTCCGGAACAGTTCAGGAATTGAATTTCCGATCATCGAAGAATGTCTGGGGATACTTTTCAGTTGGTGCATCTGGTGGTCTGCATGAATTCGCCGATTCACAATTTGGTCATTGCTTCTCTTGGGGCGAAGACAGACCACAAGCTAGAGAAAACTTAGTCGTAGCCTTAAAGGAACTTAGTATTCGAGGAGATTTTAGAACCACTGTCGAGTATCTTATTACTCTTTTGGAAACAGAATGTTTTCAACAAAATTGTATAGATACTGCTTGGCTGGATGTTCTGATTGCGGAGCGAGTGAGAAGCGACAAGCCCGATGTTCTCCTAGCCGTAACTTGTGGAGCTCTTCACATTGCTGACAGAACGATAAATGCAGCGTTTTCTGGTTACCAAACTGCTCTTGAAAAGGGACAAATTCAAGCTAGCAATGATTTAAACAATGTTATGGATGTAGGTTGATTTGATATCAATTAACATATAAATTGACTACATACAACTTTTTGGTGGAGTTATTAAAATTTGTTTTATTTTCAGGTCGAGTTGATTAACGATGGTTTCAAGTACAAAGTTCAAGCAACAAAATCAGGCCTAAATACATACTTTCTTGTGATGAACAACTCGTATAAAGAAGTGGATATTCACAGACTTTCAGATGGTGGACTACTGCTCTCTCTTGACGGTGCCAGCTTTACAACTTACATGCGCGAAGAGGTTGATCGCTATCGAATAGTAATTGGCAATCAAACTTGTGTTTTCGATAAAGACAACGATCCTTCACTTCTCAGATCGCCTTCTGCTGGAAAACTGATAAATTTCCTCATAGAAGACGGTGGACACGTGGACGCCGGTCAAGCTTACGCAGAAATCGAGGTCATGAAAATGGTCATGACCGTAACGGCAGGCGAAGCAGGAAGCGTCTTCTACGTGAAGCGCCCTGGCGCAGTTCTGGAGGCAGGAACACTGATTGCTCACTTGGAACTGGATGATCCTTCACTCGTTACAAAAGCACAGGAGTACCTTGGACAATTTCCAGCCCCGGTGACACCGGCCGTTCCTGAGAAACTAAATCACCTTCATGCGAAGTACAGAGCAGCTTTGGAAAATACTCTCGCCGGTTACTGCCTTCCGGATCCTTATCACCTTCCCCGTCTGAGAGAACTTATAGAAAAGTTTATGAATTCTCTACGAGATCCCAGTTTACCTCTTTTGGAACTTCAAGAAGTTATTGCCACAATTTCCGGACGTATCCCAATCTCCGTTGAGAAGAAAATTCGAAAATTAATGACTCTGTATGAGAGAAATATCACCTCAGTGTTGGCACAGTTTCCCAGTCAACAGATAGCAGCTGTCATTGATGGACACGCAGCGACCCTGTCGAAGCGAGCCGACAGGGATGTCTTCTTCCTGACAACGCAGACAATTGTGCAATTGGTTCAGAGGTATCGAAATGGAACTAGAGGTCGGATGAAGACTGCAGTTCATGAACTTTTAAAACAGTATTACAATGTAGAAAGTCAATTTCAGCAGGGACACTACGATAAATGCGTTTCTGCCTTGATTGACCAATTCAAAGACGACAAGACAATGGTCACTTCGACGATTTTCAGTCACAGTCAAGTCACGAAGAAAAATGTCCTTGTCACAATGTTGATTGATCATTTATGGACGAATGAACCTGGTCTAACGGACGAACTGGCGAGCACCCTGACCGAATTAACGAGTCTCAACAGAACCGAGCACAGTCGCGTTGCCCTCAGAGCAAGACAAGTCTTGATAGCAGCACATCAGCCGGCCTATGAACTCAGGCACAACCAAATGGAGTCAATCTTCCTATCGGCTGTCGACATGTACGGCCACGACTTTCATCCGGAAAATTTGCAAAAGCTCATTCTCTCTGAAACATGTATTTTTGATATTTTACACGATTTCTTTTATCACTCAAATCGAGTAGTTTGTAACGCCGCACTAGAGGTCTACGTTCGTAGAGCTTACATCAGCTACGAATTGACTTGCCTACAACATTTGGAACTTTCGGGAGAAATCCCTCTTGTACATTTTCAATTTATGCTACCAAACAACCATCCAAATCGACAGAATCAGTCATTGGTGAATCACAGGACCGGCGCAATGGCAGCGTTTCAAGATTTAGAACAATTTAATCAGTATTCAGATGAAGTCTTGGATCTCCTGGAAGACTTATCATCGCCGAATTCAGTTTCCGCGAAGGTCTTGGAAGCTGTGGAAGCCGTTGGAAGTGAATCGAGACACAGTACATCCATCAACGTCTCACTAAGCACAACAGTGGAAGGGAATGCTCAAAATGAATCCGGCGACGATCCAGCCGAACCATTCCATATTTTAAGTATTGCTGTTCTCGACAAAGGAAATCAGGATGACGCGACAATGGCAAGAGTTTTCGGTGATTGGTGCGCTTTGAACAAAGATGAACTTGTTGCGAGAGGAGTTAGGAGGGTAACGTTCTTGGCTCTGAAGAAGAGACAATTCCCCAAGTTATTCACCTTCAGACAGAGGGACGGATTCTTCGAGGATAGGGTTTATCGACACTTGGAACCAGGCTGTGCTTTCCACATTGAACTGAACAGAATGAGAACTTATGACCTCGAGGCATTGCCAACCTCCAATCAAAAAATGCACTTGTATCTTGGTCAAGCAAAGGTCGCCAAGGGTCAACAAGTTACTGACTATCGATTCTTCATTAGATCAATTATCAGGCACTCGGATTTAATAACGAAAGAAGCTAGTTTCGATTATTTACACAATGAGGGCGAGAGAGTTTTACTTGAAGCCATGGATGAATTGGAAGTTGCCTTTTCGCATCCCCTGGCTAAGCGGACTGATTGCAATCATATCTTTTTAAATTTCGTTCCTACTGTTATCATGGATCCAGCGAGGATCGAAGAGAGTGTTACGAGTATGGTGCTGCGGTATGGACAGAGATTGTGGAAGCTGAGAGTCAGACAGGCTGAAATCAAAATGACAATTCGTCCAGCTCCTGGAAAGCCAACTTCAAATGTGAGACTTTGCATTTCTAATGATAGTGGTTACAGTATTGATCTTCATCTTTACACCGAGGCGATTGATCCGAAAACTGGAATCATTCGTTTTGAATCGTACACTGGATCGGCGAATAATTCAAATAGACCGGGACCAATGCACGGTCTCCCGATATCTACTCCTTATTTGACGAAAGATTATCTTCAAGCTAAACGATTTCAAGCACAAAGCTCTGGCACTACGTACGTTTACGATCTGCCAGACATGTTCCGACAACAAGTTGAAAAAGCCTGGAAAGACTTCATTGATGAAAGGCCGAATGGTGAGTCTTATTTGAATAATTTAAAACCAATAATGTTCTCGATTTTTTAAATGTTTTGCTATTTCAGAACTTATTACAATTCCGAATCCTCTTATTGAAATCGTCGAACTGGTACTGGATGGTGATAATCTTGTTGAATTGAAACGTTTGCCGGGAGAGAACGATGTGGGCATGGTTGCTTGGAGATTAACACTTTACACTCCAGAATGCTCGACTGGTAGGGATATTATTTTAATCGCCAATGACTTGACTCATCTCATCGGTTCGTTTGGAATACCAGAAGATATTCTCTTCTTCAAAGCGTCGGAAAGATCAAGACAACTTGGAATTCCTCGAATATACTTCTCTGCCAATTCTGGTGCCCGAATTGCTCTTGCAGAAGAGGTAATTACATTATTGCATATTTATTCTTTTATCAAGAAGAAAAATACATTAAATACTTTTTTCAGGTGAAAGCTTTATTCAGAATAGCTTGGGAAGATGAATCAGAACCGGAAAAAGGATTTAAATACATTTACTTGACGCCAGACGATTATGCGAGATTATCTCCTCTGAATTCTGTGAAAGCTTCGCTTATTGAAGACGGTGGAGAATCTCGTTACCGAATTACGGATATTATTGGAAAAGACGATGGTCTTGGTGTGGAAAATCTTAAATACGCAGGACTGATTGCTGGCGAAACCTCAAAAGCTTACCAAGAGGTAAAACGATTTTAAAATTAATAACTACCTTTAGTATATATACTAATAACATTTCTTATAACGTTAGTGAAAAATAATTGAATTTTCTTTTATTGTGCAGGTGGTGACCATTTCCGTAGTATCTTGTCGAGCTATTGGAATCGGTTCCTATGTGGTTCGTCTTGGCCAAAGAGTGATACAGATAGAAAACTCACACATCATTTTAACTGGGTACAGAGCTTTAAATACGGTTTTAGGTCGAGAAGTGTACGCAAGCAACAATCAATTGGGTGGCATTCAAATAATGCATAACAATGGAATTTCTCATGCAATTGAGCCTAGAGATTTAGATGGAGTGGAGACAGTGTTGAGGTGGTTGAGCTACATGCCAAAATTAAAAGGTGCCCCTCTCCCAATTCTCGAGTCCCTTGATCCGATCGATAGAGAAATTGGCTTCGTCCCCACGAAGGCGCCTTACGATCCAAGGTGGATGTTGGAAGGCAAACAGGTGAATGACAACACCTGGGAAAGTGGCTTCTTTGACAGAGGATCTTGGCAAGAAATCATGAAACCTTGGGCACAGACTGTAGTCACAGGACGCGCGAGACTCGGTGGAATTCCTTGTGGAATCATTGCAGTCGAAACGAGAACTGTGGAATTGCATCTGCCAGCTGATCCTGCTAATCTTGATTCAGAGGCGAAGACTGTTTCGCAAGCCGGACAAGTTTGGTTCCCTGACAGTGCGTACAAAACGGCACAGGCAATCAAGGACTTCAATAAGGAGGAGTTGCCGCTTTTTATCTTTGCCAATTGGAGAGGATTCTCCGGTGGCATGAAAGGTACCTTTAATATAATTAATTTTCATTTGTGAATTAAAAATATCTAATTTTATTTCTTATTTTTAGATATGTATGAACAAATCATGAAGTTTGGTGCATATATTGTCGATGGATTGAGAGAATATACACGACCAATTGTGGTTTATATTCCACCTTACGGAGAATTGAGAGGTGGAGCCTGGGCCGTTGTTGACCCCATGATTAATCCTCGACACATGGAAATGTTTGCAGACAACACGAGCAGAGGTGGAGTCTTGGAACCGGAAGGAATAGTTGAGATCAAATTTAGAAATAAAGATATTCTTAAAACCATGCACAGAAATGATGCAGTCATTCATAACCTTAAGGTAGATATATATTTTTGTATTTAGTGTAGAATATTAACTTTGATGTCAAGTGTAACTCAATTTTGTTTTAATTTTAGGAGAAATTGGCGTCTTGCACTTCAGCGGAGGATCGAGCGAATATTGAGAGGGAAATTCACGATCGAGAGTGCCATTTAGAATCCATGTATCATCAAGTAGCCGTACATTTTGCTGACCTTCACGACACACCGGAGAGAATGCTGGAAAAGAACACGATTCAAGAAATAGTTTCTTGGCGCAGTGCTCGACGAATTTTGTACTGGCGATTGAGACGGCGCCTACTGGAGGATAGAATACGAACGGAAATTATTTCTACGCAACCAGGATTGGACGTGAGGCAAATCGATGCAATGTTGAGACGATGGTTCGTTGAGGATAAGGGAGCAACAGAATCGTATCTGTGGGATCAGGATGAGGTGGTTGCAGCTTGGTTAGAAGCTCAATGTGAGAACGAGAGCAGCGTGGTCATGAGGAACCTATCTTGCGTGAAAAATGATTCAATAGTCACTCGAGTTAAAGAAGCTCTTGAAGTTTGTCCTGAAGTAAGATTCGACGCTGTTCTAGAAATTGTAAATCGATTACAGCCTGCAGAAATCGCTGAGTTGCAGAGGACTTTGGCTCAGTTGGAGTCTACGGGTCAAGAAACTCACAATGATTCCAGTGCCTCGTCGTAGTTAATTCACTAATTAGAAGTTCAATTGAAAACCAATGCCCATTATTCATCTGTGTACCTGGTGTATGCAGCTCTGTTAGAATCAATTCACTGTACAGGTCTTCGTGTAAGAGAATCGTCTAAAATAACTAGGTAAGTTGTTGCTACGACTTGTGGTTGTATGTTTATTTTTTACTGTTACTGTTGCTCAGAGGCAGCTTCTTGAGACAATTCATCGTCAATTAAAAAAAATATATAGCTGCAGAAATTTAAAAAAGAAACTTTTAACATTTATATACATCTTAGTTTTTGAAATGTAACAAATGTAATTGAGAATAAAAGAGATTACATATTTATTTTTAGATGAGTGTTTTTTACTGTATTATATATTCAGATATACATTTTCAAAAAAACCTAGAGCAAGAAAATATTTGAAAGATTTATTTTTACAAACAAAAGTAACAAATTGACGTACGTATTAAAAAACAATAGAGGTATTCAATTTAATAATTAAAAGACTAGAATTTGACTTCGTGGAACATTTTGTAGGTCATCGTCGATCGTTAATAAAATCATGAAAGAAAAGAACATTGCAAGTGCCGATAAAAAGTGCCAAACGTCGTGATTGTCGAAAAAGTTGAAGAGAATACACGGTTTATTATATTGTCGAGATTGCGCTGGGGTAAGAGCCCAAGCAGTTGTTCGATCTAAATAGAAATAAAAAGCGCCAAACCAAAATAAAATTGACAGAATAATAAATATTGACGGTTGGACAAGGATCTTTTCGTTCTCACAAAACTGTAAAAAAGAAGTATAATTATTTTTAAATATTCTAAATTATTTTAAATTTTCCAGTTCAATGGATTTTTACCTTCATAAAACAGTAGAAACATAAATATAATAAGAGATTCATCATCAAAATGCTCAGTAAATACATCGCAAAATTCTTATTATGAAAAAAGTTGCTGTAAATAGCAAGACCGATATTTGTCACAACTGAAAGTAAAAGGAACATAAATTTTATTACCACCGAAGAGGTGAAATGATCTGCTCGTATTTTGGAAACATCCTGCTTTAACGTCTAGAATAAAAAATATGTTAACAATTTATTATTGTTTAAATTTATACTCTCAAACTAATATTATTTTTTTTCAAAACTTACAAAAATTAATGTTCTATAACGTCCCCCGATAAATTTTCTTTTACCTACAGAATAAACTTCTATAATTAGATAGAAAAAGAAAGTTAAATGTACGATAGTGAAAACAATCCAGAAAAGTGGTGAACCATCTAGAACACCAACAAGTCCCATAAATATTGTCAGAGCCAAAACAGCGAAAGTTACTGGTGCTTTTGGCAGTATATCTGGATGTCGCATTTGAAAAAGTTTCACTAAACAAATAACAGCAATTATATACATGAAACTGGTATCTGAAAAATAAATCAAGATTATTCTGGGGAAATAATTTTTCTTTTAATATAACTGAAACTTAAAAATTTCCTTACCAAACTGAAAATTATTACGACTGGGACAAAAGTGATAGCTTGCGGAAAGTACACCTTGCATTATAAGAGCAATACCCATCGCATAATATAATCCATAATGTTGTGGAATTCCGAACGTGGTCTGTCTGTTTAGAGTATTGTACTTTTCTCTAAATCTCGTGATAATAATAAACAAAATTCCAAATAAAGTGTATCCAAAATTAGAAAAGACATTATTGAAAGATGACAAAAATCTAAATGGTTGAGCACAGAGAAAATTGTAGTAACAAAGATCTTGATTTCCACTTTCTTGAACAATTATTTGTTTCGTGGCAACCAATTGTAGAACCGGTAGAATATAAAATACTGATACAGTCACTAGATAATATAAATATAGTTGAGATCTTTCTTTGAGGTCAACAAGCTCTTCTTGAGCCATATCACAAACATGAACAACAAGATTTTTGTTGCTTGTTTTATTTGTAACTGAGTTTTCTCTCAAACAGATCTAAAATCAATTATTATTATTATTAGACAAAACGATTTTCTTTTAATTTTGAAAACTGCTAATTTTTACCTCTGTTACTTCATCATTTAAATCAGTTCCGCAATCTTCTACATGATTTAGTGTATATTTTGCGTATTTACAGTTTTTATAGTAGAATAGGGTACTGAGAGCATAAACAATTGCGAAACCTAAAATGGCACTTACAAATAAAGTGCAAGCAAATATATAATTATCATTAATTTGTCCTGGATTGATAGAAAGTGTGACAAATTTTGCACGTTCGGACATTGATAATAGATTCTTGCTTGGCTTCTCATCGAAAGTTCCGAAACACATCGAATCATCATTTTTCACAATTAGTACTATGATAAATCCATCTGGAAAATCATCTTTCTGAAATTTTATTTAAAAGTCGTGTAATTAATTAGAACAAGAAATAGTTTTTCTGAAATTTTAGTTAAATTTTGCCACACTTTGATTTCGAATAATTATAATTAATTTTAATGAATACGATGGGATTCTACTTACAGAGACAGTTATCGCACCTTGTCTCATTACTGTCTGCCAGTAATTAGCGTACTTAAAATTTTCAGCTTCTAAGATAGGACACTGATGCAAGATAAGTATATTGAATTTTTTATTTTAATATTTTTTTATTTATACATCAATATATAATACGTACTGATTTGTTTTGAATGGACAAAATCATGCAAACTTCGCTGCCTGATTCCAGATGTACGATAACCGATTTACTTTCAGAGTTTTCATTAAATGAATAACTGTAATAAACTGGTTCTGGGGGAGTGACTTTTATGTCACTCTTCACTTCACCAATTCTGCACATTTTTGTAATATTCATTATTTCAGAAAATAATAATAATAATTGTGTAATTATTACCTTATATGTGGTTCCTCAACAGTAAGTAATTTCAGTTTAAAACTAATTGCAGAATTACTTATTGTTGAGAGTGTAATCGTGATTGCTTCTCCATTATTTATGGAATTATTTGTGGAACACAAAGTTCTACTGGCGCTGGAATAATTCGAATTTTTCGAGAAAGGAATCTGCCAGGAAAGAACTTGAGTCTTTTGATTGACGACGACAGTTAGTGGAAAATTAAATGTGGCATTGCTTTCAACAATAACTCGGGTTTCTTGTAAAGAAATATCCTGAAACTAAATTATGTTATTACTATTAAAGAGAAGACAAACTGTGTCTACCTATATTTATTTAATATTTAAAGAAATAAAAAACTTGCATTGATTTTTCTGTATTTAAAGATATTATCAATCTTTGAATCCACATTTCCTTCATATTGTTCATCAAAATTAGCTTCTACAATAACAGGTGATGGGTAATTTTGTAAATCAGCATTACCCACAGTAAAAGTTAATGCAATCGCAACAAATAATATATTATTTGTCATTTCTGAGACTTCCTTTAAAAAGATTCTTTGTTTATTCAAAACAAGATCAATTAAAAACGAATTAGAAATTGAAAATTACTAGATAAATTTTTACAATCATTGGAAAATTTACATTAGTCATTGATAGATTATTACAATATAATTGTTTTATTTTTTTCAATTGTTATTTTTTACTACAGACAACTTATACAAAGAAAATTGATCAAACGTATCAAATAAAAATAAGGTATTAGATTTCTAAGACATTTAATATAAACTTTATAATGAATATATTATCCAACAAAATCTTTTATGTATTTAATTATTTGTTGTAAATTAATTTTAAACAAGTTTAAATATTTTCTATTATAACTTGTCAGTAATATTACACTTATAATATACAAATCACAATTTTATAAAAGATTTAATCACATACGAGATTATATATTATATCCAATCACTTGAACTATCTTCAAACTTTTAAAATAAGTAAGATCGTAAATAAAGTAACGACATGGGTCATTCTTTTTGTTAAATGACTAAAAACATTCTTGTTCTTTTGAATAAATACTCAAAGCAATTAGTAGTTTTTAACTTCCCAATAGAACACTCTTTTATGTATCTGTATTAAAAAATTAAGTCTATAGTTTCATTGTTTTCGATAATTAAATGGGTTCCATAAAACTTTATGAATGATAACAGACATGACTATAACAATTTTTTTTTATTAATATTGATTTTTAATGCATGTAACAAACACTTTGCTACCGCGGATTTTTAAGGTACTTAATACTAATTACTCATCAATATGTACATTATAAAAATTTGAATAACAAAACTTATTTATCTCTAACTAAATATTATTCACTATTTAAAGATAATTTGATCTCTAATTACATATTATTAATTATTAATTATAATAAATTAATTAAATTTTGCGTAAAATTTTAATCACATTCATAAGATCAGTCAATGACTTAGTTTTAATTATTATTCTAATGGTACTGTATTTAAGAATGATCTCATTTAATAATCACTTGACGATATTAATCAAGAAAATTTAAATGAGAACACTGATCAATAAATACATTTTAAATCACATCAGCGTAGAAAATATAAATAACGTCTATAAACAATTTTAAACAATTTCAATTAGAAAACGGGAATTTGACTACGATGAACATCTACAAGGTCATCGTCCAGGGTCAGTAAAACCATAAACGAGAAAAACATTGCTAATGCTGATAAAAAGTGCCAAACATCGTGATTGTCGAAAAAGTTGAAGAGAATGCACGGTCTATTATATTGTCGAGATTGAGCTGGGGTGAGAGCCCAAGATATGGTTTTGTTTATGAAGAAATACAGAGCAGCTGACCAAGTGATGAAAGAGAGGATAATGTAGATTAAAGGTTGAATGAGAATCCTTTCTTTGTAGCACAACTGAAAAATAGTTGACACATTAAAATAGTTGCACATCTTATTAAACTTGTTTATAATATATATATTAAAAGAAAATTACCTTCATAACAATATAGAAGAAGGTGTACAAAATAAGATTCGACATCAACACTGCAAGTAAGTAAGTAGCAAAATCTTTCTCATGGTGCATGTTACCAAAAATAGCGAGACCAATATTAGCCAAATTTGCCAGTACGAGAATCGTCAAACGAGCGGGATAAACTGGTTTGATTAAGTACCTCACACCTGCTCTCGCATCATGTTTCATTGTCTAAATAAAAAGATGCAAATTGATAAAAAATAGATTAGATAAGATTAGATATTAAAATGAAAGTGAAAAATTACCATTAGAACTCGACGAAAAACTCCTCCGTTAAGTTTCCATCTTCCCATGTAGTAAACCTGAGCAGTGAGAATTAAACAAACCATTAAATGAATGATTGTAAATAATATCCAGAATATCAGTGAACCAGCTAGAACTCCAACAAGTCCTAAAAATATTGTTAGAGCCAGAACACCAAAGGTCACTGGAGCTCTTGCGTTTATGTCCGGATGTCTGTTATGGTAGATCTTCACCATGCACAAAACCGCTATGATGTACATAAAACTAGTGTCTGCAAAAATATCAAATCAAATAACCTGTTTCTCGTAATATAATGCAGAAAATTTTTAACTTTTAAATTTAAATTTAAATAAAATAGATGATCACTTACCAAACTGAAAATTACTGTGATTAGGACAAACGTGATAACTTCCTGACAGCACGCCTTCCATCATTAATGCAATTCCCATTGCATAGAACAGTCCATAATGTTGTGGAATTCCGTAACTTTTATTTTTCGTCATATCCTCATTTGCTTTCTCCCTCGAGTATGTTAAGAAAATAAATAAAAGTCCGAGCAGCACATATCCAAAATTAGAATAAACATGATTGAAATCAGAAAGAAAGCCCAATGGATGAGAGCAAAGAAAATTGTAATAACAAAGATCTTGATTTCCAGTGACATGTAAAACGTATTGATCGGTTATTACTAATTGAACAACTGGCAACGTATAAAAAGTTGCGATTGTAATAAGATAATAAATGTATAAACGAGATTTGTGTCTGAGTATCTTTGGTTCCTTTCGAGCCAAATCACAGACGGAGAGAACAAGTTTTGTTCGCACCACTTCTTTATCCGAGAGAGCGTCTTCCATTAAATCAATGTCATCCTCATCGAGGGAGGAATCCTCCTGAACGTCCCATCGATTCGGACCTATCTGAAATATAAAATTGTGCGTTAAAACAATGTTTAAAAATTAACGAGAAAAAATTTGTAATACCTCTTCTATGATGGAGGGACTTGGAAGATATTGATTGACTAAATCTTCATGCTGATCGTTTAGTGACTCTTCTACTTGCATCGCTCTGCCTTCTTTAATTTTGTAAAAAATAGCACAGCCTACGTAAAGAAGAAAAAAGGCACCACCCACGCCCATTGCAATAAAAGACGCAACAATATAATCTAATTTTGATATGCTAGGCATTACCCTCAGTGAAATAATTTTTTTCCTCGGTCTAATTATACCTGGTACTCCGGAGCAATCTTGATCATCACCCTTCACTACTAAAACTATAAAGAAACCATATGGATATTCTTCATTCTACAAAAAACATTTATGATTAATAATACATTCGTTACTTATAGCTTAAGTACTATTTAAAAAATCCACAATAATATACATACCGGAACGGTAATTCCACCTTGTTTAGAAACAGTTTGCCAGAATCCGGAAAATTGAATATTTCTCTCTAGGTCAAACACTGGACACTAAAAATTTTACATTTTTAACCTAGATATTAGAAATTTTTATAATATTCATAATATTACACTTACCGATGTATTTTGAATGGAAAAAGTCATGCAAATATCGCTGTCGGAATGAATATGCACAATGACAGATTTATTTTCTAACTTCTCATCAGAAGCGTAAAAGTAGTATATTGGTTCTGAGGGTGAGACTGTTACATTGTTTCGTTCTTCATTAACACTGAAAAATTTTCAAATTACAATTATTTACTTTCAGTGCAATAATATTTGATAAAAAGTAAATACCCGATTCGAAAATCAGACACGGAAGCCATTGTCAGCGAAAATGTTACATTGTCTGGACTTGATGTGGAAAGGCTGACGGTAACGAATTCTTCTTCACTGGTAGCATTAGTTTTTAAAGAGCATAAAGTGCGACTAGTAGTTTTATAATTTAAAAGCGGCAATTGCCAAGATAAAATTCCATTTTTTTGTTTAACCACAACAATTAAAGGGAAATCAGTCGTTGCATTACTTTCAACTGTAATACGAGCTCCTTCTAATGTATCATTCTAAAAAATTAAAAAACATTATTTTAATAAAATGATAAAAAAAGATAATACAAGAAAATAAAATTGAATTCTTACATTTGATTTATAAATAAATATATACTCTAAAGTAGAATTCAAAGATTCTTTATAAGTATGATTATATGTTGCTGTCTCATCAATAACCGGTGGCAACATGGGTCCAGTTACTAGTAAGGTGTTACTAGGTAGAATCCACAGTAACTGGATTATCGTAAATAACACAAGGTTTGCCATCATTATTTTTTCCCTTCAAAATAGTTTATTAAAACTTATTGTAAAGTACATTCTGTATGGAAGACATTTTCCTTCAACACCTAAAAAAGCAATTTTTCAATAATAAATTTTCATACGAGTTTACAAATTTTTAATAAACAAAGAAAAAATTAATCTTATCATGCATATGTATATTCAAATAAATGAAATAAATACAAAGAAAAGAGGCTACCGACGCAATGACTCACTCAATAATACGATTAAAACAAATTAATAAACGTCATTATTTCATTAAATAAAAGCAGTAAAAATGTAAAAATGTGAAAATGTTTTAAAAAATTAATTAAATGGAAAATCCAAAAAAACAATTTCTTCATAATAAACGTATTATTCATAATAAACAAAGCGACAAAAAGAAGAGGTTAGAAATAGAAATTTAAAAAGAAATGTACAATTTAAATAAAAATTAAATAATGACATTAACATAAAAAAGTTGAGTACATTACTTAATACTTACCATAAAAATCTGATTAAAAAAATCAGATAATGAGGAAATAATTCAAAATGTTGAAAGAAAGATCAAAGTGTATGAAGTGTATGAAGTGTATAAATAAATATATACACAAAATTTTTATTGGAAAGCAGGGATGGGAATGTGAGCAACTGTCAAAATATTGCTCTGTCGGTAATTGAAAATGGCGGTGAATTTAAAAAAAATTATTAATTAATACATTTTTCTCTGTATTTGTGTGTCAAATTTTTAATTTATTTTTTCTCGTCTTACACCTTCTACATTTGTGTGAAACAATTTTTCATTCTTGCCATCTTCTATATTCGTTTGGTAGGGCCACCAAGCGAAAAAATTAACAAAATTACCAAAGTTTTGAAACTCAAGTTTTTTTACCCAATGAGTTGTTGACATTTATTAACAAAAATGACCGTTATAGGTAATTGCAGACTTTAAATTTTTCTTAATTTTATAAAAGTAAGAAGTTAAGAACAATAAGCAATAACAACATAATCAAACTGAAAATCATAGGATTATGTTTAGTTTCAGTTAATATTGTGTCCTAATAGCATTTTTATAACGGCAATGTTGGAGTATTGTTGCAGAGCTTGCAGAGCAAAGTATAAAAATAATTGACACATATATTGAGTTCATTAAAAATATTCCAAATTGAACAGCATGTCTATTGCTTACACGCCAAGTATACAATTATTTTTCTCGTTTTCATTTTCTCAATAATCAAGGGAGGTTAATTTTAATTGATAATTTCAGCTTTTTTTCAGGATTTGCATCGATTGACGCATGCGGGTCAAATGCACTTATTGTCTCTAGAGTAAAAGGGAAGCAGTAATATAGAGTAATATTCAAGTATGACCAAGCTTTCCCTTAGGGGTAGCACCATTAACCAAACTTACCACATCAGGGCGGGGGTTGAATTGAACAGAAAGAGAGAAGGAAAATTCGCTTCGCTTCCCAATACACAAGGGTGACAGATGTCTGAATGTCAATGCAGAGAATACGCGGTTTTTAAGCTCAGTGTTATTTTCACCGTGTATCCAGCTGAAAATAGAAGACACAATAATACTAGTTATTAAATTTTCTCCAAGTCGGTATGTTTATTAAATATTTTTTAGATTTTTTACAATTTTTTCTAAAATTGATTTTCAGAATATTACGTTTTAATAATATTTGTACACTCATTGATTTTTATTATTTCAGTTTTTATTTATTAGCAAATAATGCAGATAATAAGATAATAAGATAGTAATAAGTAAACATTTGTAAGCAAAGTATTTAGTAATCAATGTCTTGAGAATAATGGTCTGAGAAAAGAATAGAAAAAATTCAATAGATACAATAAATGAATAAATCCATTGTGACTGAAAAATTAATTCTATTTCAATTGGAAACTGTTTTTAAATTTCCTGGGAAATATTTTACTTACATGATTTTTAAATATTTTAAACTATTAAATTACACAAATAATGAAAGAAAATTGTTGAAATTTTCAGTTGAAATATTTGAGAAGAGCAGTGGAGATTGCAATAAATCTCGAGTACAAGTTTGTGCGGTTTTATATGTTGTAAAAACGACAAAACCAGGAAAAAAAGAAATGTGCGAAATCTCCGCCAAGTGTCATCGTAAAACGTTCCGCGATCAGGATCCACCGCGAATAAGAGAGAGGAGTACAGAGAACCTTCTCAAGGACGCGATTCAACTATCGCGATCTACCCCAAATTCACCTACCACATTGCAACGTGCATCGAGCCTCGAGAAATGCTTCAGCGATCCAGAATTCTTCAAGAAACACCGTCAACAACAACAACAACAACTGCTACAAACGCCGCGGGAAAAAAAGGAAGAGGAGAAGAACAGCTCAGTGGAAAACACAACAACCGTCAGTTGTAGTCGTAATCGAGACGCAACCAGTTCTAGTCGGGAGAATAACGCGTGCACTGAACCCAAAGAGATTGAAAACAGCAAGGAATTGCTCGCCAAAGTGCCTTCTTTGCCCTGCAGGAGCAAAATCGTGAGTTATTTTCTTCCATTTTTAAACAAATATTTTTTCCCTAATTTTTTAAAATCAAATTTATAAATCAAATTTAGCCTTTCAATATTTATACAAAGTATTTATATATAAATCGGAAATATTTCCATTTCTCGGTGATTTTCGAAATCAATATTCAGTTAAGCAATACCACATTGCGGTGTATTATAAATTCAAAAATATTACGAGGTAGACACTGAGATTTGAAAAATTCATTTAACGTTTGTTACGTGCATGTGCAAGTGCTATAAATTCGAAATTCATTCATGATGTTATCGCGAAACATTCTGTAATCTTATAAACAACTTCTACAACACAGTGATTTTACAATTTTACATTTCTGATGGTTTAGTTTTTCTATATAATAATAAATAATAACACGCGAAAATAATTATCTATATTCTAATCGTATGTTATATTGAAAGAATTAATTTTTTATGAAAACAAGTGCGCGCACGCAAAATATATAATAATTTCACTAAATTTACAATATCGATACGCTTCATTTAATTTTCCGCAGGTCTCGTGCATTAAAGAAAGAAATATCATTAGGGATTAATACGAAAAACATTAAGCGAGCAATAAGGAAATGTACAAAACTGAAATTTATTTTATTGTTACGGTTGGAGTAAATATTTTGTTCGCGAAGCGTGACTCCAATTGTAACATCTATATGGGGTGTATAAAGTAATTGAATCTTAATATAAATCGCTAAAAAACCATACAGCTACCGGAATAAACAAACATGTTAATTAAGACACACGATCAACATTGGACGTTCTTAAAAAAATTCAATTTTTTCCATTAGGCGAAAAGAATATTTTTTATTTCGAACAAATTTCGTAAAAAGAATTAAAATTAAGAATTAAAATTAAAAATTAAAATTAGAAAATTAAAGAATTTATAGTTTTAACATTGAATGGAAAAGTTGTTTTAACAACCCAGATAGTTACTGGACCAAAATAATGTCATTTCGAGTCAAATTGATCAATATCTATATTGCACAGTATCCTTTTTCTGTCGTAAACGATTCAATCTTACATCGACATTATGAATACGAAATAACTGTGATTAGAGCAAATTTTTTTTTTCATTTTTATTTAAATTTCACACAAATTACCATTTTGTGATCGGAAACGATGGATACTCGAAAAGTATATACGCTCTAGTAATGATGGGTCAAAATAGCGCACAATCCGAGGTCATTAACTTTGTCTTTACTAATATAATAATTTCAAAGAAAGGAATAAAAAATTATTTTCAATATAGGTATTGAAAATTTTATCGTGTTTTAAAAGCAAAGTAATATGAGACTGCTATTACACCTATGACATTAATTGCAAAACCGAAGGCGATTTATTTATAATCTTTTGCAAAACTCTTGTCATAGGATGCGTAATCTTTTTTTATTTCTCGATAATGAACCTAATCTATAATTAACATAAAAAAAATAATTCTCCCGGTGAAAAGTAGAAAATTATAATTTTTTTCTAAAATTACATGAATAGTAACGGAAATTTTTATAATTTAATTAAAAAAGAATTAAAAGGAAAAGTATTTTTTTTGCTTTTGCCTGCTTCTTTTATGATTTTTTTTTCCCGTGTGAAAATTGTTTTTCAACTAGATTAAAAATCTATCTAAAGAAGATGATTCATCGTCCGGCTTTTAAAATTCCTAGAAAATCGTATTATTGCACTGATTGGTTTGAAGGTTTAGATTTTTGAATGGAGGGTTCAGGTGTATGGGATGCTGGCAAGTTTTCTGCCGACCTGACACACAGGCATTCCTTATAAAGAGATTCTGTTAAAGCTGCTCTCACACTGATTGGCTCACAATTATGAATTACAAGAATAATTTGTTGTCATTGCTTTCTCAATCTAAAGAAAGAAAAAAATATTTTTTATAATTTGATTCTATTGTAATTTTCAAATTCTTTGCGAATAATAATTACAGGGTGAAATTGAAAATCAAGTTCCAGTGTGAAATGTGCTTTATCTAGAATAAAATGTGCAGTTGCCGGGTGTGCAGCTTGCCAGTAACAGCCGGATACCTTTTAAAACACTTTTTCTCCATCGGTTTGTCTTAAATTTCAAGGCAGCCAGTGCTTTTCTACGAAATACACAAACCAAACACGAAAATATATATGTATATAGGGAAAAATAGTAAAATGCACTTTTTGTTTATTTATATCGCACATGGTTTTCATTTAATTGGGCGAGAATAGATTTTTGTTTGAAATGCACAATAAAGAATTCAGTAGAGTCGTAAAATTTCGAAACTTAATTATACATAAAATGCGCCTATTTTAAAGAAGAAAATTTCCAAGTTGAAATTATATTTTTTAGTAGACGCTATTATGTCGTGGCTACAAATAATAAAACATCTTTCATTCTAGAGCCGGAATAGGTTTAATTGCCGAAATACATTTCTTATTGTCCTCTAAAAAATTTTTAAATGAATTCAAATTAAATTTTAATTAGTCACAATTATTTTGTTTAATTATTTTAATCAGACTTTATTTTTTTGTTGTACTAAAATTGTACAAAAGTAGAAAATATAATAAATTGAAATATAGAAACAAGCAAAATTTTTTTGAATTTTGAAAATATCAAAATTACATTAAATATAATTAATTAATTAATTAAACTACATTAAATATAAAAATTTCTAGAATCATTTAATTGAATTACCATAAAGTATATAGAATTAAATGAATTTATATTGAAAGTAGCGTACAATTTTTCTTTTATCATTAAAGAAACAGATGATTCGTTTAAAGTGTTATTTTGAAGAAGTAATGATCATCAATTACATATGAAATTCCTGGTATTCTATGTATATATATACATTTTTACGATCAAATATTTAAGTAGACTCTTGTTCTCGAAACAGACTCCGTGCTCTAATTTCTATCCGCAATGTAAAATTGAAGAAAAAAAATTGTAATTAAAAAATTATTTACATTACCATTTGTTGTGGTTATACGTAAATAAGTCGATAGATTTATGTACATAATTATTAAACCCCGCAAGTGCAACAAAAAGAAAGTGAAAAACTCTTCTCACTCATAAATCAATAGAAAGAAAATATTTTGATTGATTCATTGAGTATTTATGTATCAATAATTTGTCATCACATTATGACGTTAAGAATTCAACTGTATTTTATTATTTTTCCCACTTTTAAGTTTTAACTTTCGCGAATATTTATTTTATTTGTAATCAGAAATTGTTTTCAATTCGATTTTTTTTTATTGTTATTGTTGTAAAATTATCGTTATATCATTTGAAATTATATTTTTTCGATTTAATTGTTTTTCCAGAATACAATTGAAGGAAGTTTCGTAATTTATTGAATTTTATTAGAAACTTCTTTTTTTTGAAATATTCCATTGGGTCTCATTAAAAGTGTAAATAATTCATCAGTTTTTGCGATTTTATCATAAAATTGGAGGAATTGCGAAATTTTTCTATATGTACGAACAATTTTTCCGATATTGCACAATCTAATTGGCACAGTAGGCCTGAACTTATAAAAGAGTAAATAGTAAAAATTAGTATGTAAATATAATATTTATGTAGTGTGTTACGTATAAAGTCATATTACATGCTTGTACCGTTCATTGTTACAGATATAATACATTTATGTAGGCAGTAGGAAATAGGCATCACCTCGTGAATTTATTTATATATACATGTTCAAAGTGAAATGCAATTTAACATTTTCACATTGCCTCATCGTCTGCTTTTCAATTTTAAAGAATCCACTTGCTTTTTTCAAATTACTAAATTTCCTTCATCTATTATTCAATTTTCGTAAATTTTATCAATTTTTAAACCAATTAACCAATAAAGTAAAATGAACTTAAATAAAAATTTGATAGGTGAAAATTTGATGGAAAAAAAATCGCCATCTTCAAAAATGAAAGAAAAAAAGTTGTTCCACATCCTTGATTAAAATCAATGGAACTAATAATTGACGGTAATTACAAACAATAATAGTTACTAAATTGTTGTTATTGTTTTAAAAATAAAACAATGACACACAGTGACGGTTGGAAAAAGAAATCGACATTTGAAAATCGTATTTTTAAACGACTGTCGTAAAGAAATTATTACAAACCTCATTAAGGCTTAGGTCATTAGTTCCTTACTTTATCTGCGTATATTTTTACAGAAACTTGTTTAGACATTGAATTACGAAAACTTGATTGAGAACTTATAAATAGTAGTGTAAAAAGAAATAATAATAATAATAATAATAATCATTGATAATGATGAGAAATAATTTGTTTGCTTCTGAAAGAAATACTTAAAGATAGTACATTATCATAAAACCAATAAAATGTTCGATATCGGTCATTATGAATGAGAGACTGTCTGTTCGTGAGTCAAGCTTCAAATCATTCGAAAAGAATATTATTCAAGTTAACAGTCCTGATTTTTACAATAATCAATATTTAATATTCCAGGCGTAGTTAATTTTCGAAAAAACAATTTCCTGGTTTGGATCATAAATCTCAGGTGCATAATTCATCGCGGATTTAAAATTAGAGAAAGTCTATTAGAGAAAATAAAAAATGATACTGTAAAAATATTTTTATTTTACATTTTTGATTCGCGCCAATAATTACTTGGGTCAAATAATTTTAACTTAAAGAAAATGTTCGTAAATCAGTTTTTCATAACAAAACTTGAGAAGTATAAGTTTTCTGAACATCTCTCACGTGTTTGTTCTGAAAAGGTATATTATAAGAAAGCTAATGACCCAACCTGGCCTTGACTTTCAGGATAATTATGCCTTTTAAAAAAAACTTCTCAGGTAAAATATGTAAATTTTCTTATTTATAAGCGAATAGTAGAAAAAATTAATTTAACAATGAAACAAATTTTTTACTCCTCTCGTAGAGAAAAACGAAAAAAAAGTTAGAAAAAATTAATTTAATATTAATAGAAAAGAAAAAAAAGAATAGACGACAAAATGTTTTGTAAAGAATACTATATTGAAAATTCACGTAATTTAATTAATCGTTTCTTTAGAAAAAAAAAAAAATGATAACTTACGTAATTTTTCGAGTTACGTTGACTATATATTGATCGATGAGCTATAATGGTGAAATCGAAATTGAGTATATATTTTATGAAAATTTTTATCCGATACAATAAGGAAGTTATTGCAAATAAGAAAAAAAAAGAAAAAATTTAAGTGAGAGTAAAATGACGCATCATTTCCGAGTATACACATAATCACGATCATCATCTTTTGCTCCATCGTCATTGTTCGAGTAGATTTGTTATCTGAACGACTACACTAAAAAAATATTCCTTATATTTAAGCTATAATGCCGTTTTGCTTTCTACGAGATTTAAACAATAAGTTGTTCAATTGACCACGAATATTCTATTTTCCTTCCGCGAATTTTATTTTCAGATTATTTTAAGCAAATTTTTTTTTATAGACTCTGAGAACTTTTATTTTTCATAACGATTTTCAATCTCCATTCTACATTTTTTAATATATAAAAATAGTAAGTTTGTATAAATTTTTCATTTTTTGTCCGATAAATAATTTATCAATTAGTTAATTAAATACGAACAAATAATCTCGATTGAATGGTTATTTAGTTCGTCAATTTACAAATTGGTAAAATATTTATAGTAAACTAATTAATTAACAAACTGCTTAAGGGGGTCTCGAAGTCAATGGAAAAATCGCATCCACTTTGTCACCCAATTATGGATATTTAATTAATTGAATAAATAATTAATTAACTAACACTAATCAATATAAGCATTTTGTAAAATTGTTCATTTGAATTTGAAATTGCGCTCGAGATTTTTCTTTTTCAGGAATATTTTAATAAAGATTATGACAGAATTTTCTGTAAACAAGTGAAGAAATACATTTGCTATTTAAAACATCACATAGCGTGGTTATTAGCATAATTTAAATGCATTTATATTCAAATATATGTGATACATTAGATTAAAAAAAGAATTAATAATTTATCGAGTCAAGTAATTGCAACTTTACGTCTCGCACGAATATATTTCATAATTATACATTTTTTTTAAAAAAAAAGAAAGAAAAATATTGATGTTGAAAAATTTCAATCCACTCCATATAAACTTGAAAAGTAAAATATTTTTCAAAAATTATCATTAATTAAAACAACCATTGTCTTAAATTACCATCAATTTCAATTATTCTCGAATTTGATATTTGAAACTTGGATTATTGTTTCAAATTACCAGCGTTAATCTAAAATTACGAATGTTCGCCACTATTATTATTATTAGTATTAGTATTATTGTTGTTATTATTATTAGTAGTAGTAGTAGTATTATTATAATTATTATTACTATTGTTATTAACTTTCAGCAATCATTTTATTAATTATTTTTTACCCAATTCTTTGAAATTGAAAAAAAAGTCAATTGAGAATAGTTCCACTTGTTCAAAAATTGCAAAATTCGGTATTACATAAAAATAAATTTCCAACGATTTCTAAGTTCCTAAAACGCAGTATTGAAGCCAACCTTGAAATTCTCGATCTGCCTTAATTAATCATATTATTTCTTTTCAAACAAAATTATTTGTTAGGTATTGGTCATTTGAAATCAGAAAGTCGATTGAAAGCATAACGCTCTAATAAAGGACTTTTACTTATTTCGTTTGTCATTCATGATTATAATAAAAATTTCGTCTCTCTCTCTCTCTTTTAATTTACGACACTATTTGATGCTTCGTCGTTTTTTTCCATAAACAGGAAATATCCATCACTAGATTTTCAATTTTACACTATAATAGAAAAAGTTGAACTGAAAATAATAATAATACAATAATTGTAATTAAACGAGGTGTTGCAGATAATAAAAAAAAGAATTCTATAGATGCGTTGGTGGATTATTACGAGCGGGAGTGAAAGTCCTCGTGGTTTTTCGAGGAGTCTATATTGTCGGCAGCATGTTTCCTCCCGATGAAATTTTAGTATCCAGCATGCTCTCGAAGAGCTTGGTTCTATCCGGATGTGAATGCTCGTAGATATCCAAGAGTTTATCTCGCATGTAATTTTTTTTCTTCTTTTCTTTTTGTCTTGTGATTCGTGAAACGACAGTTTTTTTCGTCTCTCGCACACCCGACAGTTTTGAAATATTTTCATTAAAACAAAAACAAAAAAAGACAATTAATCGTCATCTGTTTAAGACGAAAAAATTCAAAAGGAAACAAGAATGTGACACAGCTGTACATACAACTGTACAGGTACGTCATTTAATTGCGTTCAAACATTGAAAAAAAATTGCAATTATCAAATTTTTCTTTTCAAAAAAAATTTTTCTTTAATCAAAAATATTTTTTTAAATTATTTGATTTTTCGAAAATCGTGTTATTTTAATATTTTAATTTTAGGGAAAATAATCAGAAAATATTATTGGTATAGTCAATTAGACAATACTAATAATAAAAATAAAATATAGTCGAAATGGTCTACATTTCTAATTATTGAATGAGTCAATATTTATTACTGAAATGATAATGTCAAGGATACTCAAAAATGTGATTTTTAAAAGCAAAGTAAAAGGTATTTTCAAATATTTCGTGATTAAATGCAAACGAGTTTTGCATGAGTTGCTAAACTACTTGTATTATTTTTAAAATTGTAAAAAAAAATTCTATTTTCTCTATCAAAGGAAGAAATACAAGCTAAAGGGTATTTTTTGTTTTTAGAAGAAATAAAATTGCAGACTATTGCTATATGATGAAAATAGAAACATTTTGGAATATTTCCCTGACACCTAGAATATTAATTTTTTTTTCGTCTGTAAAATTCAATATTTTTTCGTGACAATCATTTCTTGTTTCAAAATATTGATTCATTTAATTAACAAGTAAGAAAATTCCGGAATATTCGAAAAATATTTGCGAACAAACCGAACTTATTGCTAATTATTTAAAGACTTGTGAAATGGATTTTCCAATTTAAAAATAATGTTCAATTTCAATTACAATTTTACAAGTCCCTGAAAATTGTAAATAGGTTTTTCGAAATAAATAGTATGCGCATAAGAGCAGGAGAATAATTTGCCACTCCTATGCGACTAATTAAATTCAATGAATAGTGTTTGTCATATATGTGCATTTGTATATATTCACTTGAAATACACTTGGAATATGATCTTGAAGACTTTAAAGCAGTATCCGTTATGTATGTACGTACATATTACTTCTTGTCTTTTCATTTCTGGTCGAGTGCATGAGTGGATTCTGGCTATACTCGGAAGCACGTTTGTTAAAAGTTAGTAGTCGAACCTTCAAACAGGTTTGCGTGTTTATAAAAGCGAAAAGTGCAAACGACTCGACTCTCAACACACTCGTTACATCTTAATAGTTATAAATCAGTTTCTTCATTTCTATTTTATATCATCATAATATAAAATTCACAACAAAAATTCAAGTAAAAGTGTATATCGCGCACACTTTCAAATATTCTTTTTTTTTCGTTTCGTTCCGTTCAGATAAAATTCTATACACGAAAAATTATATCATCACTGTTTACGGATCATTAAATTTTATCATCGTTATTATTATTATTATCGAGAAAGTTATCGGAAACGAATTTTTTTTTCTATTTTCAGCTGCATTTTTTAAACAATATATATTGTGCCCCAAATATAATTTTTTTTAAATGTGCATCGTTTTTCGATTAAGCTTTCAAATATTCTTAGGTAAAATGCTCCGAAATATAAAAATAATAATTTTTTTCTACAGAAAATAGATTTTTAAATTAATGCCTAACAAATAGTTCTTTTATCAAACGTAACTAATGTTCAATTATTTAGTTAGTGTGAAATCACCAGTTGAAAATAGTTCCAAAGCACTTGTAATGCTATCGACATTTCTTACAAGTGACTCAGTTGAAAAAATATTTTATTGGAATGTCAAATGAATTACTATTATACAAAGTTCAGTTAACTTAAGAAGAAAAATTATAATAATGAATTCATATTTTTTGCGGAAGTATAATTTTGTTGTTCTGCTGCACTTGCTTTATATTGTTCAGTGTCAATTGTTGACTGGCTGATGAGATATACTCTTCATAGATAAAAAAATACTAGTTCACTTTTCATTTCCTTCCGTTTGGAAAAATGGTGAAAACTACTTTTTAAAATAGCAATGAAATCAATTTTTCATAGTGAAAATATTTTAATTTTTGTTTCAAATTGTTTAAGGAAAATATTTTCCTTCCTTAATTGAAAAAAACTTTGTAGAATAATGTAAATTGTAATTTCATAAATTATTCCAGCTTTTCATTGTCAAGAATGATTTTTAATTGATAATGTGTTATGTAATTTCAGATAATCACAAACCAAGTGTCACAAAAAGACGAGAGTAACAACTGCGATAATTTAATAAACGGTGAGTCGCACGCCTTAATTAATTTTGTTTCAGAAGCATTATCTGTTACAATAGGCATTCTTTGTATGGTCACGGTAGACTCTCAATTGCTTCAATTAAATTCAGTCCCCCGAAAAGGGAGTTTATTCTGGCCCTTCAGGGATATAAAAAACCGACAATACACTTTCTCACAAGTCTCTTCATCTACCATTTAAATTCTAATAGATTCTATTGAAATTAATTTTCTTTAAATTAAATTTTCTTTAAATTAAATTTTTCAAATTAAATTTTCAAGTAAAAATTACAATTTTTTCCACAATTTATTAAATTGGTTGTAAATTGTTAATTATCAATTTGTTAATAACGTCGTTTTTATAAACAAAAAGTATATTAAACAAAGAAAAATGAGAGATGAGGAGAATATTAAAAGAATTTTCCTTCTAATTTTCCCGAGGAACAAAATGTCAGTTAAAACCCGGTAGTTATTACATATAGTGTAGAATGTATATGTGTATATACAATATAAAATAATTCACATCACTTTACATTACAGAAGCTCGTAATGACTGTGAAAAGATCTATTATGGCTTAATTATGGACCTCCCCCTTCTCGTATTTTGTTTCTGTTCCTTGAGAATGATGAATTTCACTTTTTTCAGCTCATAAACCGCGTAATCCGAATCCCTGATTTCCGTGTGACAGGAATACATGCGGGTAGTGGTAGATCCTTTCTTAACTATCACGCGCTTAATTTTTGAAAAACAATATCCTGTCTGATACTGTATCCACTCTCTTGTTTCTCAATCGCACTCGATCGCACTTAATTTAATCCTTTTTGGGGGGAAAAAATATACATTTTTCAAAAACCTGAAAATAATTTTTCCAAATTAGAAAGTATTGATTAGACTTGACAAAAATGATCAAATATTTTTTCTTTTTGTATAAAAAGAGAACATTTTTTTGATTGTTCAAATTAACGAAATTTTTAAAATATTTTTTAAACTTAATAATGTTGAATTTGAACGTATTACGAATAATTTTCTGATTTATAGAAAAATTGTTTTCAGTCTGTTAAAAAGAAATGATTGAAGAATTTTTCTGGCAAGTTGGTGCAAGTTGGTATGAATTTCGAAGGAATAACGCTATAGGCAGATGTTACTTTAAGCTTGAATGTTAACCCCTTGAGCATTTGATGGGCAATTTCGATCCTCGATGGCTGATATAACTGGTAACGGATCAAAATTTTGCATCTTCGACGTCTATATTGCTCGGGAGATTGGAATGCTCGTGTGCAGTGTATGTGTAACGTTTTCAATCAATTTACCGCCTGTAACGACTATAATTAAACGAAAAATTAGTGAGTTAACATGCAAAATGGTTAAATATTTTCAATTTCAAATCCACCATAATCGTTCATAATTCCATAAATATTAGTAAATAGTTAATAAATTATAAATTTACAAATTAAAGAAATATTCATTAGACTCAAATTTGTCATATTAATTATTTTCATCTTCATAAAGAATAAATTAAAAAAGAATATTTATAACAAATAAATTAATTTCAAGACTTTCGAGACTTGAACATCAAATCCTTTAATATCAAGTTTATCTTTGTTAAACAAATAAAAATTTATGGGCTACATATGAACATTGCAAATATTGAACAACTTCGTCACAAATCAAGCAATTACCTACAATGTATTTATAGAATTGTTATCGCTGCATTTTTTCTATTTTTCCAAATTTATTTTTTACTGTACATTTTCAATTTTATTATCTGCCATGAATCATGGTTTTGCAAAAAGAGGAATTATTTAGCACAAATTTTATTGATCTCAACGTCTAATTCACTTATTTTCAGTCAGAACTTTCTCTGTTTTTTTTTATTTTTTCCATTTTTAACTTAATTACAGCGGTAAATTTTCAAACTTTCCTTATAAACCAATAGAAATAAATAAAAGCAAAAGAAACCAAAATGAACAATCGTAAATATTCATAATTGGTATTAATTACCAAAACGAATTTTTCAATTCCGACGAATTCTCAATCATAATGATGGAAAAAAAATATAAATATTTATTTAATATATTATTTCGTTAAATTTAATAGTTGTAACGATTGAGGCAGAAAATTTTACGATTATGTTTTGGTTTTAGCGCGGCAATTGAGAGAAAGTGATACATTTTTACACGGGGGATAGGATTTAAAAAAAGGAGAAAAAATCGCGAAATCGATAGCCTTCGGCATTCGGGTAAATTGAAGATACAAATGGCCTCTTCGTTTCCGCACTATTGACGAGAAGATTTTCCCGGTAATATATATTCCTTAGTATTCAACATTTCAGATCACGCTACAAAGCACATTGAATTTATTGTCCAACCCAATGAGTAAGAAAGTTTTTATTAACGATCGGCTTTCTAATGAGACGCGGCTCTTTTTTTGTTTAATTATCAAACATTTAAATATTTTGAATCGCTGTTGAAAATTTTCTCTACTATAATCAAATTTTGAATAATTACTCTTCATTACTTATAATTAATTGTTTCCGATTCATGAAGGTTCAGAATTCAAATTTCAGTTAACTAAAAATATAATTCTTTTGAAGAAAAATTTCGCTCCTCCTAAAACTTCGTTCCGAGAAAATTGCGTTTCAAAATATTGATGCGAGGAATATTTCCTGAATCAAGGAAGAACTTTTGTCTGTTTCCATGATCGGTCCCATTATTGTTACAGTTACGTGCATTTCACCTTGACGATTGTAAACTATTTTAAACGCGTATCTGAAGCAAATTCTATATCCCATTAGTATGTGAAGCCCTAGGAATAGCTTTGATACTGTCATTTATGTCAGTGCAAAATGCAACGATCAGTATGGCTGATCAGGGTTCTGTTAGGTCCAGAATTGCCATTTTAGAAGGTGGCGAAAAAGCAAATTTTTCTATATATATACAAAACAAAGAATCCCATTCTCGTCAAATTTTATTTTTACAACAAACTTAACTTTTTCGACACGAGAAATTAATTTCTAATTACCTAATCGAAATTTAATTGAAAATTATAATTCCTTTCAGGAAAAGAAATGGCACCAGTTTTTGGAGTACCGCCCCCTCCACCAACTCCTCACACGGGACCTGATGGTTTAATTATACCAAAAAAGCCTTACAATCCTTGCATGACTTCTGGTAATCATAAAGATCTGCATAGAGAATTATTGTTCAATCAAAAAGCGTAAGTAAAATTATTACAATCATTTTATTAATCATTCCTCGGAAACTAAAATAACTTTTATAATAAATTTGGAATCATGAAAATTTCGAGATGAAAATTTGGAAATTAACATTTTCAGAGGGAAAAATGTTTTGAATCAAAAAAGTGAACTGCAGAGAGCCTTGGAGAGGCACAGAGAAGCAATTTCAAAAAAAGAAGCTGAGAGACTGAAGGACGAATGCTACAAAGATGATCCAAGAACGGCCCTTCAAAGAGCCATCGAACAGAGGGCAAAGCATTTACAAATAATGGTTAGTTATAATTTCAAACAAATTCCCTTTATACTTAATTGAATTAAAATTATATTATTTTACTAAAATGTAATTTTATTTAATTTTCATGGATTTTTAATTTGAATAATTAATTTGTTCATAATTTGTTTTAGCAAGAACAAATTCAACATGTGGAGCCCCCAAATCCTTTGGTAACGGCAAGAGCAAAATTGCGATCGCGTACGGATTCCCAATAATAAAATAATAAATCCAAGTTGCCTAAGAAAACTGATAGTCAACGACTATCACCCGACTGTGTAAATAAGTGGAATGAATTGTTTAGAATGTGTGTGAGTGTGTGTATTTTTTTTGTCTTAAATGAGTATTTTACAATAGAAATTATTTAGATTTAGAAAATTTTCTTCTATGATAGTTATTTATGTATATTTTATATATTCGCTTTTAATTCTCCTTTTTTTATTCATTATTATGCCATGACTTGAGAGTTTTCCTTATCTTACGAACACATACGTAATGAAAGGATATTTGCAATGATAATTTTTTTTTTAAAGATTAATTTTACTACATTCAAAACTCGTGAATATAAATTATATATTTTATTTCAAAAAAAATGTGTATGAACTTTTTTTTATTTGAATTAAGCAGTAAACATTTTATGCGAATTTTTAATCGTCTGTCAAATTGTCTTTAACTGTAGAAAATGTTTTTCTCGTCGATGTAAAAATAATCGTTTCTCAAATTAAAGTATGAGAAACAAACAAATGTAAAAAAACAAATATGAAATTGATTTTTTGAATTAAATTAAATTTCAATAATACACAATTATTGAAGATAGATATAAATTTTCAAATATATTTTATTCAATGTTCATTGTAAATATTGTATCTTGACGAAAAGAAATAGAACTTGTTTTTAAGTCCTAAAAATGCACCTCATTTTTTTTCTCTCTTGCAATGTTAATTTGCAATATATTATTACAATAAGTAAAAAGCAATTTTTCCTCAAATTCATATTTATGCATTAATAATAGTTTCTTTCTTTGTGTTAGTAAGCTTAAAATCACATTTCACATTCTTAATAACAATCGTGTAATTACAATTTATTCCCAAAAAAAGAAACTATATCAAAAACACAGCCAAACAGTTTGGCCAACTTCTGCTCCACAGAAATAATTAATGAAAAAAATATATAAAATCAGTTGGTAATGAAATTGAAATTCATTCATATTTTACATACAGATTGTTGCTCAATAATCATCTCCTCTTGAAATCACTTCCTTGCAAGTGGGACGAAGAACCAGAGTGTGCTCAAATTGAGCAGTGTAGCATCCTTTAACGTCGACCAACGGCGGATAAGCCTCGACGGCACCCTTGTCGCACAAATCCTTGAGAGCCATTTGGTACTTTGTGCAACCGACTCGATCCAACCAGCGCTTACAAAATGCCAAGGTGCCTGGAAGAGGAAAACAAAATTAGAATTTTTCTCAATTCGATTTAATACCATGAAAATGTCTATTAATAATATTGTTACTTCGTTCTCAATTCTAGTCAAAGTAGTTACTCACTGAAATGCTTGTTAATTGTATTCAAAAGAGATTTGCTACTCTGAAGTCTCAACGGAACGAATCCGGCGTCGAAACTCTTCATGTAATGCGAACAATCCAAGTCGTCATGAACGACACCCTTTCCTGTCGAGCCAAAAGTTTCAATCGCATAAAATTCATTTTCCTCCATTCGCGTTGCCTCGCCGCCCTTGACAATTGGCACGGTCTTTCCTGCATGAATTCGATACGGAGCGATTGAATGTCCATTCAAATTTCTAATCGATTTTACCTGAAAATAAATATTATTTCAATATTTTCTTTAAACTCACCCCCTTTCTATATTTTTAATTGATGCAAAAGTGAAAAAAATTATAAAGTCAAATAAAACAAGGCAATCGAGAGAAGATAAGAAAAACATTAAAATTTTAATGAAACGATAAGATTCAAATTTATGACAATTCGTTTCCATTTTCAAAGAGTGAATATTTTTGGTGAATTGAAATTATTTTATAGTAAAAGTAAATTTATTTTTAATTACCTGATAAGTTTTGCCATCCAATTCCACTTCGTAGGATTCCATAACTTCCTGAATTGCGGCACCAACATCACACAGTTGAACATCGATACCGGCAGTCTTGATGCCAGTATTCGTGGCATCGCGTACAGCCTCAATGAGCTTATCGTACTTTGGATTGAACGACAATGTAAATGCACAATCGATAATTCGACCATTAATGTGTGTACCAAAATCAATTTTAGTAACGTCATCATATTCAAGAACTGTTGGATCCCCGGCATTTGGAGTATAATGAGCGGCGCAATGATTTCTTGAACAACCTGTAGGAAATGCCAGACCGGCTTTCAAGCCGTTTTCTCCGATTAACCTCCTCGCGGTGTCTTCAAGTTCATTGCAAATCTCAATCATTGTCATTCCCGGCTTCACCTGCAATTCAAATTTAATAAAAAAAACTGATTTAGAAAAAATATAAAAACAAAGAAAAAAGAATAAATTCTTTAATTTATCCTTTTTTCTTTGTTTTTATATTTTTTTAAATCAGTTTTTTTTTACTTTAACATTCAATAGAAAACAAACCCAATTCTTAATATGCTTTCTGGTACGTCTATGAGCTTCGGCAGCCTGTCTCGCTTCATTGTAAATATCATTATGCATTCGATCCAGAGCTCGTGCCTCCTCACTGGAAAACCGATCCTTAGCTGTTCGCTCGTCAATTCCAGCTGCTGGTGGATGCTCCATAATTTCACCCTCAGGGAAATTGCCATCGGGGAATAATTCAGAAACCGGCACCGATATACTGTCCTGTTGATTTACTGCACCTTTCTTTGCCTTACGTTTTTTCTTCTTCTTTTTCGCTTCTTCAGTTTCTGCTCCGTTTTCCGTCACATCTTCCGAACCTATTACATTTATTTCACATAAGACAATCATTCTCCTATCATGAGGAAAATAAAAATAATTTCTCACCTTTTGCGGCAACATCGGCGTTTTTTGTTCCATTCTCGTTACCTTCTGGAGTATCAGCATTCACATCACCAGCTCCATTTTTAGAAAAAAAACACGAATTTTAGGGTTATAAAATGTATAAAATTATAATGTGTGGAAAATATCGCAAAAAGCTATTTTAGTAGGTACGTGATATAAAAATCAAAAACAAACATTATTTTTTGTGTGCAAATATATAGACACATTTTTAGATAAGTAAAATAGGTAAAATTAGTCGGTTCAGAATTTCTGAAAACAAGGTAAAAAAAAATTGATTGCAATCAACTAACCTGCTTTCTTCTTCTTTTTCTTCTTTTTTTTCTTCTTGGTAGCTTCTGCTGATGTTGTTTCGTCGTCCTCTTCAACGACATCATCGTCTTCCTCGTCCACGAATTTTTCCGCGGACTTGATAACCTCATCCACTACAGCAGCCATTTTTTCAAAGAAAAAGTATTACTACTATCGTAAGCTGAGAGATAAAGAAGGAAAACCGAATCAGCGGCAAAATGTTTACAGACATGCGCTGTCAATCCCAACGAGAATAAACGAATAGACCCGAACATATCCGAAGAGAAATATCGCCTAAGGCGCCAATTTTTGAAATCAAAAAAGTAATCTGTAAATATTTTGTATAAGATTATATAAATTGTTATTTATACAATTAATTATTATAATTAAGTATACATACCTTTACGATAATTATGATGATCACGTCGAATATTAATTCCTTAATAAAAAATAAGATTCAGAAAAATAATCCTATTTTATTTAATAATATCGTTTATTTTAAAATGTTTTAGTAATAATAATTAATAATAATAATAATAATATAATGTGGATCCTACTTCCCAGGCTGTACAATTTCTTTCTCTTTAATTTCTAAAATCTATGATTTATCCTATGGATGAAAGTATTAATTCAGCAACATCGGGATCTTGCGATCGCACTGATAATTGCATCGTAACTTGTCCTTCTGCCAAGGCAAATTTAGCGCGTGCAAAAATTTCTTTACCACCGCGGAAAATTCCACGAAGCGCAGTGAATTCAATAGCTCCGGATTGTCCACGATCGCCACGTTCAGCCGATTCTAAACCGAGAAAACCAACTAAACGTTGAATTGCTTCTTCCACCGTTGTGACAGTTGCCCCGAGAGCAAAAGTCTCATCCACTGTGATAAATCCTCGAGTTCCAGCAGATTCCCAAACCGCATTGAAGTCGACTCCCCTTCCGCCCGCTCCACGCATTTGATCGGCTAAAGTTATTTCTAAATCCTCCAACTGGATCGGGCAAGAAGTTTTCGTTTTATTTTTTATTAGAAAGTGAAAATAAAATTAAATAAAAGATAATAAAAATTAAATAAAATAAAAAATTGTTTTTAAATTTGTTATATTGCTTACCATATACTCATCGCTGTATCCTTGATCGGCGTATGGCACTCCAGTTGTTGGATCGCAATCGCGAGCCATAAATCGCAAAGTCGTGGGAATGGAAGTAACACTCGATTGAATATCCTCCGGATATTTCAGAACCGTATAAGTGATACCAGGTTCGTTGTACGTTAATTTTGGGCAGGGTATCTCACACACCAGTGTGTACCTGTCAAAAGAAAAGTATTATTATAAATTTAATTCTAAGTTCAAAAATTAAAAAATGACAATAGTATTTTTGTTACCCTTCAGGAGGCTCGACCGCGACTTTGACATCTTCCAGTAATTGATCAGACAGTGTGTTTAAGCAATCGAACTGTAATATAAGATATTCGGAGAATGAGTGCTTTACGCATTTCACATTGTATTCAGTTTCAGATTCTGTCAATTCAGCAACAGGTGACGATTTAAAGAGTTGTGCATTCCGTATGGCCATCATAAGTTGAGGAACTTGAGACAATTTCTCCATGAAAGTTTCTTCGCGCGAAAGCTTTGGTGTCTGTTGCTTGACAGCTGTATGAATTTCGGTGGGAATTGGTTCCTCGACAATTTGTGCAGCTGGAATCTAAATAAACAATGATAATAAATATTTTTTATTTTAATTATGTTTAGTTAAAAATGGAAGTAAAATAGAAGAAAAATAGAAGTTTCTTACTTCGGAAATATCGAAGGCCTCTTCCATGGAGGAACGTGAGTAATTACGTAGAGCTCGTTCGAGACTTGGAATGGAAAGAAGTGGAGGTTGCACCAGAGGTAGAATAGTTGGGTCGTGTTGTCCTTGAAGAATGGAGCAGTAATAAGCGGCACGATCTCGTACTTCGTCGTCAGAATCCAGCTGACAGCGTACTAGTAGAACGAGAATATTAGGCAATAACTGAGGACAAGCGGCAGCAAAGTGTGCCAGTGCTGTCACAGCTGCTGCTCGTACACTCGCGCTCTCCAAAATTACACGATTGTAGATGAAACGAATGTAACGTGACGGTTGCTTCGAAGTTGGCCCCTCCTGACCCAGTAGATGAAGAATCCTCACTGCCAATGACGTATGCTCGCAATCCTCGATAAATTCACATAAATGCGCGAGTCCCGCTTCCTTGGCTTCCACATTGCCCTCCATCACGGCGATAATCGTATCTACAATCGCCGCCTTATATTCCAAACCTCCCTCATCCCTCAGCATAGCCGAGAGGAAATTCATAAGAACCGCGTGCTTCCTCGGAAACTTCTGACAAAGTGCCCTGTAAATTTCAACAAATAAATAAATTACATATTCATAAAAAGAAATTCGAAAAGTATTCAACTTACCTAATAGCTTGCACGACGACAACTTTAAATTCGTCCGATATTTCCGATACGAATGTGGCAATTTGCTTCATTAGACGATCAACAGAACTCTCCGCTCCAGTTTTCAACAGAGTCGTGATAGCCAACGTAGCAATTGATCTGTTCGAATCGGTAATCAAATTTTCCAAATCCAAATTACATGCGGTCACTGCTCCAGGATGGGTCATAGCCACTTTGTTTAAAGAACGAACAGCGGCGAATTTCAGCGCAGGTTTCGGCGAACCACAAAACAGTTGCAAAACACTTATTGCTGGTTGTATTTCGCGTGTGCCACTGCGACCCAAATTTACTAGAGCGTGCGCCGCCTCAAAGACAACCATTTCTGATTTGTGACGCAAACACGCTTCGACGAAATCCAAAAGTTCTGTGCCTTCATCTATTTCCTCCAACAATTTGCACGCCATACGAATCAACATGCAAGCGGCATAGGGACTCTTTTGACTGCTTCGCATCAATTTACCGACTAATTTAATAACTGCATGTTTATCGGATTTACGAGCCTGGTACAATACACCTAGGGCGTGATATTGTACCATGACATTGTCGGAATTCAAAGCCTCTTGTGCTTCGTTCGCCCATCTTCGTGCGACGTCACTCGACACTTTCGTTAAGTGCAACGATGAAACGAGAGCTGCACTCGAAACTGCTGGAGAACGATCGACGATCGCTTGTTTCATGTAACGTTCAATTGCCGCCAACATTCCCGCATCGGTTATTGTGCATAATGCTCTGATTGCAGCAGCCCTGTAACACGTTAGATTGTAATTAACTTTCTTTAATATTTAATTAATTACTTAATTTACCTTCGAAAAAAAATTCAAAAAATATACAATGAAGAATATATACCTGTACAAATCCTCCTTCCCTGTCATATCTTTCGTCAAACTCGATGTAACAATAATCACATCATCGGCAATTGAACTCAGTTCCTTTATTCCCAAATAAACTAAACGACGTAGAACAACATCGCGGGATTGAAATAATTTAGTCATTGCAAAAAATGTTTCTGTCGCTTCTGTACTGCCAAGTTGTTCCCCTTGGTTCAGTAAATATAAAATTTTCGTTAAAATATGTGCACATTTTCGTGGATTGACAGATGTGTCATTAAAAGTACGTGCCTCTTGGAGTACCGATGTTTTCTCCAAATTCTGAAAGGGATTTCCACCTCCTACAAACATGACAAAATTATATGGATTAAAATTCACATAAAACAAAATTAATTATTTATTTACAAAAATTTCAATTGTTCACTATAAGTTTAAAATTGATTTAGTTTAGTAAAAAATAGAAAAATGTAGAAACGTGTCAAAATTGTTTAAAGACAGCTAACCTATGAACAACATTGTTGACTATTAAAAGTGAAATGAAGAGCACAGATAATAATAGAATATATTGTGTAAAATAGATTATATATAATTACCATCCTCCTCTTCTTTTTTATCACGCTTAAAGGCGTTCATTTTCTTAAATTCCAAACAGAATTTAACATAAATACAGACACGTCACCTACAAATTGAAGACGGCCGTCCACCCTGACATATGAGACATTTAGTGTTGCCAACCTTTCAACATTCTACCAACATTATGTTTTTTTGTGACTTTCGAAACAAAGTGATAAATAATTCTTTTATAACACAATCGTGGTAGAAAAATTGAGAAATGTTGATAAATACTTTACTTTTACATATTTCATTTTATCATTATGACATTATTTCGCATCTGGCAGAAATATTTTGACACTTGACAATTAAGTTGGCGGGGAAATTCAATTCGGTTGAGAACCACTGTGCGCAATTAATTGCGCAGATGAAAAAATTTGTAGTTTCGAAAAGAAAAGAGTTAACCTCACACTGTTAGCGTCTATTAGGTTAGAATGAAAATAACAATTTTTAAATGTTAATTATTTAAATAACTATTATTCTAGATTTTTCGTTTAAGTTTTTTCAATGATCCAAATATCTGTTTTTCGCAACGAAATAATCACAGTGTATATATTATATTTATAAATAAACAATTAGATTTTGCGGTAAAACAAGGTACCTACTTTTCTATTTTTTGCATGTTTAATTTAAATTTTAAATGAAAACATTTACATTTTTAAGTCTCGAAAGAAAAATTTAGTTTATAAAAATATAATTACTGACAAAATAATTTTTGGTTTATAAAACAAAACTTTTTTATTTTTAAACTTGAAAAATTTATTTTATTATCTTCTGTATATTATATTTCACAACAAACTAATTTATAATTCATAACACAATAAATAAATCTGATTTTTGTTTCAGTTCATTTGGATTCAAAAGAAAATTAAGTTATTAAAATGGCGAAAGTAGCCGCAGAAGTCATAGAATTAATTTCCGACGAGGAAACGGAGGATAGTAAAAAAGATGATAAACAAAAGAAAACATGCAATGCTAATTGCATTAATTTTCAATGTAATTCTGGAGTGAATATGAAAATAGCTCCTACTTTTGCTTGCACATTTTTTGGAGCAAACACGGCCAAAAGGAAAAAGCGTTTAATTTGCGAAAAATGCCTCAATGATTCTATACAGCATCAGCAGGTAATAATTCTATTAAAAGATTGTAAGAATTGTGGATAAATAAGTAAAATACTATTTAATTTCTTATGTGAAACTCAAAGGTACTCGTCAATTCGTTTTTGGATCGAAAGCCATTATTAAAATGTGAATTTCCGGATCATACAATGGAAGTAGAAATTTCAGACAGTGATGATTCTGATACTGAGAGCAAAACGGATGACAATGAAGGTAAATTCACCTATATGAAATTAAAAATGTACAATTGAATGATTTTGATACTAAACATAAAAATTTTAGATAATTTTTTGCCAGAAGATTTTCTCTTGGACCTCGAGCAAAAGTTAGATGTATCCTTGGCTTCTATTAGTTCTAAATTTGATATTAAATTTCAAGTTGAGGAGGCACAAAAATACCTTACGAAACAATGGGACAATATTCAGAGTAAGTTGCCTAAATATTCCGACTTGCTAAAAGATTTTTCCTTTATTCATTTTCTGAATTTTAATATTTTCAGGTGACAACGATAAAGTGGACGGAGAACTAAAAGACTTGATGGGCAAACTCGACAAGCTGCGAAATTCTCTCTATGACGAATTTAAACCAAGCATTAAAATGATGGAAGAGCTTACGATTTGTGACGGAGTACCAGATAACAATCAGTTCCCTCTTGTTGCGACGAAAAAAGTTACTCAAATTAGAAATACACCAACAGTACCTGTACCTGATAATCAACCAATTATTCTTGAGGAAATTGAAAGAGACAATGTAAAAGCAGCTGCCGATTTGCCGCCACTTGGTCTTCTCGTAAAACCAGTTCCCGATGTAGACACCCCTGTTCTGATCATGAAACACGCTTTGATCCCATGGTTAAAGGCTAAGGTATGTTTTATGACTCAAAATTACCAAATCTTTTTTATAATACAAAATCTAATTAAACTCTCCCAAACAGGTTATAGCGGTAGTCAACAAAAATCCTACTCAATACAAAGTGAAATTAAACGCAAAAAAGCATAATCAAGCAATGAAAATTGTATCCGGAAAACAAGTTGCCATCGCTCAGCAGAGCAATGTAATTATTCCGGTTTCAACTCGAGTTGTCGCTCTCTTTCAAGATCTGAATACAAACAATTTTTACAGTGGTGTCATTGCTGAACCTCCGAAATCGACAAATAAATATCGGTAATCAATTTGTTTCGGATTAATTAATTAATTAATATTTTTCCTTGCGCTTAAGGAATAGATAATTACAGGATTCTTTTCTTGACAGGTATTTGGTATTTTTCGACGATGGTTACGCGCAGTACGTAATTCACAAGAACATTTATCTCGTGTCGGAAAGTTCGCCGCAAGTTTGGGAGGACGTACCAAGTCCTTCGCGAGATTTTGTGAAGAAGTACATGGAGTCATATCCGGAGAGGCCAATGGTGAAGTTGCAGACGGGTCAAGTGGTGAAGACCGAGTGGAATGGAAAATGGTGGATAGCTCGTGTCATACAAGTCGATGCCAGTTTGGTACAAATGCATTTCGATGCTGACAATCGAACCGAATGGATTTACAGAGGTTCCGCGAGATTGGGACCTCTTTACGTTGAGTTGCTCAAGGCGAATGCAAGGCAACAGGGCAATCATGCCACCGCTAATGCTCCGGCCCGTCATCGCCTTCCACCCTCGTCAAATGTTGGTTTTCCATTTTCTATCTCAATAAATAAATTAATTTTGAATTACATTCAAATTAATAGCATAGTAATTCATAGATTCTCTTTGTAAATTATTGATAAATTACAGAAACAAGGAATGCCATACGTCGAGTACACTTCATCAACAGATCAAGATGAATTCCTAAATAGGAAAGCCGATGTAAAACAAGTGAGCGCTCCCGCTGCGAATATTATTCGGCCAATTGATAAAATTACTCATGAAACGCCATTCATTGCGCCACAACAGGCGCGAGCCGTGGCTAAGAAAAGTACCGCGAAAAAACCCGTCATTCCTGAACCAACATACAATCCTCCGACTGAAACAAAACCCTCACACAGCATTGTTGTAAGTCCATAAGCGAATTCACTTTTTTTAATTGAATTCAAAATTAATATCTAATAATTATTAAATGAATACATTAATCGTTTGTGCAGTACTATCAGACTCAGAACAGAACGAGTCCGAAGAGGTATACACCGCACAGATGTGCACCAAAATGTCTCGACGGTTGTTCCTTCACGCCGGAGGATTTAAAGGGATACTCGCCATTGTCAATTCCATTGCTTTGCGGTTGGAACAGACAATTGTGTAAATTCTCCAAGGGCAAGAAAGTCACTATCTATCAATCTCCGTGCGGAAAACGACTTCGAAATATGGAAGAATTGCACAAGTATTTACGAGTCACGGGAAGTCCAATGTCTGTCGACTTGTTTGAATTTGATCACTGGGTCCATTGTCTCGCTGAATTTGTCCTTGATAAATGTTTCGTTAACATTAAGGTAAGGGAATTTCTTTCAAAAATTAATTGCAATTTTTACTTTTAATCACTTTCTACACAATTTTTCAACATAATCATATTTATAATAAACATTTCAGGATCTCAGTTACGGAGCAGAAAACGTTCCCATTCCGTGTGTGAACGAAATTGATCATGCTCTGCCCGATACAATTAGATATAGTACCCAAAGAGAACCGACAGAAGACGTTCATCTTAATTTGGATTCAGACTTTTTGTGCTGCTGTGATTGCACTGACGATTGTCAGGTAAATTTGAATTTTAAAAAATTTTTTATATTTGATAGACAATCTAAATCTGAAATTAAATTCAACTTACAATAGGTATTTGTAAAGTAATATTAAGAATAATAGATTTCTGTCGATTGTCAACAGGATAAAGAAAAATGTCAGTGTTGGCAATTAACGAATCAGGGAGCAACTCTTGGAGGTAGAGTTGCAAACACCGCTGTGGGTTATATTTACAAACGGCTACCAGAACCGGTAACAACCGGCATTTACGAATGCAATTCAAGGTGTAAATGCTCCGTGAAAACGTGTCTAAATCGAGTAGTTCAACATCCTCTGACGTTGAAGTTACAAGTCTTTAAAACCGCTCCCCGTGGTTGGGGAATCAGATGTCTCAACGATATTCCCCAGGGCTCGTTCATCTGCATCTATGCAGGAAGATTGCTCACTGAACAGGTAAGTTTATTATTCAATTATTATTAAATTCTATTTAGAAACAAAATGGTGAATTTCTTTCTTTTTAGGGAGCAAACGAGGGAGGTAAAAATTATGGCGACGAATATCTCGCCGAACTGGATTACGTCGAGGTCGTCGAAGGAATTAAAGAAGGCTACGAAGCTGATGTCCTTGATCCTGAATTGGAACTATCTAACGATACTAGCCGAAAGGACAATATAAGCGATGAAGACGACACCAGTAAGCCTTCCGGTTACGAGTCGGATGAAGATTTTGACATCACTAAGTACCGGGACGATCCCAACCTCAGAATAAAAGACATTGGAGAAGATACACCTATTCGGTAAGAAGAAATCGAAATTAAACATTTAGTATTTTTACTCAAACTTCTAAATCATTTTTCAGTAAAAGATTGCGAAAACGCAAAAGAGGTGATAAATCAAAGGAGGAAGAAGCTGAAGAAGAAAAAACAAAATCATCGAAATCTAAATCTGAGATGAGGTCATCAAAACCAGATTTAGACAAATCAGAAAGTAGAGATTCAAATTACGATACTATAACGCTCAGTGATGAGGATGAGTCGAAGCGGCGAGAACCCGGTAAACTCGATTTGACTGTTGAAGCTCAAATTGATCGGCCGAATTTCAAGTCCGTTCGAGACTTTTTTGGCGAAGATGAGGCCGTTTATATCATGGATGCCAAAACCACGGGAAATATCGGACGCTATTTGAATGTGAGAAAAGTTCGCCTCTAATTACATAATTTTCTCCAATTTCCTCAATTCTAATTTAACAATATTTTTACAGCACTCCTGTGATCCAAATGTATTCGTTCAAAACGTGTTTGTGGACACTCACGATGTAAGATTTCCCTGGGTGGCTTTCTTCGCTTTACATTACATCAGAGCTGGTCAGGAATTGACCTGGAATTATAGTTACGATGTGGGCAGTATACCAGGCAAAATGATAATATGTAAATGTGGTTCATCAAATTGCAGAGGTCGATTGTTGTAAATTTCACTTATTCGTGATTAACAATTATGAAAAAAGATCTCTAAAGAAGTTTCAAGAATATTTTAATTACTTTTGTGTGTGCACATATGTACGTTATTTATAAAAAATAAAACAATTAGTCATTTTTGGGTTCAAATCGTTCGCGAACAAAAAACAATAGAAATTATGTAGTAAGTAATTAATTTCCACTGTTTTTGTAAATACTTACTTTTAAATTATTATCATGTTTATATGTAATTTGGCGAAATATCAATAAAAATATGCAAAAAGAAATAAAAGTCGATAAATCATTAGGAAGGGAAATTTGAAAGTAGAATATTTTTTTTACTTAATATATTATTAAAACAAAGTCTTACACATCTTAGATGTAAATTACAAAGTTTTTCATTCAATGAGTGTTTGTTCATTTCTAAAAAATAAGTCGATAAAAGATTAATTTCTATGTTTGTTTGTTTGGTTTTTTTCTTTTTTTTTTTCTTGTAAAAGAACTAAAAACTATTTCGAACTTATTGAAATAGGTATCGCGAAAAAATTGCGACTCTAGGCGGAACAAGTTTAGGTCGCGATTACTCGAAGCGAGTACATATTTCTTATTTATATCATTATTATATATTATAAACCTACATTATAGCTTCATGCCTTTTATGTAAGTTACATAAATATACAATATATATTTTATATATAGATGTCTGACAGAATGCGAAGAAGTCAATAACGAAGCGACAATATATCCTATAAGGAACGTGTGACGTATCTATTATTATTTTAATTTTAAATATGTAACAAAATTTTTAATTTTTAAAGTGTTTTGGTTTTGTATAGCTCCAAGAGCTCTTTAATTTCTTCTTTCTCGGCTGCATCTAAATAGCTCGTTCCGTCTGGCGTTACACCATTTGGCCGTGCTCCTTTCTCCAATAGTAATTTCACACAATTTGTGTGTCCTTCCCAAATCGCAGCCAAGAGCGTCGTGATACCGTGCTTATCTCTCGCCTAAATATTTCAAATTCATCATTCTGACTATTGTTAATTTACTGATTAATTTTATTTTTCAATTTTCAACGCATTTTGGAATTTTTCACACGTATCCAAAATATTAAATTTTACGGGGTCTAAATTTTAATTAAATGTTATAACAATTAAACTTACATTCGCATCAGCACCTTTTTCTAAAAGATAACCGAGAACATCACTTTGGCCATAATCTGCTGCATAGTGCAGTAACGTCCTTCCATTAATTAATTTATTAACATCCATATCCTGTTAACAATTCATTCATTAACTTGTCTACTCTCTTTAAATTCTGCTGTTGAAACTTCTTAATAGACCATTATATTTAAGCTCCATTTAAAATAAATAAATTCAAATTAAATTTGAATAACTTTCTGAATATTTTATATCTCACATAAATAAACTATAATAATCTTCGTATTTCATAAACATTATAAATACGCTATAATAATAATTCAAACAATAATGAATCCAAACAGAGATTTAAATTTTACAGTATGAAAATAAATTCTCAGCTTAGTTGTAAACAATAATAAACAAATTATTGATTAGTAAAGATTTATAAGCCAAAATAAAATTGATTGTTTTCATTAAAAATGACAGAAAAAATGGTATCTGTCAACTTGATTTACACTATTTACGTTCAATTTATAAATGATAGTGTAAAATACAAGTTCAAATAATAATTAATATAAAAATTTAATAATATGCCGTGGTTATGAATTAAAAGTTACATTAAAAATATTAATTATTATGATGTTAAATTGAAAAGAGAAATGCGACATTTTTTCAACACACCTTATTCTCTACAATGTCTCGAACCTGATCCAGATCACCGTTCTTTATTCCCCACACAAGTTCATTCATTTTGACTGACGATTAAAATCAATTTTTTTGATTGTTTATAAAGTTTATAGAATAACTTTGTTTATTTAAATTAAATATTTTTCCATTAGGTTTTGATAGTTTTGATTGTGCCGAATTTACTGATGGCAGCTGTATCAGGTATGGGAAGTTCAAAAGTACTGTGTAATTTACGTATAATACGTAGAAAACCCCACCACTTGTTAATAGATGCGTAATTGTATTGTAATTCCACCACGTAAATTACTTTGTTTTTGGCGGTTGCAGGCAGTTGTACACCTCTCCACGTTGCGTGTAAACAGTTTTCTAAAGTGTTAACGATTATTTGTTTCGCTTTCTGTAATATAATTATATTTTCCTGGTATGAGTTTCACGTGTTTCATTCAACCGGAAAGGTTGTGTTTTTCTGGAAACGAAAGTTTGACATAATATAACGTTTTTTTCTCAAAAAACGAGGTAATATTATACTTTGTTTATTAAATATGTAGCAACATTCTTAAAATTTCAACTCAGACCGCCTTTAAATGTTTGTTTATTTCTAATAACAATTACAATTTTAATTATTTTAATATTTGTTAAGGTGAAAAGAGTTCTGAAACAAAACGTGGTGCACTTGTTAATGTCTTTTTTCTTATGGATAAACAATGAATGAGAAGAAAGATAATTTTGCTTGGGCACAGAAACTGGGATTCTCAGGACGTACAGATTCAGTTTTGTGAGTAAACGTTTATTAAAAATATGTAAACTAGGAATTAATATGCATAATTAATGATTCGATATATGTGTATACAATTAATACACTTAATAAAATATAAATTTTCTTTTGATTAGATTAAACAAAGGAATAATTGGACTTCTTTGGGATGATGCGTCAAAACTTCTACACCATCCTAAGGATGTAATGGAAACGAGGAAAAACATTTTACTTTATAAATTAAAAAATAATTTGCAAGATCCTTGCATAGATTATATAAAAAATGGTGATCAATTAAAAGCCGAGAGAAGTAATTTAAAGGATCGAATTAAAGTAGCAGAGGAGAAAAACAAAGAACAAGAATCCAAGACAATCAAGAAAGGTAATTAATTAAATTGATTCAGAGAGAATCAATTTCAATAGAATTAATTGGAAATATTTTTTTTTTTAAAGAGAATGAACTGAGATTATTGAAATGCAAGAAAGAGTCGCCTACTATGAAGAAAGAATTACTTAAAATGAAGGTGGAACAAGTTCAAGAAATTCTTAAGGACAGCAGTACAATGTTAAATATAAGCAAGCATTTAATGCCCGCAAGTAATAAAGACGTATCGTTAAAGGAGATACGCGAGTGTTTGAACTTAATAAGCAACATTCGTTCTGGTGTAAATAAAAAGGAGGTAAATTGATTAATTTACAATAATCCAGTAATATTGAAAAATCTTTTGGAAATCTATTCAAACTTTTCCTCTTCTAGATAATCAATAAAGTAAGACAAATTTTGGATGGTAAACACGTTCCAACTTTATGGTCACTATTAACAGAAAATCAATCTCAAGATATGGAGACATTAATTTCACTGGGTAAGAAGGAAGTATCTGAATTTAAAACTACTATCGGAGAAGACATTGACATCGGTTTAGCAAAAATCTGCGGAGAACATATTAAAACTGTTTCGATGCAATTGTTAGAAATCGCAAATACTTCAGAAAATGAGAGAATTCTTATGGAGTGGATTGAGCGAATTGAGGTAAAGTATTTCAATCTATTCTAAAATCAAATAAAAGATTAAAATTTATATTACTTAAAATTTTTTCTAGTTGGCTGAACCAGGCATCACTGAATGGCTTGAAAATACTCTTGAAGTTCGTATGCACGAAGTCGAACAAAATACATTACTGAAGGAAATAAATGACATTTCAAACAGTCTCGATGAACAAGAAAACTTGGAAACGGAACTTTCCGAAATTTCCACTAAATTAGAAAATCTCAGTTCTGAAAAAGTAAGAAAAATCATTAAATATACGAATTCAAATATTATAGATTTAAAAAACATTATTTTTTTACAGAAAAAATTAATCGACGAAGTTCAAAAATCTTTAAACTATCTCAAAGGTATTCGATATCTAATAACAGAAACGAGAGAAAAACAATTAGTTCACCTTCAAGCAATTGCAAACTTACGATCTGATACTCAAGAACCAGATCGAAAAGCAGAACCGAATCTTTCTTTGGAATTAGAAACATTTTACAAGGAATTAGATATAGAAGCTTTACGGCAAATAACTGTAAAGAAACAATTTTCCGAACAAAGGTATAATTTTTAATTTACCATTAATAATTAATAAGTAATAATTTAATATTAATATTTTACGCTTTTTTAGACACCTGAATATCAGTTTTAATAATTCATTGCTACATTTATCGGACAAATTCTCAGGGAAATTGACAAATTCACTATCAATTTTAAAAATACCTTTCTATTTCCTATTGGAGAGTTATAAAGCCATGTACACGAATGCTTTACTAAAACGAAATGATAACGCGGAATCTTTTGATTTACTTGACGAATATCCACAATGGGATGTATCAAGATTGGATAATGTTCTTAAGAGTAACATGGAATTATTGCAGCATGTAAATTTAATTTGTAAAAAATCTAGAGAACATGTAAATGAATTTGATCACTTGTTTGATATATGGTGAGTATAAATAGTTATAAAATATTCAATTATTATAGAATAGTGTAATTAAAATTTACATTAATTTAAAAAATATCTTTCAGGAATCAAGAATCATTTGAAAGTGCCTTTAAGGTTTTAGAAGAATTAACAGTGGATGGTGTGACCTTAAAAGACTGGCAACAACGTTATAGTATTGTAATGTATATGTTAAAAAAATCAAGTAAAGTTTCTCTATCATTTCAACCTTACAGTTTTGAGGAACAATAACAAATATTTTAGATTGTAAATTTTTATATCAATTTCACATCTGTATTTATAATTTTATACTTGTTCGTTAAAAAGAGAACTAAAAAGTATTTTTATCAATAAATTTGTAATTATTTTATATTTAAAATTATATTAACAATTATATTCCAAGATTGTTTCATTTATTACCATATTTATTAATAATTTATTGTATTCGAAAAACGCGCGATAATAATAGAAATTTGTCTGTGCATTGAGAACCACTGCTCAAAATATCGTTTCTATTTTATTTTTTTATTCATGGAATTAGACAATATTTTATTATCTCAACACTGAAAGAAACGCGAAATTTTAGTTAAATTAAAAACGGTCGTATGAAATCTCCCAAAAATCAAATCGATCGAATATCCATTACATCGAATTTCAAAACATCGAATGCTCAATACATCGAATTTTCAAAACATCGAATGCTCAATATATCGAATTTTCAAAACGTCGATTGCTCAACACATCGAATTTTCAAAACTTCGAATGTTCATTAGATCGAATTTTTAAAACATCGAATGTTAAATTGATCGAATTTTTAAAACATCGAATGTTAAATTGATCGAATTTTCAAAACTTCGAATGCACATTACATCGAATTTTTAAAACGTCGAATGCTCATTTCATCGAATTTTCAAATCTTCGAATGTTCATTTGATCGAATTTTCAAATCTTCGAATGTTCATTTGATCGAATTTTCAAAACGTCGAATGCTCATTTCATCGAATTTTCAAAACGTCGAATGCTCATTTCATCGAATTTTTAAAACTTCGAATGTTAAATTGATCGAATTTTCAAAACTTCGAATGCTCATTTCATCGAATTTTCAAAACATCGAATGCTCATTTTATCGAATTTTCAAAACTCTGAATGCTTATTACATCGAATTTTCAAAACGTCGAATGTTAATTTTATCGAATTTTCAAAACTTCGAATGCTCATTTCATCGAATTTTCAAAACTTCGAATGCTCATTACATCGAATTTTTAAATCATCGAATGTTAATTTGATCGAATTTTCAAAACGTCGAATGCTCAGTTCATCGAATTTTTAAAACATCGAATGCTCATTTCGTCGAATTTTCAAAACTTCGAATGTTGATTTGATCGAATTTTCAAAACTTCGAATGCTTATTACATCGAATTTTCAAAACTCCGAATGCTTATTACATCGAATTTTCAAAACGTCGAATGCTCATTAGATCGAATTTTCAAAACTTCGAATGCTTATTTCATCGAATTTTCAAAACGTCGAATGCTCATTTCATCGAATTTTTAAATCATCGATTGTTAATTTGATCGAATTTTTAAAACGTCGAATGTTAATTTGATCGAATTTTCAAAACGTCGAATGCTCAGTTCATCGAATTTTTAAAACATCGAATGCTCATTTTATCGAATTTTCAAAACATCGAATGATAATTTGATCGAAATTTCAAAACGTCGAATGCTCATTACATCGAATTTTTAAAACATCGAATGCTCATTTCATCGAATTTTCAAAACGTCGAATGCTCATTAGATCGAATTTTCAAAACTTCGAATGTTCATTTGATCGAATTTTCAAATCTTCGAATGTTCATTTCATCGAATTTTCAAAACGTCGAATGCTCATTTCATCGAATTTTCAAAACTTCGAATGTTCATTAGATCGAATTTTTAAAACTTCGAATGTTAAATTGATCGAATTTTCAAAACTTCGAATGCTTATTTCATCGAATTTTCAAAACGTCGAATGCTCATTTCATCGAATTTCCAGAACTTCGAATGCTCATTTCATCGAATTTCCAAAACTTCGAATGCTTATTTCATCGAATTTTTAAAACATCGAATGTTAATTAGATCGAATTTTTAAAAAGTCGAATGTTCATGTCATCGAATTTTCAAAACTTCGAATGCTCATTTCATCGAATTTCCAAAACTTCGAATGCTCATTTCATCGAATTTTTAAATCATCGATTGTTAATTTGATCGAATTTTTAAAACGTCGAATGTTAATTTGATCGAATTTTCAAAACGTCGAATGCTCAGTTCATCGAATTTTTAAAACATCGAATGCTCATTAGATCGAATTTTCAAATCTTCGAATGTTCATTTGATCGAATTTTTAAAACGTCGAATGTTAATTTGATCGAATTTTTAAAACTTCGAATGTTCATTTTATCGAAGAGAATTTAACATCTGAGTTTACTATCTATGTAATATGTTCTTCCTAGGGAATTTTGAAAGTGCGCGAGATTTGAAATCGTTTTGGTAAGTGACAATTTTTTTTATTGAGTAAAATTTTTTTGTTTGTTTACTAATTACTTGTCAGTAAATGTTTATTTTTTTGTTATATAAGTATCACTATTATTATGATTATTTTAATTTATATTATAGTTTTTATTATAAGGTAATTAAATTAAATTGTGGTTATCTATTACAATCATAGATGGCTCTAGTAATATGAATATGTGTTTTACAAATTTTTATAAATATTAATCTGTTTATAGTATAATTATTAATATTGTTATTCTTATTATTGTGTAATTGTGAATTTATTATGTATATTTAATGTAATATTGATTTATTTAGAAGTCAGTAAGATGATCGTTAAAAAAAAGTAGTGAATATTTCTTATTTGTCTAAATATTTCGCTTCTAAATGAAGAGTTCAAGTTTCTTTTATCTATTTATAATGAATGATTGAATGAATGAATTAATTAATTAATTAATTAATTAATTAATGTGCATAAATTAAAATTATTTTCAAATTAAATAAAATATTGTGTATTGTTATTATTTTGTTATTTCTTTATATAGTGAATATTAAATTGCATTACTCTCTACTTTAAATAAGAAATAGATTCTATATGTAAGTAATACTTAAATTTTTATTGTAAATAAATAACAAGATTCCTACAGAAATCCGAAATTAAAATTCCATACCTTTTCCATGATTTATAGGTCAAACTTTTACGACATTCCAGTGCAATTTTAAATATAATTTCATTACTTTTGGGCTCTTCGAAAATAGTTTACTTATTGAATAGCCTCGACTCTTTGATAAAAAATTTAAAATTATCTAATATTATCAAAAATTCAAATATCCGAATTGCTTAAAATGCAACATTTTTTCCTCTTTTTTTATGGGATTTAGCTTCATTATTTTTGGGCTCTTCGAAAACAGTTTACTTATTAAATAGTCTTGACTTATTATTATTATTATTATTATTATTATTATTATTATTATTATTATTATTATTATTTTTTTTTTTTTTTTTTTTTTTTTTTTTTTTTTTTTGTAGTCGGAAGTGGAAAATCTGCGAATTCAGATACCTGGGCAATGAATTCCAGGTTATGTGGGGATGACCGCTCTTGTTCTGGTCTACCCACTAAAAACCACTCCCGTCTTAATTTGGGACACTTGATCCACCTGCGGAACTACCGTCAGGCCTTCAACTTCGCAAGTGGGGTCCCCTTACCGTGTTCCTTAACGTGCTTTTAATCCGCTTATACAATGTGGGAGCGTGGGTGGGAGGAAAACTAAATGATTCCCTCCCCCCACGCTCACACACAGCCGAGCACTGGATTCCTCCGGTCAACCTCGTCTTCCGTCTCTATCTTTTTCTTTCATTACTTTAATAATGAAGGATTCAATATGCCTCCACGAGTCCACGTTCTGAACCATGGTAGACACCATGTTATCGGCGTTGATTTCAAAGCCAACTGCCGTAAACATGGCCATTCTATCATGGCTCCAGTGCCCGCAATAAAAGAGAGTATGCTCCGCGTCATCTACTGCAGCGTCACAGTAGGCGCATTTTGCTACTCTCTTAATCTTAAACCTATGAAGGTACTGTCGGAAACATCCGTGACCTGACAACACTTGTGTCAGGTAGTAGCCAACTCCACCGTGCTTTCTTCCTAGCCAAGTGGCGAGGTTGGGGATCAGGCGATATGTCCACCTTCCTTTAAGATCCCCATCCCATCTCTCTTGCCATTGTTCAAGGAGTCTACATCTCGCCTCTTTGCGGATAGCCGCTTTGGCGAGATTTCTACTCTGCTCTTGCGAGGTAACTAGATCTTTGTTACGCTGAAAGACTTCCTGTCTTTCCCTCGCCAGTAAGTCCACTGGCGGGAGACTCGCAAGAACTAAAGCAGCGCTCGTTGAAACTGTTCTGTAGGCTGAAACTACTCTCCGCGCACAACCACCCTGTGCGGAGAGTAGCTCGTCAGAGATGCCGCGGTTCTTTAGGGACTCAGCCCATGCAGGGGCAGCATAGAGTTGCTTTGCTTGAACCACGGTCGCCACTAATCGGCGTTTCTTTTCCCTGGGGCCACCGACATTGGGCATCATCCTAGAAAGGTTTCCCATGCAGTCGGCGGCATTCAGTGACGTGATCTTAGAATGTTGGTCGAACTTTAATTTTCGATCCAACGTCACTCCCAGGTACTTTAAACTGTTTCCCCAGGAGACTTCAGTCTGTCCTATCCGAATTTTCGGGACCTCAAAGGATCTTTTACTTGTGACAAGCAAAGCTTCTGTCTTCTCTGTGGCCATTTGTAGGCCGTTGAGATCTAACCAGAGCTTTGCTCGTCTCAAGCTTTCGTTGACCCTTATTTCTAGAATCCGAGAAGTCCGCGCGCCACACACTATAATGACGTCATCCGCAAAGCCAACCATTATCGTATCTTCAGGTAACTCAATTCTAAGGAAGTCATCGTACATGACGTTCCATATGAATGGACCTACCTTTGATCCTTGGGGAGCTCCGCATGTCATTTCATGTTTGAGATGATTCAACATAAGTTTTGTATTCGAGTGTTTTCCGGGAATGTTAATTTTATTGTAGATTTTGGGTATCGATTTATCAAACTTTTTTGAATAAAAGGAATTGATTCGATCTAATATTGGAGGATTGTTTCTTATGTTGACAATTAGCATTTTGAAGTTTTATTCCTTTGTTATTAGAAGTTTAGGACCGTTAGTGTTAAGGTCTAATTTTTTCCTTTTTGATGTATTACAGTTTGGAAAT